CCGACGTCGACATCCTTCCGTCGAAACTGGTGACATATCGGATCACTTGTTCCAAAAAAATGCAATACATTCACAAGAACTAAGAGACTGTTTATCATTAGAAGTTCATTAGGACCAAATTCAATGTAAATTCTACTTAATTTGAACCTCAATATACACGAAGTGTTCCGAGTCTCATGGTATACAGTCCTCCATCGTCAATTCATTCTTCCCGCGGGACTTCACTCTCGGAATATCTCGCGCTTGCGTAGAACTATTTTTGTTTACAACAAAGGTAAAAGACTCGCCGTTCTTGTCTATTTTTTAAGTTGGATTTGTTGATTTCGTACAAATGCATGCAACCTCAGTTGCTACTGTTAAAGAATGACAACTCTGTTAGAGACTGCAAATGCATGGCCAGAACACTTTCACATCGGATGTATAACTCAGTGACATTTCCCAAACCAAAGGGACCCTTGCATTATAAGATCGTGATAAAATTACCCTATCAGATCCATTGTCAAATATACAACTCAAGTAACGCCAGACATAAACATATATGTTTATTTTATATCAATATACAATATGAGTATGCTTTGTATCAAAGTGGATTATGAAAAACATGTAATTTGATCATTTACAACAGGATTTCGGGTTAGAGGGCACATTTCCTTACTTCGATTCTATCTTTCCTCCCCGGAATTATTTTGAATGTATATATGCAAAGAGGTGAAGTCCTATGGCGGATGAAAAGTGACGGATAATACTATCTGCCGCTATATCTTGGTAGAAACGAGGGGATTCTGTTGGTGCTTTCTTACCCAGGATTAATAAGTTTGAGACTGATTGGAAAGGTAACTTGCGATCGCTATTTCAAATTTGAAATTAGAAAAACAGAAGGTCCGTGCTGCATATGAATGATACGATACTTCTCCCTCAATGCTCGTTCTTACATACTTAAAAGAGTGAAAGCTAAAAGGCATCTTTAGATAGGATAGTAAAAGTAAAGGAATTTGAAGACTGCTTTTTTAATATACTAAAAAGGCAAAGCAGGAGAATAGAGAACGGGTGTATTTTCACAGGTCACATATTACACTTGACACTGTTCCAAATGCATTGATATGAAAAAAACCATTATGTTATTTTTTCATTGTTCCTGCGAGAACCACAATATTCAATCAGTAAGCATGTTTCGTTATACTGTAATGACTCGACATTTTCAGACTCCGGAAGCAATACAGAAGAAGAAGCATGTTTAAGGGTTCCTGGAACATTTGAAATGGTCAATAACGCATTTGTGCTCAAAAATTGAAACGGTCAGCAACAGGGTATCTAGGCTTATAACTTATAATTAAATAATTAAGTATACTGAACCCAGTCCCCAATAATAATTTGATTGCTACTGTAAGGCCATCAGATGGACTATCACAGTGAGCACGTGTAAAGTTATAGAAAGTCTAATACTACTGAACAGATTCAATTGTCAAATAAATAGCAAAAGTTTACATTATCATGCATTAAATTGCATTGACATCATTTTACAAATAAAAACTAATTAAGTTTTGTTGTCCATCTACATGTAATGTAAGAAACAGAGGAGGGTTAGGGTTGGGGTTGGGGGGGGGGGTTGGGGGGGGGGGAAATCTTTTTGTACCTACCCTGTGTTTTAATGCTTGCCGCCTCTCAAGTTTTAATGACGTCATTATTTCATAAATATTAATGAGCTGAGCAAATCTATTTCAACACATGGGGAGGACTGCAATGTTAAAATATATTCCAGCAAAAAGTCACAAATTTGGCGCTTAATTTTGGGTTCTAACCGAGAGTTGTAGTTGCTGTCTAGTCGATATGAGTTTTACCTAGAGAAAGTGTTTCAGCCTACACCACTTGGACAAAGATGGGGAACCGAAGTAGCCTTGGGCCTTCTACATCGCAGTGATTTATTCGTCAGATTTTTCCTGTTACGCAGATCTTGTTTAGAAATTATTGGCGAGGGGACGTTTATTACAGGAATATCACGGTCTGACAGGAAAATGTCAGCAGCTCTGATTGGTGCGGGAAAAGTGTTTTTGTGAGACAAGCAGAGGTTTAACTGCCGCCTAAGAATGCAAGGAATGGGGGGGAAAAAAGCTGTCGACCTGGCTACTGCTGATTGTAGGAAGTGACCTGGTAGAGTAAGAGTCTATTTTACTGGAGAAGCTGTGTGGTAATAAAACCTTAGATACCCATGTTATCGATATAAAATGGTGAAGTCGTTAAAACGAGCTTAATGGTAATTTCATGTTGAATTTTAAAGAATTATAACTATATTCTAGTTAATAAATATATATAATAAACAAGCATACCGAGTATTCCTGCAGCCATACATCTCCTACTTATTTATAAATATCTTGATTTTTTGTCCTGCAAATGAACCAAAAGAGATTTGTTTTCCACTTAGCAGCATGATAAGGAAAACAATTTCGACTTCCTTGTCATGAATTTTCGGCCATTTCTAGGTAGTATTTCTGAGTTTCCAACCTATAGTGTTTACCTGTCGCAAACCTTAATTCAATATCCAAGGGCTTGTTCCTAATATCGAGATTTCCGTGCAAGATATCGACAACTGACGGATATAGATCAATTTACATAGAACAAATAAAAACGTCTGATTATATCACAGACCGGGTGATTCTACAGTGGACATGGTGATAAGGGGAACAAATTAAAACATCTGATAATGTCACTGACGGGTTAAATCTTCAGTGAACAGGGTGATAGGACTGCCACAAGGATCCAAGGCAAACCACGAAAGACTTTTCGTTTCCGAAGCATTATAGAGAAATCGTTATATTCTAATGATTGCTGTACGTTTTCTTGAATGTCTTGTGGATTTTCATGTGTGGATCAGGCCCCTCTGACTAGTGACCTGTAAAGGTCCTTTTCATGTCTCTGCATCAAAGTTGGACTTCTTCTTTAAATAGGTCAACGTAATTTCAACAGTAGACATCCTTTCTACATCTCTGGGTCAACGATGGATGCCCTTTCCAAGTCTATGTAAATAGCCAAAGAGGGACGTCCTTTCTAAAACAACATTGTAGGGCTTTTGGTCAACGTTGAAGTCCTGTCAAGGTATCCGAGTCAAAGACGGATGTCCCTTCTAGATCTCTTAGTCAACGTGGGATGGTCCGGCAATCTAAATACTTGCAAAACCAAAGAATGATGAGCCATTTTTTCATCTTTGGAAAGATTGCATAATGTATCGGTGTTGTTTCCTTCGTTATCAAGCAAGCCCAGTTCTTTTTGTATATAGAGAAATACAGTTATGTCTGCAGACAAGGATCAAGTTATTGGACGCCTTATCTGCAGGCACAATGACATACCTATCATGTAAATCTTGAAGTGTCAATTTAACATCAGGATCGAGGAAAGCTGACTTGTAGCTTTCTTCATTTTAGATTTTAAGCTGCAAATTCATTTAAGAATGACGGATCAAATGGATTTAACACGCTTTCAACTTTTCCACATTCTCATCCAGCTGGCATAGTTTTCATAGAATCTTTGACTGGCTTGAAATTCATATCCCATATAACAGACGGGGTTTCACAAAATCAAGCGCACTTCTTTTTCTAACTTCTCCCAATGTGATCTCAGATTTCGTCGTATTAAGTCTAGAGATTTGGTTGGTTTGAAGAACAAAGCAATATTTTGATCTAATTTGATGTTTGATTGTAACGTAATATATTTATGTTTTAAGGGTTCTGTATGCTATGTATATTTGTTTTGCTACTGTTAAAGCATTACAGATTGAGTTTTTCCCCATAGTTTCCATTTAGTTTGGCTATGCATTTAATTGTCTTCCCATACTGATTGAATGAGGACAAAATGACGGCCAAAGTTTTCAAATCTGCTCATTGTGGTTGGTAACTGTCATTCCCTGAAAAGTATTTGAAATATTTTACACAGATTTCTTTGATATTTTTGTTGTTGGAGACAGACTTAAATTACAAGCTAGCCACCAAAAGATCGTCTAACACTGTGCCAAACGTTATTGATAGGAGGGTGTCACGGAAAGCAAAATACAATGTATGTTGTTGTAAGCAGGAATTCTAGTAAACCCATGATGTGTTGATGTTCTATTGCTCTAGGCGCCTCGGATGATAATAAGTGGTTTGTCAGTAAGTGTGCTGGTGGAAAGAGGCACAAGATCATGTGACATACATAGTACACTCAATACATATGTGCCAATGAATGTATACTTCACATTGGTAATTTGTCTGAATGAACAAGCGTTGAAACACCACACTTGAATTTAACATCAAAACATATAGTACTATTTTATCTCTTGATATTTTGACTCAGTATTATCATTTCTATATTTGATATTCTTGCGGTAGAAGTATATTTTTAAGACATGGATATTTCTGTGGTGCAGGTATATATTGTTAAGACATGAATATTTCTGTAGTACAGGTATATATTGTTAAGTCATGGATATTTCTGTGGTGCAGGTATATATTAAGTCATGGATATTTCTGTGGTACAGGTATATATTGTTAAGTCATGGATATTTCTGTGGTACAGGTGTATATTGTTAAGTCATGGATATTTTTTGTGGTACAGGTGTATATTGTTAAGTCATGGATATTTCTGTGGTACAGGTATATATTGTTAAGACATGGATATTTCTGTGGTACAGGTATATATTGTTAAGACATGGATATTTCTGTGGTACAGGTATATATTGTTAAGACATGGATATTTCTGTGGTGCAGATACATATTGTTCTCCATTGTCCTTTTGTGGTGTCTGACTTGAATACTAATGAGCTCATTTTACATTTCTCATAGCCATGATCACAGACAGTACACACAGATAAAAAAAAGCATCACCATCTGAATAGTGTCGATCATTTTTCAGCACTATATCACACAGAAAACAAAAATAGCTTAGCTGGATGTCATCCTTGATTTTCCTGATACATTGTATAAATTTTTATCTGGGTCATTTTTGGCTGGAAGCTTAGAACTGCACACAAGAAAAACTTTTACACTTTTATTTCATCAGTTTAAATTTTTTAAAGTGACTTTGTATGAGGTCTTTTTGATAAGGTCTTGTTGCTATACATGTAGGAATATCCTCTGGTTGTTCTATCCACAGTTTATGATCAACATTCTCAGCTTTCAGCTTTTCTGCTAATGCCATCAAACTTTCTTCATTGTTAGCCTGTAAAAAGATATAAAAAAAAAATCTTAAACAGAAATATTCTGTAACACAGGAATGTTTTTTTCACATTCATAATAAGACCTCTGACCCTTCAACCAACATGTACTGATATAGTGTAAGGGTTGGCAGTAACTCTGGGATATCAGAATGCTTTTAACGTTACTTGATGACCTTGTGAACATAATAGGTTAAAAAGAGATGTTACTTTAAGGGAGATAACTCTAAAAGCTATCTTAATTTTTTATTTATAATAGTAAGCTGTATCTGTAAGAGTATTCATATTTCAATTTAATCACTGATCAGTGCTATATTTACCCTGATTCAGTTGTTTCTTAAACAATTATACATGTAATTCATCTACCAGAAACAAATAATGTCAATTATAAAAAAGACCCATACCAAAGTTTATTCTTGAAGAAACCTTAAGTACACTTCCAGGACCTCTTCCTTGCTCATTGTGAGGCAAAATGAGACCATTGATGGGGTTATTTTCTCTGATTTTTTTTCTTGCAAAAAACTGTTAAATATCTTTATATATCATGTATTCAATATGAAGAATGATTCGTAATGTTAAACTATAAAAATAGAGTTTATTAAGAAAATATTTCCTGAAAGCAGTATCTTAGACAATTTTTCTGCTCCCAAAATGGACGATCAAGGGGCAATTTTTTTCGGCCCTTCTTTATGTCCATTTGTCTGCACATAGCGTTTACTCATATCTTTTTAAATATGTACATTCCTGAGGATGAGACCTATCATTTGTTATCACATTTGAGACTTTTCCCCTTGATCTTTCAGCCTACTTATTACTTTTAAGGCTTCCAATGACTAAGTTAAGATTTTTTTCATCAACTTTGAGTCAAATTAATTATAATGTTTTCTATCAAAGAAATCTCAGATGGTTTTGATATTGGTAAAAAATTCATCAAAATACTTAGAATATCATAAAGTAGATAATCAGAAAATTAAAACAGATTGTTTGTTGTTCCTATGAAATAACTTATATATTTACAGTCAGATTTGAAGCAAATTTGGTGCATTTGCCAGACTTACACTTAAAATATATCGTTTATTTGTTTGAATAACCAATAAGTTTTATCACCAGATTTGAAAACAAACATATTGTTTTATATGAATAAGATCTCACATAAGTTTAATACTTGTAAACAAATGTAAATATTTGCCAGAGCTGAGGGAATTTTAAAATGTTAAAATAGATAATTTCTTTGTTCTCGTCATATAAATTAAATGTTTACTCTAAGATTTGAAGAAAATTTGATACAGCTGGACCTTTATAATCAATGCTATCTGGAATGGGTTTAACAAATGGTTAAAGCTATCTATGCAAAAGCTACATGGGAACAAAACCATTCATTAACATACTCAAGGTTGATGAACTGAAATAATCTAGAGACTAGATTATATAAGCTAGTTAAACGATCCAACGATACTGCACTGTTACATATGCAGCAATATGACTCGTTGAGGTGGGGTTAAATTATATTTGAGCAATATGTATATAAAATAACAATATGTAATACTATATGTTAGTAAATACTACGATTTTTTTCGCAGTTTTCTCTTTTCATAAGAATACCTCTAAAACAACTTTATGCATCCTTTCAATGTCGGCCAGATATTGTTGGGTTGTTGTCTCTTCCCGGAAGTTATGCATTACAGCAGTACATGCATGACATGCTTGCGCGATCAGCGCACCTATTGGCCATTTTAATTTGTCTACTAAGTCTTTTCTTAGCACAATATACTGTACAATTGGAGAAGCCATCCTCACTTCGGTTGCTGACAGTCTCACTCTATGGAGGCTTCCATGTTGTGATTCCGCACTATCTAATTTACTCTAATATGATTGGTAAAATATGTCCGTCAACTGACCAATAATATTGTATCACAGAAGATGATGACGTATTTAGGAAGTTCACATGTTAAACATACACAGCAGTAACCAAATCGGCAGGGAATACCATACAGCAGGTAGATATGTTATCTTACAACGCACTTAGCATATGAATATACTGTTTATGAATTTCAAAAGAAAACTTCTATAGTATAAGGTCACTTGAGGTCACTGCTACTGTGCAGTCGTTGTACAATATGGAAATTTAACGGTGACATGTCTCTCTCAAGGGGTCAGTGAAGATAAACATCATAAAAATTCATGCATGCATGGCTCATGTACACATATAGGCAACGAGTTGGTCGATAATGTTAGCAATCACAAGTTCTGGCATTTTGATCATTTAGCTTAGAAAAGTGGACAGAAGTGACAACGTATTAGTGGTTTGCCCATAATGACAGTAATTATGTTATCAGATGGTAATGGTCAGCATCCTATTCCAGTGGCCAGATACATATGTATATCGAGTTTTCATATCATATCACGATCGTGTCACATGCCTCTGATAACATTCAGAAATACAGTACAGTATTGGGCATTGCTTCATATCGATCATATTGCTTTTCTTATTGTTGTTGATATTTTTACTGGCTCAAAACTAATGCCTCAACTGGCAAACACAAGTAAGAAATACATTCTGAAAAAATTGATTCTTTGAAAAATTTAATCGATAAAGTTTACAAAAAAATTCTGTCTGTCATATATATTAGATATCTTCAATAATATCGGGGCAATGTTCCTTTAATGATTAAATTATTTTGTAGCATTATAAAATCATGACTGTTCATTGGCCTTAATTTTTGTTTGGTTGTTTACACGAGGATGGACAAAAGTGATACTAGTATTTAAAGTTAGCTGACAGTAATTTTGCATTTCATCAAACTTAAACAAAAACTACATCTGTTTAAGGTCTGTACTTTTATTGAACCCAAATTTAAGCATTGTCAATTATTTTACCTTCATTTTCTGTACAGCAGGAAATAAAGATATAGCTCAGAAATAGTTCATTCTGAAAAATTGTTAACAAATTTCATATTCTAAATGCAGACAGCAGTATATTTATCCAGTCATCAGATGGACTGTGCCTACTCTGAACAATAATAAGTATGAGGATTCCTGCATGAAATATTAGATTTTCAGTTCTTAAGTTTGAGTAAACAGTTTTGACAGAAACTTTTGTTTTGATAACTTTTTCCATTATAATATGCTATATAGTCGGTATATGTCTAAGTGTTAAAGGTCTTTTTAGGACATAATGATCATTGATCAGGGCTTTTTATTAGGAATCAAAAATGGACCGAATTCCTAACTGAAACTGTTGATTTTTAAAATTCCAAAATTTACAATGTACTTGTGAAAATGTCTTTTTCAGTTCACAAATTTTCTTCCCAAAATAAGACAAAATGCCCCATCCCAAAGTTATATTCAATAGTTAGTTAATTTACTTTTAACAAATTCAAAATCACATCAGAAAGTATTTTTGGTTATTTATAATGTTATGGAATTTATATTGGTATAGGAAAAAAGTATAAACAAACCCCCAGGAAAATACTTTGTTGCATTACAGGAAGGTATCATAATTGCTTATTCCACCAATTTTGTAGTGTATATGTCTACCTCATGGATGACACAGGACATAAGAAGTTAACAACATTGCAAGGTCAATCAATATACAATACAAATTCACCCAAAAAGTTAATAGTGTATCTTTTGCATGGAAAAATTAATGCACTCTAAATATTGCCTAAAAGTGTTTAAATGTTGAATGTTATATAATTGGCTTTTGTTGGATTTATAAGATGTAATATGAGAGTCAGTAATAAGAACAATTCAGCATAAATGCATTATATTATGTGTACATGCCTTTCAGTTTCTCAGATGATAAACTTAATTTCGAGCTCTTCAAGTCCAAAACAAAATTATTTTCTGTGTATTATTCTAATATGTAATGAATAGGGCCACGGGCTGCTAAAATCTGTACTTCATTCAAATTTGACTGAACCAGTAAAGTTGGCAAAGTCCATCATTTTGAACACCAAAAATGTGTATTGACTTTTTGTGTTTGATCCAATTATTAATCAGATTATAAATAATCAAATGGGCTTTAGATCATGAGGAGTTATGATAAATATGATATTTCTTATTTAAAGAAACCTTCCTTTCCCTCCATTACCAGTATTACAGTACATGTACAGATTGGAGTGATTTGGTATATTTTTGTGTAATTTAACTTGACTTAATCAATTTTAATACACTTTGTAGTCCTACATTTGTCAACATATTTTTTTCTATTTCATATATATGTCCTGTTGTCATGAGCATACAACCATCATGACAGACAGAAATAGATACTTATGTTATGTTCTTGATATAGAAGTAGAATATCATGACAAACATGCAGCAGTATGCCTAGAATTATTTTCTGTATATAGCTCCTCATATCTCTGCTTCATGTTACATGAGTCTATAATTAGTATACATACAGAATATGATAAGTGCATTTAGTAGACCTTGAGAATATATCTGATGACCTATAACCATTGTGCTTCGTTTGTCATTGTCCACCGTGCCATCCACTGTGCGTAAACTTTTGACATTTCAAACTTCCTCTCAAGTTCCACAACTGGGATTGAGCTCAAACTTGCATGAAATGATCCTGGGATGGTCCTGACCATGTGTTATTATTTAACGGGTATGTCTGAAATCCAAGATGACTGCCATGACAGCCATCTTGAAAAACATATCTTAAACATCTTCTCCAGTTCCACAGTTGCCTTTGATCTGAAAATTGGTGGGAATCTCAAGGACAGGTAGCCAATAAAGTGTTGTTATTTTTCAACCTTGTCAAAACTATGATATAGCAGCTAGGGAGGCCATTTTAAATGATTGTGCAATTATGGTTTTCCTGTGCAACACCTATTTGAAACTTCTCAAGTTTCTCTGGTTGGATTGAACTTATACTTGCATAAAATGATCCTGAGATGGTCCTGACTAAGTGTTGTTATTTTTTGGATTTGTCTGAAATCAAAGATGGCTGCCATCTTGAAAAACATATTTTAAACTTTTTCTCGAGTTCCACTGGTGCTATTGAACTGAAAATTGGTGGGAATGTTAAGAAAAGGTAGCCAACAAAGTGTTTTTATTTTTGTATGTTGTTAATACTTTGATACTGCTACCAGGGAGGCCATTTTGTAACATGATTGCGCAATCATGGTTTTCCTATGCAACACCCATTTCAAACTTCTTCTGAAGTTTCACCAGTTGGATTGAGCTCCAACTTTACTGTTAAAAAATAGGTAACACTTGTTACCATTACCTACTCCTCACAGGACCTACCATCTGCTTCATGAATCATGCATCACAATTTCTTAGCAAGATTTAATTTGGAGTAGAAAAAAAAAACCTACATCATGTTTTTTTTGTAGTCAGATGACTGTTAAAGTCCATGGGCCTCTTGTTTTTTTGTTTCCCAAAAATGAGATCTGACACTTCAGTTTTAATGGACATGTCTATTTCATTTATGTTTTGACCCCTAAGATTTATTTGACTTCTGAAATTGCCAATAAGGGGTCCTGTAGCAGTATGTTGAAATACTGTGTATGGTTCCACTTTAGAAATTTTGAAATTAGTATAACTTGGTATTATTTTAAATGTTTAAGATATTTAATTTTTTGACCATTTTGCTTCCAAAGTGTATATCAGTTCTTGTGATTTGAAGTGACCTGTTGCAATTCAATCATCTACACATTCGGTAACATTTAGACCCTAAAGTGCCAATAGTATTTATTACTGAAATCTAAATCCTTCAGGAACAGCTAAGTATTGTCCAGTATTGAGATAGAATTTTTATGAGGAAGAAAATATGAGTAAAGTGATTTAATGTGTACACTATACAGTTGTGTTGCAGTTTTCCTTCATATACATGTTGTAGGTAGTAAAGAATTAGGACTTGAATTTGACAAAATTTGTAGACCGGTCACTTAAAAAGTACTTTGGTCTACCGCTAATTGTAAACTTTGATATACATCAAATGTATTACATATATCAATATACTTACCTAGTATATAGATTCAGGGCACTTGTACTCCATATATGATAACACTTAACTTTCCTTTGTTGCAGTAAATGTACTTAAAAGCCACGTTGACAGTGACTTTACCATGACGGCTGTCTGTGCTACCATTCTGTGCGAGTACTGTGTTATGGGAGAATGAGGCAGTTTAGGACTTGGGTATTTGAGTGTGAATTCTTCCTTTCCACACTCACAAAACATGTCTTCATCATCTTTTTTCTGTCATCCTTTTTTATATCAGGTGAGTAATCAAAGATATTTTGCAGTTGTTGAACACTGAAATCAGTTTTGTGTAATAAGTAGTTAGGTATATTTATGTATGTGGATACCTGTAAATTTCTGCAATCCTGATAAATGTTGGTAGTTAAAAGAGATACTACTTCTTGAATATACAATGTATGAACTGAGGGTTGGGAATGCATTTCAAGTCCTTGTGGTTCTGATCAATAGGTCTGCTCTCTGCAAAATACAAAGTAATGCAAAACAACTGAATTTCAGTCAAAAAACAACATACACCTTGTCAATATACCACGTCAATATACCTGGTCAATATACTACGTCAGTATACCATGTCAATATACCTTGTCAATATACCATGTCAATATACCATGTCGATATACCATGAGATTTCAGGGCAAATGTGTGAAAGGGAAGAAAATATCTGAAAAAGTTTTTTAATTTCTACAAATATTCTCAGAATGAAAAGTACCTAAATGTGGTCAAATGGTAAAGTTTAAATGAAATGTTTCAAACTAGATTACCTAAAAGGAAGACAAAGTCGAATATTCTTTGCTTCTTTTTGATTCCTTGTGAATAAGGGATCATCAGTTTAAATCCTTATAATGTTAAAATGTTGATCGCTTGGTTGCAAAGTTTCCCTATTAACATGTCTAAAATCACCTCCATTTTAAATGGGATCCTTATCACATTAACTGCTATTTTTCACCTTTTTTAGGCCCAATTCATACCCTAAAATTACTTCTTACATTTTTCCCAATTAATGTACCAAATATTAATAACATAGTTTTTAGAAAAGTTGTTCCCCAGATTCTAAAGTTGATGTTATATCTGTCTTCAGTAGAAGCTGTTGTTTTGTATATAAGATTTAACATTCTCTAACTAACGTCATTGTTACCAATATATTAAGAGTTTATGCTATATCTGTCTTCATTAGAAGCTGTTGCACCTAATACAGTCTGTATATATATATATATGTGTGTGTGTGATGTGTATAGTCATACTTTGACACTAAATAGGACCTGGTTTCTATTCTGCAAAATGGGACTGACAGTACAATTAAGAAAACAGGACTTTAAATTAAGCTAACATGTTATAAAGTTTAGCAGGTTGTCATGGCAATCATTTATAATTATTTGTTTATCATTGTTCATCAATAGAAGTCAAATTCCATTAAACTAAAATTTGTTTGTCTAGCTTTAATCTATGTCTGTAGTAAGCATGTTAGCCCTAAGGGCCAGCAATGATAATTTGATGTGGCACTTTATTGTCGGTCAAACTTTATATGTCTCCACTCTGGCCCCATTATTGGATTAACATAAACGTCCTACATGTAACTACCTAAGTAATGTAGAGCTTCAAAGGGCTCAGACAAGGAAATTCATTGGAAAATCTGTTTGTTTGTAATTTTATAACTTTATCCTTGTTTTTAGACTTACAACCACTTGTAACTTTAATTAGCTTATCATGGTCATGTGACCTGTTCACTGTAATATAGGACTTCATCTAATAACTTTTTCTTAGTCAATTCTGATGAAATTTCCTTATAAGGTAAATGATGAAGTTCTCATTGATGGTTTTTTTTTGGGGGGGGGGTGGGGGGGGTAACCTATAATCGATTGATTACAATCACATATTCTACTGTAGGAAACAGATATGGGACCTTTCTACTGTAGAAAACAGAGAAGGGACCTTTCTACTGTAGGAAACAGAGAAGGGATCTTTCTACTGTAGGAAACAGGGAAGGGACCTTTCTACTGTAGGAAACAGAGAAGGGACCTTTCTACTGTAGAAAAAAGAAAAGGGAACTTTCTACTGTAGGAAACAGAGAAGGGACCTTTCTACTGTAGGAAACAGAGAAGGGAACGTTCTACTGTAGGAAACAGAGAAGGGACCTTTCTACTGTAGAAAACAGAGAAGGGAACTTTCTACTGTAGGAAACAGGGAAGGGAACATTTCTACTGTAGAAAACAGAGAAGGGACCTTTCTACTGTAGAAAACAGAGAAGGGACCTTTCTACTGTAGGAAACAGAGATGGGAACCTTCTACTGTAGAAAACAGAGAAGGGACCTTTCTACTGTAGAAAACAGAGAAGGGACCTTTCTACTGTAGAAAACAGAGAAGGGACCTTTCTACTGTAGAAAACAGAGAAGGGACCTTTCTACTGTAGGAAACAGAGAAGGGAACTTTCTACTGTAGGAAACAGAGAAGGGAACTTTCTACTGTAGAAAAGAGAAGGGACAGAAAACAGAAGGGACCTTTCTACTGTAGGAAAGAGAGAAGGGACCTTTCTACTGTAGGAAACAGAGAAGGGACCTTTCTACTGTAGGAAACAGAGAAGGGACCTTTCTACTGTAGGAAACAGAGAAGGGACCTTTCTACTGTAGGAAACAGAGAAGGGACCTTTCTACTGTAGAAAACAGAGAAGGGACCTTTCTACTGTAGGAAACAGAGAAGGGACCTTTCTACTGTAGGAAACAGAGAAGGGACCTTTCTACTGTAGGAAACAGAGAAGGGACCTTTCTACTGTAGGAAACAGAGAAGGGACCTTTCTACTGTAGGAAACAGAGAAGGGACCTTTCTACTGTAGAAAACAGAGAAGGGACCTTTCTACTGTAGGAAACAGAGAAGGGACCTTTCTACTGTAGAAAACAGAGAAGGGACCTTTCTACTGTAGGAAACAGAGAAGGGACCTTTCTACTGTAGGAAACAGAGAAGGGACCTTTCTACTGTAGGAAACAGAGAAGGGACCTTTCTACTGTAGGAAACAGAGAAGGGACCTTTCTACTGTAGGAAACAGAGAAGGGACCTTTCTACTGTAGGAAACAGAGAAGGGACCTTTCTACTGTAGGAAACAGAGAAGGGACCTTTCTACTGTAGGAAACAGAGAAGGGACCTTTCTACTGTAGGAAACAGAGAAGGGACCTTTCTACTGTAGAAAACAGAGAAGGGACCTTTCTACTGTAGAAAACAGAGAAGGGATTTTTCTACTGTAGAAAACAGAGAAGGGACCTTTCTACTGTAGAAAACAGAGAAGGGACCTTTCTACTGTAGGAAACAGAGAAGGGACCTTTCTACTGTAGGAAACAGAGAAGGGACCTTTCTACTGTAGGAAACAGAGAAGGGACCTTTCTACTGTAGGAAACAGAGAAGGGAACTTTCTACTGTAGGAAACAGAGAAGGGACCTTTCTACTGTAGGAAACAGAGAAGGGAACCTTTCTACTGTAGGAAACAGAGAAGGGATCTTTCTACTGTAGGAAACAGAGAAGGGACCTTTCTACTGTAGGAAACAGAGAAGGGACCTTTCTACTGTAGGAAACAGGGAAGGGACCTTTCTACTGTAGGAAACAGGGAAGGGACTTTTCTACTGTAGAAAACAGAGAAGGGACCTTTCTACTGTAGAAAACAGATATGAGACCTTTCTACTGTAGAAAACAGAGAAGGGACCTTTCTACTGTAGAAAACAGAGAAGGGAACTTTTTACTGTAGAAAACAGAGAAGGGAACTTTCTACTGTAGAAAACAGAGAAGGGACCTTTCTACTGTAGGAAACAGAGAAGGGAACTTTCTACTGTAGAAAACAGAGAAGGGACCTTTCTACTGTAGAAAACAGAGAAGGGACCTTTCTACTGTAGGAAACAGAGAAGGGACCTTTCTACTGTAGAAAACAGATATGGGACCTTTCTACTGTAGAAAACAGAGAAGGGACCTTTCTACTGTAGAAAAAAGAAAAGGGACCTTTCTACTGTAGAAAACAGAGAAGGGAACTTTCTACTGTAGGAAACAGAGAAGGGACCTTTCTACTGTAGGAAACAGAGAAGGGACCTTTCTACTGTAGAAAACAGAGAAGGGACCTTTCTACTGTAGAAAACAGAGAAGGGACCTTTCTACTGTAGAAAAGGGACCTTTCTACTGTAGAAAACAGAGAAGGGACCTTTCTACTGTAGAAAAAAGAGAAGGGACCTTTCTACTGTAGAAAACAGAGAAGGGACCTTTCTACTGTAGGAAACAGAGAAGGGAACTTTCTACTGTAGGAAACAGAGAAGGGACCTTTCTACTGTAGGAAACAGAGAAGGGACCTTTCTACTGTAGGAAAGAGAGAAGGGACCTTTCTACTGTAGGAAACAGAGAAGGGAACTTTTTACTGTAGAAAACAGAGACCTTTCTACTGTAGGAAACAGAGAAGGGACCCCAGGTATAGATCTGGTATGCACAGTTTGAGTTTCCCTACCAATGGTGGTTTGTGTTTCACGTGGAGCCAAGAAAAGGACTGAAAATGTGCTGATGTGGACAAGAGGCTATACCCTAATTGCACTGGTTGATTTGTTATAGGCATCCCATATGTCGTCCAGTGAGGTAGTCACCAGATATTTCCAGGAGACCTGCCTCTAAATGACCCAAGCTGTGTACAGGGTGAAAACCCAGCAAACCAAGCAGTAGTAGGGTGATGCTCCAAACATTTACATCATTTTTATCTTCTCCAAGGTTTCATAGCATATACTCAGATGAACATTTAAGAAAACCCCCCTCCACTTTCTGTTCATAACAAGGTCGACTAGTGCTTATGGCAGGGTCAACTTAATGTTCTTTCATTACATTTTTGGTTACCATGGAAAGGAATAGCCTAAATATTTAATTTTGTCTTTACTGTTGTAGAGCTATCTCTGATAACATTCAACAAGATCATACAGAAAATTTATGTGTGTATCCATCTTGAGGTTCTAGTACCTATACATTGTACTGTCTCTTGCTATGGTGGAATCTCCACTCAAAATATTGATCTGAAATAAAAAGCAATTCTGCCATAATGAGCATGTTTTCAACATCTCCAGGAATTCCTTGGTGGAATCTGTATGACCTCTAAATAACCTTAATGCAGTTTCGGAGAGAATGTTATCATATTGTCAAACATAGGTTTGATAATTTGATTTCTTGATTAGTGACTGTTTATAATCAGTGGAAATCAATAATTATTGGTTTGTTTACAACTACCAACTGACCCAAAATGCATGATTGAAAAACAGATTTAAACTGTATTGTAGTCACATCAATGTTTTAATTCATTTTTATTGAATTTGGAGTAAAATGTAAAAAAAATTGTGAAAGTGTGGTTACAATGAATGGACAGATTTATACTATATACTGCTTACTTGTAGTTATTTCATATGAACAATGATCATCAAAAATGGTATTTCATAAAAATATGATTTCTTTTTTATTTAATTTTTCATTTTCAGATGGTATATAATGACATCGTCTTAAACTAAATGATTTTATACTTAATTGTTACGATATCATTATATATTAATCGTGATCTTCTTTATTTGTCTTATAAAGTCATCAGTGATCAACACAAGTCCAACACTACAGTCAGTAGAATGTAACTGATCGCAGAAATTGATTTTTCTCTTCATTGTTGAGAAATATGTTACAAGGGAAGAAAGATCATGGTGTGTATTATACCAAGACATCTGTTGCCAAAATCGACTAACCATGCTCGCCAAGTCATGATTTCTAGTACTCATTCATATGTCAATGTTTTCAATGAAATTTAACAATACATACAAATAAATATCTTTGGATTTGGTGTGACAAATTTCAAAAGTTTATATCAATAATTTTGAATATTAGTTCTGATACAGGTATTGATAAAGATTTCTTGTTTCACAGAAATTTTTTGGAACAAAGGTAATCTATATATATATATATATAATTCAAATAATTCAAATAAGAGAGACACTTTGCATATCGTACATATAAATATAAAAACAAAATATCAACATAGCAAATCACAATCAAATCACATTGCAATCACCTGAAGATGGCCGCAAGGCTTGAAAACGTTAGTGATCTGGAATTTTTGTTACTGTGTTAATATTTTGTTTTTCTATTTAGATATATACATATACATATATATATATATGTGCCAGGTAACAGGCTGAAGCAATAGCCCTGTCCTTAAATGGCTGAAATGTATTACCTTATTACATGGTATAACTTCGATAGTGCAAGTCAAAGAAGTGAAATATGAATTTGAATAAAACCCACTAATTGTTTGTTAAATTTAGGGATGTTGAATAAAGGTGTTTATTATCAGGGAAAACAATTAAAACTACAGTAGAGTAAGATTTCCAAATTTTCTGTAGTTTTTCTGGTTAGTTTGATATTGTTTACTGGAACTCCCTTTCTTATTGATTGGTTAATTCTTCAAAACAACAACAACAACAACAACAACAACATAGTTTGATGGTGAAATACGTAAGTAAATATTAACACAAAAATACATTGATTAATGAGTCACCATGTGTTTGGCTCAGTGAGTAGAACATCAGGCTTTATAACCTAAAGTCAAGCTCTGTAGTGTGTGGTTCGGGCCCTGTTTTGAGGCACTTTGTGTTTCTCAAAACACAGAGACCACATAGATGGTCCTGTAAAGTCATGGTTGTGTTCATGGAAATATACTTAACTACAAGATCAATTATGTATGTATACTAGAAGACTTTACCTCAAAATGGCCCTGGCTGTTCAACATATTGAAAAAAAAAAAAAAAACATAGATAATTACATATATGTATTGATCAGATCTTACACAGATTTATTATATACAACCTCAGTATCACAGACCAATTATGTCCAAAATATCTATGTGGTGCTGTCGTTCCAAATCACACTGTCACTTATTTCAAAAGAGTCTTACCAAAACTCATTGAACCTTCTTTCTAGCGACAATAATGTGGGCAATTTGTTTGGGTATAACAGTAGTGTCCTTATATTTTGCAACCTGTATACAAAGTTACCATGATACATGTATATAATCGACCAGTTGACCACGTCTACGTCGCTAGTGAAATTCATCCTGGAGCATGTTTTAAACTGGCTTTGCTAGTCAGTAATTGATAATGATTTCATGACATTGACAATGCATTACATCATTGATCAAAAATGGTGTCCTTGGTTTGATTTTGACTTCCACATTTTAACTTTCCAACATGACATAATGGGACTTATCTGAAATATATGATAAATTATATTCTAGATTTATTTTCCTTTCATGAAAGATTTTATGAAAAATAAATTTATCGGACTTGTTTCATGGTAACTTGTATCACTTGCCAAGTGGTTGTAAATTTAACAGCCAATTAGAGGACAATTTGTCTACAGTGTCTCAACTCTAATATCAGATGACCTTGAGCTCGGCAATAGCAATCAATAAAAGTGGTCAGGATCAATCATTAATGTCATTGAATTGTTTAACTAACTATTCCCCGACCAATTATAGTAGAGACAGAGTATCTATATAGCTTTCCAACATCACTACAGTACAGAGGTTCTGTGTAGCCCTCCAACACAACTACAGTACAGAGGTTCTGTGTAGCCCTCCAACACAACTACAGAACAGAGGTTTTGTGTAGCCCTCCAACACAACTACAGTACAGAGGTTTTGTGTAGCCCTCCAACACAACTACAGTACAGAGGTTCTGTGTATCCCTCCAACATCACTACAGTACAGAGGTTTTGTGTAGCTCTCCAACACAACTACAGTACAGAGGTTTTGTGTAGCTCTCCAACACAACTACAGTACAGAGGTTCTGTGTAGCCCTCCAACACAACTACAGAACAGAGGTTCTGTGTAGCCCTCCAACATCACTACAGTACAGAGGTTTTGTGTAGCTCTCCAACACAACTACAGTACAGAGGTTCTGTGTAGCCCTCCAACATCACTACAGTACAGAGGTTTTGTGTAGCTCTCCAACACAACCACAGTACAGAGGTTCTGTGTAGCCCTCCAACACAACTACAGAACAGAGGTTTTGTGTAGCTCTCCAACACAACTACAGAACATAGGTTCTGTGTAGCCCTCCAACACCATTACAGTACAGAGGTTCTGTGTAGCCCTCCAACACAACTACAGTACGGAGGTTCTGTGTAGCCCTCCAACACAACTACAGAACAGAGGTTCTGTGTAGCCCTCCAACACAACTACAGTACAGAGGTTCTGTGTAGGCCTCCAACACCACTACTGTCCAACACCTCATACAGATCAGTTTCTATGTAGGCCTCTTACACAACTACTGTTTTGATGGAACAACTTGTTCTGTACAGAATTTATATAAAAGCCTCCAACAAAACTGTCAAACAGTATACCCAACTTTCACATGTCTTGATTGTCATATACACATAGTACAATAATACAGCATATATTTCTAGACCACCAACTGGTGGTCACACTGCCATTCATCCATCTACAGCTTCCAACATCAATCATATTCTCAAATTCCTGATTCCTCTGATTCCTCTTTGTCCCATGTTGTGCATTCCAATATTTGGACTGATAAAGAAATAACTGGTCCCCAGGCAGACCTCTTGGAATTTTATTCCAGGAGTTTGTAATTGCTTTATAGTAAAGCTTCTTAGAAGCATTTTGTCTCAGATTTTGTGTTAGCTCCGCTTGGCTCCCTATTAGGAATACTGAAGTCTTGGACTGTCAAAAAATGCAAAATGTAAACTCATTGTAAATGAAATGGTATATTACTTTTTTATCTAAACCAACTCCCAGGTATTGTTTTTATATGATTATTTCTTAATTAGTGACTGGTTATAATCAGTGGAAATCTTGGACAATTAATTGAACTTTGTTAATTGATTGTGCCATGTTAAAATTTTGGTATTTAGTTCCACATTTAGCTGCATTTGTCTGTAGTTATTTCTGTATAAGTGTGTAAGCATTTTAGACTCTGATTTTCACCTATAGTTTACCTTTCATTGGACTTTGGTCATTAATTGGGCCATGTTTAAGTTTTTGTTTAGTTTTGTGTCAAGCTTTATTTTATCTACAGGTACATAAGCTGTCATTTCCAGTCCTGGAATATACTTATATTTCTGTATGGCCATGTTTGAGATTGCTTTTCATGTGTGTTATCCCTGTTCCTGCCATATTTGGAGCAAATCAGAATTTTCATTTTTGTTAATTCTAATTCTGTACGTAATTGTGATATACAGATCTATCATAGGGATTCATTTCCTTTCGACTCTATAGATCTAAACTGTAAGTTTACTCATCACAACTCAAACAAAGGGACAAATTGGGATAATAAAAAGAGATGGAGGAGTCCAACGTCCTGTGAGTGGTACTAGTTGGTAGATGTATCGGTAGAACCAACGTCCTGTGAGTGGTACTAGTTGGTAGATGTATCGGTAGAATCAACGTCCTGTGAGTGGTACTAGTTGGTAGATGTATCGGTAGAACCAACGTCCTGTGAGTGGTACTAGTTGGTAGATGTATCGGTAGAAGAATCCTCGGTGGCTCTGAAGGATTCTAGCAGAACTCCATAGACGATAGCTACTAACCACTAAATAAAGGATGGAGCATCAACACCCAGGATTCCGTGTTGTATAAAACTACAAATGGACAAATTGTATAAATGGAATGCATGCAAGAAATATCTATGGCTATTGTTTCATAAAACTCATCTCCACAAACCATGCTTGGAAGCATCACACACTTCTGTGGAATTCTTGTCATGGAATTCTGTCTATAAATTTTTCTTTTGTAGGAATATTTAATGCGGACATCTGTAATAAGGATTTGACATCCGCCCGACTGAAAACAGCCCTTCACCAGAAATCAGTGCCACGCCAGCTCTACAATGCAGGAAATTTCACACGAGACTCAACTGCCAAAGATATTGTTAACTGTATCATAAGCTGCTGTGATCAGCCCACCTGTGATACAGTCTTATTCCACAACAGCACATGTTACCATATAAAGTGCAATGTATCATGGGAAGGATCATGTGACCCTACCACAAAATCAGATGACAAATTTAACACAACTATTTATGTAGAGGTGCGGTCTGTTGGTAAGTATATGTTGTGTGTAGCGAGATATAAGCTGAGGGAACGATGGCAAGAAAAATTAAATACTGTATCTTGTACTGAGTAAGGAAGAGGGGATGGAAGCTAATCTGCAGCTTGAAAAATATACTTCAAGAATTTGTACAAACATACTTGCTAGTGCTCCATAACATGTTATTTGCTGTTTTGATAGCAAAATGATCACACCTGTCTTGTACACTCTATGTACATATGCATCCTGAAATTTGTGCTAATTCTTCATTTAGTGCATTCAAAATTATTAAATCTTATTTAAGATGTTTTGAGTGAAAAACAAGTTAATGAAACTAAAGGATGGAAACATACAAGGAACACTGTTTGTTTAATGCATTGAGTTTTGATTAATTTGTGTGACTTATGGCTTTTTATGTACATGGATGCTATAGTTCATATTAATACAAGAGTAAAGTTTGGTGATCATCAGTCAGTGCTAAAAGGTCAAAGGTCATACTTGTGTACTTTTAAATCATTTTGAGGTATTTCCTATTGTACACTAGGTTCTTTTCTTATAGACTTATTTTTATTGCTTCATCAGAATATGTTAAACAGTCCATGGTAAAACCTGAGGAAGATGGTGGTGAGAAATCTTGTGATCTCCAAACACATGCTGGATGTCCAGACAATGAAGAATGCAAGTTGGATGATCAGTTTGAAAAGGCGAAATGTCGATGTATCGCTGGATATGTGAGAGACACCAATACAGGCATTTGTAAAGGTATGCCACGTCATGAACATCTTTGATATTAAAGGCCGTAAATAAGTATTACAGTTAGATATGGCTTACAAATATATCAGCTTTTTTAGAAAATTTCCTTAATTTGCCCATTTGATAATCATTCAGTTTTGTATTTATGTATTGGAGAACTCAATGAGATATTTCTCTATACTTTACTTACAAAAATGAATAAGCTTTATGTTGCTATTTATACCTCATTGTGAATTTACAAAATGATGTCACTGAAATCTAAATACACGTATTAACAAACATCTTGAAAACCATAAAGAATTGAGACTTCATTATTTAAACTAAAATATTTTATTCCTTCTGGCAGACACATTTAGCTCTATTGTCTAATCTTTATAATGTTATTTAAGTATGAAAAATTGTCAAGGAAAGGGATTTAGTACATGTGTATTGTATTCAAAGGGCTATGTTTGTTAAGAAAAGGTCATAATTATTAAGGGGTTATGTTATGTTTTATTAAGAAAAAGTCTAAATCCTTAAGGAGTTATGTAATGTTTTGTTAAGAAAAAGTCTAAATCCTTAAGGAGTTATGTAATGTTTTGTTAAGAAAAAGTCTAAATCCTTAAGGAGTTATGTAATGTTTTGTTAAGAAAAAGTCTAAATCCTTAAGGAGTTATGTAATGTTTTGTTAAGAAAAAGTCTAAATCCTTAAGGAGTTATGTAATGTTTTGTTAAGAAAAAGTCTAAATCCTTAAGGAGTTATGTAATGTTTTGTTAAGAAAAAGTCTAAATCCTTAAGGAGTTATGTAATGTTTTGTTAAGAAAAAGTCTAAATCCTTAAGGAGTTATGTTATGTTTTATTAAGAAAAAGTCTAAATCCTTAAGGAGTTATGTAATGTTTTGTTAAGAAAAAGTCTAAATCCTTAAGGGGTTATGTTATGTTTTATTAAGAAAAAGTCTAAATCCTTAAGGGGTTATGTTATGTTTTATTAGAAAAAGTCTAAATCCTTAAGGAGTTATGTAATGTTTTGTTAAGAAAAAGTCTAAATCCTTAAGGAGTTATGTAATGTTTTGTTAAGAAAAAGTCTAAATCCTTAAGGAGTTATGTAATGTTTTGTTAAGAAAAAGTCTAAATCCTTAAGGGGTTATGTTATGTTTTATTAAGAAAAAGTCTAAATCCTTAAGGGGTTATGTTATGTTTTATTAAGAAAAAGTCTAAATCCTTAAGGAGTTATGTAATGTTTTGTTAAGAAAAAGTCTAAATCCTTAAGGAGTTATGTAATGTTTTGTTAAGAAAAAGTCTAAATCCTTAAGGAGTTATGTAATGTTTTGTTAAGAAAAAGTCTAAATCCTTAAGGGGTTATGTTATGTTTTATTAAGAAAAAGTCTAAATCCTTAAGGAGCTATGTAATGTTTTGTTAAGAAAAAGTGTTATGTAATGTTTTGTTAAGAAAAAGTCTAAATCCTTAAGGAGTTATGTAATGTTTTGTTAAGAAAAAGTCTAAATCCTTAAGGAGTTATGTAATGTTTTGTTAAGAAAAAGTCTAAATCCTTAAGGGGTTATGTTATGTTTTGTTAAGAAAAAGTCTAAATCCTTAAGGAGTTATGTAATGTTTTGTTAAGAAAAAGTCTAAATCCTTAAGGAGTTATGTAATGTTTTGTTAAGAAAAAGTCTAAATCCTTAAGGGGTTATGTTATGTTTTGTTAAGAAAAGGTTGTAATTCTTAAGGGGTTATATTATGTAAAGAAACAGTTAATTTTTCAATGAATCCTATATTCTATTTTCAGCTAAGAAACACAATTAAAATAATGAGAAATAAAAATCCTTTAGATGACTTCTGTGAAAAATACGCCATAAAACTTGAAAAAAATTTGAACCTTTTCAATATTTTTGCATTCCATGGAAGGTTTGTATAAATTTATGTTAATTATTTTCAGCTTTGGAAGAAAAACCTGTCAAGATATCATGTCAGGATGGGATGGAAGAATCATGCGGTGAAAATGAACGGTGTTTTGTCTCAGATCAAATCACATCCAATGCTGGTCTGTGTGTGTGTTTGGATGGCTTCCATAGGGATGACACAAGACAATGTGTCAAAGGTACATTTATTAGTGATTAATGAAATCTTATATGTGTACATTATGTTCCATGTACATAAAAATCTCAAAACCAGAGGGAAAGAGTGTGTCCAGGTAGATTGATGCTTGCTGAGTTCTGTATGCTCACTGTTTCTTGAGTTGAGGGGCTAGTGATATTTTTTCTGCATGTGATTATCCCCCCCCCACAAACATTTGTAAACAAAGCCATGTTTTTACATCTGGTATGCAGCCTTAATGAGATTTTTGATGAGTTCCACAAAGGGACAGTTTGGTTTGGTTTGGTTGAGATTAGTCAGGTGAACATTTAGGCCCAAGGTTCTCTTGTAATAAAGAAACCCAGTTGTCTTTCCACTGTTTATCTCTATTATTCGCAGGCAGATGAATAGTGTTACCCTTCAATGTCTTCTCTTATGTAACGGACATTAATGAATGCTAATTTTCCTGAGACCGGAAAACTATGGGGATGTTTTTCTCCTCTTTATTCATTTTTTACTTCGGCTGAAAAGCCATGTCGACTAATTACATGAGAGACAGAAAATTCCTCTTAATCCTCTGTTCCTTCAATGATGGGTTAATCTGCTACTCTGTTCCTCAGAAATAAATTCTGACAGACATGTCAATAACTGTAGGTGTCATCTGACAGAATTGTGATGTAGACTAAAATATCATATCTGGACAGCTATAGTAGAATCATGTTTGGGTTTACATGTGTTCGTTACAGCGGCCCCGTCCCTGTGTGACACTGACAAAGAGAATGACTGTGGAGTAAACGAACGATGTGATGTTCCAGTAGGACTGCCAACACGCCTAGGGACATGTGTTTGTGTTCAGGGATACCATCGTAACCAGGACAACCAGTGTGTCATTGACCCAGGTAAGTGCTGATGTAACACATTAAGCTTACACTTGTTTCTAAGGGTCACTTAAGTTTATGTGGAAAAAAAACAGTTTGTTGAGATTTTAAATCAGATATTTCAGGCATTGACCTGTGTAAGAGTGCTGATTTAATAATTATTCTTAAATATGTTGCCAAGGGTCACTTTCCTTTATGTGGAAAAACCACTGGTGAAGCCAACAAGTGAAAGAGCTTGTCCAAATAATTTCTAACTGTCCTAATCTGTGTATTGTTCCCTTGTTTTTGGTTATGTATATTCACTCCATACGCTCTGAATATTAGCAAGTATATTCCTGAATTACAAGGGGCACCTGCTACCCCCATGACTCCTGTGGTCACCACGCTTCAACTTCCCATATCTAAGATGAAACCTTGCACCTATGGCATTCCCCACACCTGTCCTGATCACATGATCTGCTTCATCCCTGAGTCTTCCAAGAAACGAACTGGTCTCTGTACCTGTGACACTGGCTATGAAATGGACCAGGAGGCTCAATGTCACCCCAAAGGTAAATGAAGGAAGGTTGCTCTAATGTTTTGCAGTTGTCACCTTTAAATTTGAAACATGATGTATTTTTGTTTTTTCTTTTTATCTAGAAAGGCAGATAGATTGATTTGTATTGGGAAAATTAAGTAATTCTGATGTTTGAAATTTCAGAATCAAATTTCTTTTGTGCATTGTTGTCTTCATAATCAAAATGTGGCAAAGAATGCACACCAGAAAGGAACACTATACAATGAAACCTGTCTATAGAGGCCACTCAAGTCAGCAGAAAAAATGGCCTTTATTCACAGTTGACCTTTATACGGTGGTGCAGATACTAAAAATTGCATTACATTGGGAACTAAGAAAATGTAGACAAGAGGTCTTTTTTTATAAAGTTGGCGTTTATGACAGTGCTTAAGGGGTGAAATAGATTTTTTCAAACATCTTAGTGATTATGTTTGCTGATACTGCTGTTGTTAAAGTTACCTTACCACAGTATTATGTATCTCCCCTTGTACTACCAATAAAATAGGGGTAATTTTGTTTATGCGAACAAACCGCTTTGTACTTTAAATGTAATATTTTAGGTATAAACCAGAACAGACCTGCAAATAAATCATCCTCGAGACTCCAGGGGTAACAATCACTTTCACTGTCATTACCTTGGAACATGTCATGGTAAAATTGAAGGCAAGTCTTTTGTCTTGTCCAGAAAGTGTCACACATGGCACCTTTAATATTGCCATGACATGTTTCAGGGGTTCAGAGTGTTAATCTAATTGTAATCCCTGGAGTGTCAAGGATGCAAATAGACATACTCGGACAGAAAAGCTTGTCTGAGACTTATCAGGAAACAAAATGGGATCAGTATTTCAAAAATTCACAATCTCGGTCAGTCTGATAAAGAAAACATCACTATGGGTCTCTCTATCTGTATCAAAATGGTGAAAAAACTGCAAACATTTTCATAAAAAAAAAAAATAAGATGGAATAGATAAAATAACATGGTTTTAAAGCCTTTTTTCATTGCAGGATTAAATAAATACAACTATTTTGATTTGTATCTTCTGTAAGGTTTGTGCAGCAGAAATGGCAGGAGTTCTTTTTTTCCCTACTGTTAGGATTAACAAAAACTTTCATCTACAAAAACTGTTCAGTAGACGTTAAAGATTGTTCCAACAATAAAGAACATTCCTCTTTGCAGATGCATTTTGCATAATTTGGGGAAACTTTTGTTTAAAAAAAAAGTAAATCAAAAACATAAAATTCTACTTCTAAAAATTTTCCACAAGTATATTTTGGAAAATTTCATCTAAAATACTGGTTAGTAAAAAGCCATGTGATACTGATTTCAATTCTATTTAATTCTTTTCAGATGAAAATGATGCAGGAATAGTTACTGATGCAACAATAGAAAAACATGTAAGTAGATAAAAAATGAGTAAGTGAACCAACGCTATGAAATGTAAGTAGATCATAAATGAGTAAGTGAATCAACACTATGAAATGTAAGTAGATCATAAATGAGTAAATGAACCAACGCTATGAAATATAAGTAGGTCATAAATGAGTTAGTGAACCAACACTATGAAATGTTAGTAGATCATAAATGAGTTAGTGAACCAACACTATGAAATGTAAGTAGATCATAAATGAGTAAGTGAACCAACGCTATGAAATTTGTAAGCACAATGCAAATCAAGTAAATGTACCTTTAAAAGGGGAAAAATGTACTAAGTAGACAATAGATCAGTATGTGCACTAGCTGTTTAAATTTTATATTTTGTTAGAAATGAAGAATCAGTTTGTGACCTTTTAACACACACATTACACATGTAAGATTAAAAAGTGATGTTGCCCTGATGTAGCTTAGGGTATACTGTAGGGGAGACACAATCATTTTTGATGGTTAAAAGAATGAGTTGTTTGTATTGTATGGTAAAATAGGGTACTTCCTTATCAGATGTGCTCTCCACAAAGAAAAAAGATAGTCAACAAATTTAATTTGTACAGGTTCTTTATATCACTAATAGCAGTCACAATGCATTTTTTTTCAATTTTTATGGAAGGGGGAGAGGGGTGTTGTGTGTTTGGTTTTGGGGTTTTGATGACATAATGATTTAATTGTCAATATTCATCATGAGTTATGATATATAGATATTTTAATTCTGATCTGTGAAATGTAATTAGACTAATCAACTTATTTGTGTTACTTTCAGGTGGGAGGGAAAGTGGTAGCAAAGAAAATACCAACCAAAGTTCCAAAAAGTAAGTCTTGACTGTAATCTTGGAATTTGAATGTTCCTAACTTCATCTTGTAAAGCGTCTTTTTATTGACAACGAAAAGCCTCGAACATTGTGCACCAATTTTAAGGACTTAGAACACTATATACTAATGACCTTGACCTTGTTTCCTTTTATTTGACCTTGATTTGTTACTTTAATGATTTTAACGATGTAATTAAAGTAACATTGTTTTTTTGGCTGCAGTACAGGGACTTACTGTTTCTGCTGGAGAAAATAAAGTGGTCCAACTTCCTGACAACAACGTGACTCTAAGTGCCTTCGTTCTGGAAACCAAATCAGATGGTAATGAATGTTATATGAACAATGTATATATACTTTTTGCATGTAAAGTTTGTTTTGAAGTATTTTTAAACTTTTTATGTGACACAAACACAAGATTACAGGGTGAGAAGGGACTTCCTACAAAATTTAAAGTAAGAATTATAATCAAATTCAAATTAGAAGGTGAGTACGAAAACTATCAGTTGTGTTGCATGAATGTTTTCTTGTGTGTTGATTTCTACTAGGAGTGTTTTAAGCTCACCAGGTCTGAAGGACCGATGAGCTTATGACACGGGCTGTCCTATGTAAGGTTTTCTTCATCCGTCCATCAACATTGCAACTAGTCATGAACAACATCTAAGCAGATTTGGACCAAATTTGTTCATACGTTTTCGTGGGAAAAGTTCTGAATTTTGTATATACCATAGGTCTGACTCCCATGGAAATTTAGCAAATTTTTTAAAATGCTTCTTCTGTAGGAAAGCCTGAATTCTGTTCCAATTTCATCTAATGTATCCTTGGGTGAAGAGGACTCAATTTCGTATAAACAGCGGGTCTCGGCTAACTGGGGTGGAGTGGCTTTATCCAAAATTTGAAATATAGCAAATATTTTAAATTCCATTTTCTTCTGTAGGAATGAATTGGTTTTGTCCAAATTTTGTCACAATCAATTTTAGGTGAAGTTAAATTTGTATAAAAGACAGGGGGTGTGGGGGGTTGGGGATGAAGGTGTTTTGATTTTATTATAGTAAATGAGAACAAGGTGATTGTTATCAGTTTCTGTTATTGCTATTCAAAACACAAAAAGGTGGATTTTGGAATGGAAAAAAAACGGGTACTATTTTTCAATGATGATTGTTATCACTATTAAAAACACAAAGAGGTGGAGGAGTGGGTGGTACTGGTTGGTAGACATAATGGTAGAGGAATCCTAGGAAGATACTGGAGTATTCTAGTAAAGCTCTATAGACAAGAGGCAATAACAAACAGATATAGGATGGAGCATCAACAGCAGAAATTCCTTTACTTAAATTTTATTGGTTGTTATGTTTTGGTTGGCTAGGTCAACCGACTTCAGAAGGGTGGGTCTAGCTAAACCAAACCAAGTGAATGATACAGGTCTTTTGGGCCTCATGTATTGTCTTGATTTATTAATGTATAATGATGAATAATTATATGTAATCACTGGTTACAGGAGAGACATTCAATTATGAATGGACCCTGATTACCTCCCCTGCTGGCGCAGAGACAGGAACAATGGTCGGAAAGAACACAGATACCCTACATCTCACAAAGGTTTGTAAAACAATAACAGAAATATTATTCAGTCAGATTAAGATTGATGAAAGTTGATAAACATATTATGCTTTGTTCGTCGAGGGTTTTTAGAAAGTCGCCATCAGGATTTATCGTTTATAGAATTTTCAAAAAAATTGTTAAACATAATTATTTTAGATTTGAACGAGTTTTTGTTTGTTTACATACCCTAATAATTATAAGGTACGGTTTGTCTCTCTGTAGTTGATCGCTGGCTTGTACACCTTCAAGATCAAGGTAACCGGACAGAAACGGGAAGGGTCAGGACTGGTTAATGTCACCGTCCAACCAGGTAAGCACAGGTCAAAGGTTACCACAGTTCAAAGGTGACTGTCACTTTGTATAATGATGTGTTATGAATATACACCAAAGGACTAGGTATCTCACTGGTAAATGAGAACGGGACATTAATTTTTGAAAATTTCTTCTTAGTACATAAATAACATTGCATATATATCAAGTATCTTGTAGTATGCAACTGTTCAAGTCTGAAATTATGGAAAATAGGGAATAAACTAGTTCAAATTTATGATTAAAGGTTTAGAGGAAAATGGGGCTGTTATACCTCAGTCTGTAAAGTGTCAGACTTTGCAGTGAATATCTGAGATGCCTAGTTTGATGATCCCAACTCTGTTAAGGGAAGTGGGATGTTGTGTTTTGTTAGAAGCTGTTAGAGATAAAAACGAAATACCAATATATCAGTATAATCATAATTCAAAGTCAAGTTCAATATAAGTAGGGGAGATGATAAAGTAGGGGAGATGATAAAGAAGGGAAGATGATAAAGTAGGGGAGATGATAAAGTAGGGGAGATGATAAAGTAGGGGAGATGATAAAGAAGGGGAGATGATAAAGTAGGGGAGATGATAAAGAAGGGGAGATGATAAAGTAGGGGAGATGATAAAGAAGGGGAGATGATAAAGAAGGGGAGATGATAAAGTAGGGGAGATGATAAAGAAGGGGAGATGATAAAGTAGGGGAGATGATAAAGTAGTAGTAGTAACATACTAAGATTATCAAGAGGTTCAATGTGATGATTTACACAGAGACTCCTGAAAGAGTACAGGGAGAATATGATCAGGTGCCCTGCCATCCTGTGCTGAAAAATATCCTTACTCTACCCATTATTCTTTAGATAAATATGATTAGCCTATTGTTCAGTGAGGTAAGCACTAGCCACTACAAGGAAACACAGCCTTTAAATGGCTCTGGCTTTGAGGGGTAAAAAACCAACTAACTGACAAGAAAAATTCAGTAATTCAGCCAGCCATGTTGTTTTGTGTTTCCTCAAGTTTTAACATACTAAGAATATCAAGAGGTTCAATGTGATGATATTTAGTCAAAAGCATGCTAAAATGAAGGGATTTCAAGTCTCCACTACACATCCCAATAAATTAAATTTGATATTTTTGCAGTGGCCAGGAAAAACCGTCCACCAGTAGCCATCATAAAACCAGCAAAACAAACCATCAAAGTTCCAAACCTTGCCATCTTGGATGGTTCAGGTAAGACATTTCACACCATCAAAGTTTCAAACCTTGCCATCTTGGATAGTTCAGGATAGAAATTACAAAACATTTGAGTTCTTAATACAACCTTGTTTGACCTTGGTATATAGTTTCTTGAGAAATTTAGAAAGATCTGCAGTGAAAGGATAAAAATATACAGTCGTGTAGAATGAAATTACATTTTCTGTGGAAATGACAAAGTACCATAGAACATATGTTTTCAGTTCATTACAGTTTGGAAGATCAACATTAAAGATATTGTAAACAATTTACTTTGCTGTATTTACATCTGTATGGTAGAGATAAGATGATAAAACAGACCTATAAGTGGTGTGAAGATGTTGGGACATACTGATATATGTTTTCTAAATTTTTTTCTACAAAGAACCCAAATTTTTCCAGAAAATGAGGAAAAAATGATGGTTTTCCTTTTTTCGTTTTGTATTTTTAACCATTAATTAAGTCAATGCAATCAAAACAAAAGGAACCAAAATGACAAATATCTGATAGTGCATTTAAGATTCTCTTAGTTCAAGGCATCCTGACAATGTACAGTTTGTCATTCCACCAGAGGTCATGGCAGTCATCATTAACAGGGGGAACATGTGTTCTCAAAAGTACACATATCATATTTTTTTTTATTGATAAAAACAGGACATTTTTGTTGCTGTATAATACAAGGAAGGTCTTTTAATATCAGTTGTATGACTGTTGACTGATCATTAGTATAAGTAAAATCCTAATGTCTGATTGAGCGCTTAAGCTTGTTAAATCTCTCAAATGACATTGTAGTCCTGAACAAAATCTGGGAAATGCTGAAGGAAGCCAGCACTATCTCTATCAGTGACAACACTTTGTTTGTCTCTTAATTAAAACTTTTCATGTGTGATAGCTCTTTCTGTTTATTAGATTGTGTATCCATTTCTACATTGATTGAGGATTATTTTGAGAATTTTCCTTTTATTTATTGCATATTTATAAGGATGATTCACTCAATTGTTTAAAGTAAATATGAATAATTATAGAAGTCTTCCCTATAATGGCTGTGGGTATGGATGATTATGGATGTCTACTGCGAATAGGGAGTCAGTGCATAATCTATTGGTTATGAGTTATCTCCCTTGTATCTTCAATGATAAAAGATTGTGAGTCATGGCTTTTACATTTAAATTGGTATTTATGAAAAGAATTATATCTCTGATATTCAAGTAAGTTTAGATGTTAACAAGTTATATCTGATGAGAGTTATTCCCCTTGTATTTTCAGTGAGTACTGATGATGACCAGATTGTGATGTACCATTGGGAGGAAATCAGTGGACCAATACAGGATCAACAGTTCACAGACAACAGAGCTATTCTCAAACTGAAAGAGCTAGCACCAGGCAAATACCAGTTCAAGTAAGCACTCAAAGATCAGGTGATATCAGTGTGATATGATTGCACACGTTCTATATTTGGTGAACGAATAGAAAAAGGCATGCTCCAGCAACAGAATACACCAAACAGGAACAGAACCTCTGGCATGATAACCCATGGCTCTACCAACTAAGACAAAGTAGTATGGTCCTTTGGTGGAGTTACAGAAATCCTTTTTAAAACAGTACAAATCACACACACCTACTCCTTTCATGCAACGCCTAGAACTACCAGAGAGTTGAGTTTGAGTTTATTGATAACACACTTGGTAAGACTTTGTTATGATAAAGCTACATACTTGGTAACTTTTCCCTTAAGAGGAGATCTCCTAGGGAGTACAGATGATATTAATCTTTTATATGCCCCCTCAATTTAGTACATCTATCTATCGATCTCATTTCATCCCAAATCAATGTCATATTTTGAGAACCTCTCAACAGATTTCGTTCATATTTACCCATACTGTTATAATTTCTATGCCTGCTGTTTCCCTTGGGACCATGACAAAGTCTAAAACTAAGTTTTTGTTCAGCCAATCACAATTGTCCCTTTTCATAACAGCATCAGTGATTGGCTGAGTCAAAATTTTAGACATTGTTAGACTTAAGATAACCATAGACTTGTCTATGCGTTTTCACCACAATCTACGTCCAGAGGGACAGATTGAAGACAACATCTTGTGATGGACTCGAAGTGACCATATCTGATTTTTTCTCCACCAGGTTGACAGTAACAGATTCTGATGGTGCCACTAACTCCACCATTGCCAACGTCACTGTAATTAAAGGTGGGTTTTATATCTATGTACCTAAACAAGTCAATTACACTGGTGTAGAGAGTACTATTAATGATCATGGAATAAACTCCCAAGAAATAAATACTTTGACAAATAAAATAAATAGTCAACAGGAAAACATATTATTTTTTTGTTGTCACATGTTTATGTCATTAAATTTTGTTGTTAATCTGCCAATACTGTAATGCAATCATGGACATATAAAATTGTGTGGCTGTAGCCTGTTTCATGTCAACCATGAAAAATCTTCTCCTTTGTGTTCAAAAACCTCAAAATTTGAAGTACAGCATTTTGGGAAAAAACCTAGAAAGGTAATAACTTACTTTATAAAACTACCAATATTTTACCTACATTTTTGATTGCTGTAAAATTTTCATCACTAACCGCTCTGAATGTTAGAGATGGACAATAAAAACCTTTCAGTCAATATCATAATACAGAAATGTTTTTATCATTGCAATAAAGAATTTTATTATGTTGATGTTGGATATGTATGTGTCTATCACTTTATTTTATATGAATGATTTATATTCTATAGAACTAGACTACCCTCCTAAAGCCAATGCTGGATCCGATATCATCATCCGTCTCCCTCAAAACACTGTGAAACTATGTGGAAACATGAGCACGGATGATAAAGGCATTGTCTCGTACGAGTGGATCAAGTCAGCTGATGATAAACTCACGGCTGATATGTCTGTAAGTAACCTTGTATTAACTTTAATAACGCGACTTTTACAAGCTTACCTGGCTAAAGAAAATTCTCTTGATGTCATTTTGTGGTGTCTTTCAATTCTTCCCTCTGTCTATGATGGTCCTTTACATCTAAAAGTTCATGATCAGTAGCATACTGTGACAGAGAGCTATCAAGTTTTTCAAATAAATTACCTTTATGTTCAAGGTCTCATAGGTCGAAATTTGTTGAAACATTATGATTTATGGAAAAGATTAAATGAGACAATTATAAAAGCTTTGACTGGTAGTTAGGTTGTTCAAATTCATTGAAGTCTTCCAGAAAAGGATCTATGTTTCGAAGATGAATGTCTGCTTATTACACAAGACGTGAACCTTCGGTAGTTGACATTCAACCTTCTATTTCTAACATTTCCAATATTTATGTTGACATTGTGTGACCTTGAACTTGCTGTGTATCCAGTAGGTTAATAAAATGACCCTGTTTGTTGGTAGGGCGTGCGATCTGTCTGTCTTACACTATCAAATCTCCAGGAGGGGGACTACGCCTTCACTCTCAAGGTCACTGACACTGCTCAACAGACATCTTCAGCAGATGTCCATGTGTTTGTTAAAGCAGGTGAGTAGCCTTATCCTGTTCTCGTACATTTTATCTACAGTAGAACTTCTATAAATCAGCCATGCATAAATATACAGTTCAGATATTTGGTATATAGAGAGGATTAATTTAGGCTGGTTTAGGGTTCACTGACATTTGTCCAGCTAAGTGAGGGCTGATATTTGGTTGATTCAGGGAGGGCTGAGATTTGGTTGATTCAGGGAGGGCTGACATTTGGTTGATTCAGGGAGGGCTGAGATTTGGTTGATTCAGGGAGGGCTGAGATTTGGTTGATTCAGGGAGGGCTGTCATTTGGTTGATTCAGGGAGGGCTGTCATTTGGTTGATTCAGGGAGGGCTGATATTTCGTTGATTTAGGGAGGGCTGAGATTTGGTTGATTCAGGGAGGGCTGAGATTTGGTTGATTCAGGGAGGGCTGACATTTGGTTGATTCAGGGAGGGCTGACATTTGGTTGATTCAGGGAGAGCTGACATTTGGTTGATTCAGGGAGGGCTGAGATTTGGTTGATTCAGGGAGGGCTGACATTTGGTTGATTCAGGGAGGGCTGACATTTGGTTGATTCAGGGAGGGCTGACATTTGGTTGATTCAGGGAGGGCTGAGATTTGGGAGAGGCTGACATTTGGTTGATTCAGGGAGGGCTGACACTTTGGTTGATTCAGGGAGGGCTGACACTTGGTTGATTCAGGGAGGGCTGACATTTGGTTGATTCAGGAAGGGCTGACATTTGGTTGATTCATTTGGTTGATTCAGGGAGGGCTGACACTTGGTTGATTCAGGGAGGGCTGACATTTGGTTGATTCAGGGAGGGCTGACATTTGGTTGATTCAGGGAGGGCTGACACTTGGTTGATTCAGGGAGGGCTGACATTTGGTTGATTCAGGGAGGGCTGACATTTGGTTGATTCAGGGAGGGCTGACACTTGGTTGATTCAGGGAGGGCTGACATTTGGTTGATTCAGGGAGGGCTGACATTTGGTTGATGTATTACGGTATGTTATTTTACAGGTTCAGAGAGGATTTACATTCCGTTTTTTAAGGGTTGCTGTTTGGATGGGATAGAGGGACCCTGGTTTTTTTTGGGTTGGTCGAGTGAGGGTTGACATTTGTCTAGTTTAGTGGGGGCCTGTTCAGGGAGAGTTCACATTTGGTGGGTTAAGGGAGGGTTGACATTTGGCAAGTTAAGCGAGGCCTGATATTTTGTGGGTTTATTGTAACTGGCATTCCTTGGTTACAGAGGTGAACAAACCGCCTGTCGCTGTGACTGGGTTCCGTAAGACAGTACACCTACCGTTAGATTACATCATATTGGACGGCAGTAACAGTTCAGACGACAAAGCAATAGCACACTACCAGTGGATGATGATCAAGTAAGTCTACTGAACATATTCAGTGTTCTGAGCCCTTATCTGGTATATCAAAGTGCTGCCTTGATCTACCAGTGGATGTTATCAAGTATTTCCAGTCTATTGGTAGGATCTGTATAATTCTGGTCTGTTTTCTCCACAGTGGACATGCTGAAGAGACCATTGGTAGGATCTGTTTAATTCTGTTCTGTTTTCTCCACAGTAGACACGCCAAGGAGACCATCAGTAGGATCTGTTTAATTCTGTTCTGTTTTCTCCACAGTAGACACGCCAAGGAGACCATCAGTAGGATCTGTTTAATTCTGTTCTGTTTTCTCCACAGTGGACATGCTGAGGAGACTATTGGTAGGATCTGTTTAATTCTGGTCTGTTTTCTCCACAGTAGACATGCCGAGGAGGCCATTGGTAGGATCTGTTTAATTCTGTTCTGTTTTCTCCACAGTGGACATGCTGAGGAGACTATTGGTAGGATCTGTTTAATTCCGGTCTGTTTTCTCCACAGTGGACATGCTGAGGAGACCATAGGTAGGATCGGTTTTAACTATATTTTTTTTACTCCGCAGTGGACCAGATGACGTGATGTTACAGGATTCCACGAAAGCTATAGCCAAACTAACAGGGAATATTGTGATTGGTCAGTACCATTTTACCCTCACTGTAGCTGATGAGGAAGAGCTCCACTCAACAGCCCAGCTCTTTATCATCGTGGAAGAGAGTAAGTACTTAAGGCAAACTTTTGATCTGTGGCTACAGTTCTATGATCATATGATTGGAATTTTAATCCGTTGTTACTAAGTGATGTATAATTTTCACAGTTGAGTATCTGTAGTTACCACCATTTAATCTAAAATAAGCATAAGTGGCTAGAGATATATAGAATAAGCATTAGTTTATTTATGAGCACTGCCTACAGATATTGCCTAAACAACCATTTATTTATTGATGAGCTCTGTCGTCATTTATAGGAAAAGATATGTTATTGATATTGTCTAAGTAAGCATTAGTTTATTTATGAGCACTGCCAAGAGATATTGCCTAAATAAGCATTAGTTTATTTATGAGCACTGCCAAGAGATATTGCCTAAATAAGCATTAGTTTATTTATGAGCACTGCCTACAGATATTGTCTGAAAGACGCATTAGCTATAACACCGCAAAGCAAAGTTAGGGGTAGTGTAATGGAATCAGCTTGTCTGTCTGTCAGTCTGTCTGTCAGTCTCTCCGTAGAAATATTTTGTCTGGACAACTTGTCTTAAACTACTGGATCAATTTCAATGAAACTACACAGGAATGTTTTGGTCCATGTGTAGATGTGTATCCAACCTTTTTTTCAGCAAAACATTGGTTGTCATGGTAACCAGTTTGCAAATTACAGTGTTATACTAAAAAACTGTATTTTACAAATTACGAGGGGTATTAGTAAGTCAGTGACTTACATTTCTAGTATATTGATTATTTCTTCCATCAGATATCATCTGAAATAAGCATTAGTTTATTGGTGATTTTGCCTACAGATATTAATGAACGACCTGTTGCTAGAGCTGGAAAGGACCAGATTGTAACGCTTCCTCACAGCCTTGTTAGAATAGATGGCTCTCGATCATCTGATGATAAAGGCATCACCGATTACTCTTGGACTCGCAACAGTAAAAGTCTGGCTGCAGGGGTGAGTAGCTGGTTAAGACAAATCATTGTATTGACAGCCCCCTGTGATATATTGTTACTCACTAGAATTGTAAATAGAAGCTTGTTCCATGTCATTTGAAGCCCACTCCCTGACTTTGAGTCAGAATTGGTGTGTCAACACCCTGGGCTCATTACACAATAAATATATAATTTATGATATACAGGAAATTATTGAGATTTGACAATAAGCCTACTATGTTTGCTAAATGTATACAGCCTCCTTCTGTCTATAAGATATATCTATTGATAAGCCCAGTCTAAATGTATACAGCCTCCTTCTGTCTATAAGATATATCCATTGATAAGCCCAGTCTAAATGTATACAGCCTCCTTCTGTCTATAAAATATATCCATTGATAAGCCCGGTCTAAATGTATACAGCCTCCTTCTGTCTATAAGATATATCCATTGATAAGCCCAGTCTAAATGTATACAGCCTCCTTCTGTCTATAAAATATATCCATTGATAAGCCCAGTCTAAATGTCTTATTCTGTCCATAAAATATCCAATGATATACTTGGTCATACATAGTACAAATTTATTTCATTATTACCAATGATCCCATCTCTTAGCTTGGATTCTATGTATTTTTGGGCTTGTAACTACACTTCTACATGTATTGACAAATATTTAATGAATACAGGTTTAATTAAAGAAGTTTAATCTTTACAGGAAGTACTGAATGGATCAGATCACCAAGCTGTTCTCCAGCTAACAAACCTTGTGGCAGGGCGCTACATCTTCACACTCAAAGTGACTGATGAAGAGGGCCTGGAGAGCACAGACTCTGCTTCTCTTGTGGTCAAGGATGGTAAGTTTGTGTTTATCTCTTGTGGTCAAGGACGGTAAGTTTGTGTTTATCTCTTGTGGTCAAGGATGGTAAGTTTGTGTTTATCTCTTGTGGTCAAGGATGGTAAGTTTGTGGTTATCTCTTGTGGTCAAGGATGGTAAGTTTGTGGTTATCTCTTGTGGTCAAGGATGGTAAGTTTGTGGTTATCTCTTGTGGTCAAGGATGGTAAGTTTATACTGTCCCCACACAGTAGGTGAGATGTCAGTCCCCACACAGTAGATGAGATGTAGATCCCCACACCGTTGATGAACTGTAGATCCCCACACCTTTGATGACATGTAGGTCCCCACACAGTTGATGAGATGTCAGTCCCCACACCGTTGATGAACTGTAGGTCCCCACACCGTTGATGAACTGTAGGTCCCCACACCGTTGATGAACTGTAGGTCCCCACACCTTTGATGAACTGTAGGTCCCCACACCATTGATGAACTGTAGGTCCCCACACCTTTGATGAACTGTAGGTCCCCACACCGATGATGAACTGTAGGTCCCCACACCGTTGATGAACTGTAGGTCCCCACACCGTTGATGAACTGTAGGTCCCCACACCGTTGATGAACTGTAGGTCCCCACACCCTTGATGAACTGTAGGTCCCCACACCTTTGATGAACTGTAGGTCCCCACACCGTTGATGAACTGTAGGTCCCCACACCGTTGATGAACTGTAGGCTTGTGATTTGTACTTTTATCCTTATCATATGATCTGCAGGAAAAATCTCATGTGAACAAATAGCCAGCAGTCACCCATAGTCTAGTCTTATCAAACACAATAACAATATTTTATCGGATTCTATTTCTGAATAATAATGATCATATGCATAAGTGTTCCACTGTGGGTATTTAACCTTGTCACTGTCATATTCTTTTTTCTTTCACCACCTCCCACTTATTTATCTCAATATTACTCCAAAGCATTGTGCTGATTATGTGCACACAAAAACTGCTGCTAAACAAACGTGCTTGGTACTCTGAAAAGCAGCAAGCAGCAAATTGTTTAAAGCAAACAAGACTGACCATGTGTTTACAGTGTTTATTTGACAATGACTTTTGTAATTATGATTGGTCTGGTATAAGTCTCCACACTTTCAGACAAAACGATCTGAAGAGCTTGTACCAGAGGTGTACAACAGAGAACATACATACAAGTTCCATATAATGCTGTTACATGTGGACTAGTTGTGTAAAAGTTTCAAATCTTTTCTTACATAGGTAATCATCTCATCTAGGTGTTTCAAACACTTACTTGTGTAAATGATTTGATAACATATCCAAACGCACAGATGATTTGAGACACAGTTTCAGTCATATTTTATTCTGAATTATGAAGTCAATACTTCTCAGGAATGCTTTTGAATATTATTACAATTCTTATAATGCTTTGTTTCAGATCCTCATGCTTCTGATGTCATTGAACTTCTCATTGATGCAGATATAAAGCAGTTCACTGAAGAAGACAAGGTAAGTCATTGTAGGAAGATATCATACAATGGAAACTTTTGGGTAGTTGTGTAACTTCATATCTTTTCTACTGTGTAACATTTAATCCAGTGTTTCACACCAGTTATACTGTGTCATTTAATTAGTGGTAACAGTGTCATTTGATCCCACACCATTATATTGTGTCATTTAATTAGTCCCACACCAGGTATACAGATGTCATTTAATAGTCCCACACAGTTTCATACTGTGTCATTTTATTAATTATACTGTGTCATTTAGTTATACTGTGTCATTTAATTAGTCCCACACCAGTTATACTGTTTTGTCATATTAATTAGTCCCACACCAGTTATACTGTGTCTTTGTTTCAGATCCTCACACCAGTTTCTGATGTCATTGAATTAGTCCCACATGCAGATATAAAGCAGTTCACTGAAGAAGACAAGGTAAGTCATTGTAGGAAGATATCATACAATGGAAACTTTTGGGTCAGTTAGTCCCACATCAGTTCTACTGTGTCATTTAATTAGTCCCACACCAGTTATACTGTGTCATTTAATTAGTCCCACACCAGTTATACTGTGTCATTTAATTAGTCCCACACCAGTTATACTGTGTCATTTAATTAGTCCCACACCAGTTATACTGTGTCATTTAATTAGTCCCACACCAGGTATACAGTGTCATTTAATTAGTCCCACACCAGTTATACTGTGTCATTTAATTAGTCCCACACCAGTTATACTGTGTCATTTAATTAGTCCCACACCAGTTATACTGTGTCATTTAATTAGTCCCACACCAGTTATACTGTGTCATTTAATTAGTCCCACACCAGGTATACAGTGTCATTTAATTAGTCCCACACCAGGTATACAGTGTCATTTAATTAGTCCCACATCAGTTATACTGTGTCATCAGCTGTTAATTCTATCAGAACTTCACGCAGTCGCCTTACAACTCTCTCTCAGTCAAAGGAGCATCAGACTGTTGGAGCTGACGTGGAGATCTGCAGTAAGTTTGGTTACTACTCAGGACATTAAGTGTTCACCAGGAGGTGAAGATCAGGCACAACTCTGTCACTTTCTATGCTGTCATGGATGTTGCCTTCAGCAAAAAACTTTACCTCAAATACTCCATTTAGTATGAGAAAGGCCTTACACGTGAAGTAAAGTGAAGTTAGCCTTCCACTGCTACAGGGAAATCCTGTTTCATTATGACCCTGGTTGTTAAGGGGGCAATGAGTCTCGGAAAATAAAATAAACCATTGAACAGTGATTATTCACTAACAACACATCCAAGGTGTGTAAGTGCTGCAGCTAACAGATTGTAATTAAAAACCCCCATTTAGACTTTTTATGGTCCCCAAATATTTCAGAGGAGCATATAGCCACCGCCTTGTCCATCTATGCATCTGTCTATCCGTCCATCCATCCATCCTTTCATCCTTTCTTGCACAGAGCAACCTTTTGCTAACATTTCAGCAAGGATCATGAAATGTGGTGTATACATTGATCATACTAAGAGAATGTACAGTATACCAAATTCATGACTTGCAACATCTTATATACAGAATTACTGCCCTGTTAAAATTTTGTGTCCAATAAAGATGTTTTTGAGGAGAATTCATCATTTTCACTGATACTCTTGTTTCACTGGTTAACAACTGTAATTTGCTTGTTTTATAGGCAAATCTGCAACATGAGCTGGCATTATTGTTGCCAAAGTCCCCAAAAGGTGAAACTACGGTACGAATTGGAAATCTAGAGAAAGATACGAGTCAGGGCGTGTAAGTATACAGTTTGCTATTGGATGGTATGGTATCAATAAGATATAAGTCTGTGTGTCTGAGAATATGCATTGAAATAGGATGCTTTCATCGTATCAATTAGGTGCAAGGTGCAGAGCCCCTGTGTGTGCACATTGATGTAGGGTAATATCATTTCACCATTAGGGTACAAATCAAGACAACACATTGATGTAGGGTAATATCATTTCACCATTAGGGTACATATCAGGACAACACATTGATGTAGGGTAATATCATTTCACCATTAGGGTACAAATAAGGACACATGAATAACCACATTGATGGCTGATTAGAGGTGACCTTTTTACAACATTGGTGATATTCCTTGTTTGTCCGTAGGTTGAAGGTGAAATTTTACGCTCAAACAGTGGGAAAAGATTTCCAATCATTCCACAGTGGTATTGAGACACAAAAGGTGCTAAAACAAAAAATCAAAGATTCGGGTTCACATCTCCTCAACTTCCGAGTTCTGGCCATCGAAACTGAGGGTAAGTCAAAGGCAAGATAACAAATGAACTTTTTTTTAATGTACCACTTTTCGAGGATGAATTAAAAACACAAAAAATAGATACCTGGAATATGAAATAAATAGTGGAATCTATAATATGTTTCTTGTTTGGAAACCTATAGTCTGTTTCTAATAGAGAAATCTATAGTCTGTTTCTAATAGAGAAATCTATAGTCTGTTTCTAATAGAGAAATCTATAGTCTGTTTCTAATGGAAAATTCTATAGTCTGTTTCTGATTTTGATAGAGAAATTTATAGTGTTTCACAATTCAGAATTACTCTATCTCATGTTTACAGTTTGCCAGAATAATTGTTCAAACCATGGCCACTGTGATATTAGAACAAGGAAGTGTGTGTGTGAGGCATTCTGGATGCAGGATCTCTTTGTTGCCTATTTTACGGATGGAGAGAGTAACTGTAGTAAGTAGTCATAGTAACCAGCTCTCTTTGCCAGTGCCTCAATGCACCTTTATCTTGCTCAGATCTGCATGTCAGATAAAATTTGTAGATGGTCATATTTTATTTCATAATCAGTTTTTTGTCCAGAAAAGAATTGTAATAAATCATATTTTATTTCGTAAGCAGATTTAATAGATGTTGAAAAGTTTGTTAAAAACAAATATCAAATTGTTCAAGCATTTGAATTTGAATTATTAGTAATAAGTCAAGGCCAAAATGTGGTAAATTTGTTAATGAATTTTGGGAGCAAGTGTTATGTTAAAGTTTTTAGCCAATTTTTTCAACCGGTACTGGATCACAAATATCAAAATATCAATTAGAAATTGATCATTAAGTAGTTCAAGGTTCATTTTAAGTCATTTTATTAGCAGAATGTTAAGCCATTGTTTTTATATTTGTGGGGCCCAAAATATAATTTTTTATCTCAAGAAATATGCCATTTATAATTCAGCTATGTTACTCTCAAATAGCTCTTAAGCTTTCTTGGAATTTTGGGAAAATAAATCATTTTCTGCACTCCCCACCTTTTTTTTTAGCAGAAAAAAATAGTTACCCTGTAAAGATATTTTACTTCATATAAGATTTTGTTCCTTTCACAAAAATCATTGTAAAATCCTAAAGTGATATGTTGTGGCCTTCAGACTGGAGCGTGCTGTATGTTGTGATAATCGCATTCTTGGTGGTTGTTGGTCAGGCGGCCATGGTATGGGGAATCATTTGTTTTTGTAAGAAACGCAGGTACGTATGGTTGTCACAGCTATTCAATTCTTTATATTTCAATTTCTACCCAAATAAGACTCAATGAAACAACTAAATGTTTCATTTACCAATGAATTTGACTAGATTAACATTGGTAGTGCGTATAAATACAAATATTAGGTAAGGGGAGAAAACTCCCCAACTTCTACTATACTGGCAATATACCACAAGTATGAGATTTAATAACATCAAAATGAAAATTTTAAAACTATTAATAAAATTTAAAAAAAAAGAATTGTGTGTGCTAGGTCATTTTTGTAATTACTTAATATAATTCAACATTTAATAACTGTAACTTTACGTTTCAAAAGATGTGAAGTGACTGAAGCCTGATATTTCTTGCTCTCCGCTTCGGTGCCTGTAAAAAAAATGGCCGACACCTCTTTGTTTACGAACCGGCGCACCACGTCTAGACGTTATTCCTCCGTGGGGAAAAATGCAATCTGTCTTTGTTGCACACTATTATTTAGATTTTCATTAAATTTGTCAAAAAGTATATCAAATTTTGTTCTTAAAGTTTCAAGTAACTACGCTGAAATATGTTTCAACCTGTCACAATAATCTGTCTTCAAATGACAGACTATTTGCTTGTATGACGTCAGACGATATGATGACAAGAAACGAAAATGAAAGTAGAAGATAAATTGCGTCAGTTCCCATGCTATAGAAAAAAGAAGCGCGAATTGAAATATAAGGATTGAATCTTGCTTCTCAAGACCAATTCAATTCATCATCCCATGAAATCGACAAGATTCAATCCTTAAATAAAGTCACTTTTCTCAGAGAATACCAAGACATTGATTGAGAAGTTGCCTTTGCTGTTAAGTGTAGATTGAAATCAGCCATCAAGTTAGATTTTGAAGGCTCTTTATTCAGTAATATATTTATATAAGTGACTCTTTGGAAGTTGTGTAAGTGTCTATAAATAACAATTTTTTACAGGTGTAAGTGTAAGTGGAGGTCAAAGAAGAGACATAGGTACTCACTGCTTCAGGAGGTTGATTATAAAGATGAAATGGAGCTGATACCTAAAGGTATGTAGTTCAATCTAAATGCCCGTGGGTGTGTCCTCAACAGTCTCAGGGTTGAATGATAGTTCACTCAATCTTTTACAACTAAAGTTTTTTTTAAAGTTTTTTGTTATTTGATCCATTGTGAAAAGTTTGACTAGATTTTGCACATTTCAAAGGTATTAAAAACTAATTTTGAACACTAAAAGTTATTTGTTTATATGTGAATAAATTTCATTTTGATATTGATCTAGAAGTTATAGCCCTGTATTTGATTCTTATTAACCATTTTTTGTATGTCTTGGTTCAGGTGATTGGTACATACACTTAACTTTAGATAATTAACATGAATTGTATATCTATAAACATACATACCTATCTATATCAAAAGGAGTTATCTATATAGATTAGTTCTCTACCAACAAAATCTAGTAAATTGTCTATAATTGTGAGAACATACAGACGAGAACAAATTTGGCATTTGGATTCGCTTGGTCCATTTTTGGGGCGAAAATCGTGAGATTTTGTTGGATATTAGACTTGGCAGAAATTCCCAGGGACGTATAATACAGATACATCCCTGAAATTCCACATATAATTTTCAGACTCTCCATTTATTTTGTATTCACCTTTGATAAGCAAGGTTTTTAAACATTTACAATGGATATTTTGTCTATTCTGATTCTTTTTCCTTATTTCTATTGATTAAGGATTTTCCTTTTCAATGAGTTATAGCAGGAACAGCGAGATTCAAATTTTGCTGAACTCTTAATTTACCTGTAAATCCTAGAGAGATAATAATTATGATTCTGTAAAGTGGTTTGCAGTTGTTCAGTTGGGACACTTGATGGGTTTATCAATTTTGCATTTCTCTATCAAATCATATCCATGTCATAACAGATAGTGTATTAGATTTTGATTCACTGTAAAAACATTTGCTTTGTATTTTATTTTTCCTTATCTTTATCTGTTAATGTAGCAAAATGCAATCCCTGTGAATTTTACCAGTTATACATATTTGTCTTCCTCACATTTTGATTTGTAAATTAATTTTGTTTAAATTTCATTCTTATGCATATTGATTATGATTTACCATTGGTTTTTGTATTTTCTGTTGGCTTATCATGTCTGTATCTTTATAGAAATAAATTTAATATACTTATCAGCTGTATTAATAGACATTTCGGAAAACTGTGAATGAAGATCATTGGCCTGCAATATTCTCTGACCTCAATCATATGTTATAAACTTGGGAACCCTGCTTTGAAGGTATATATGTATTTGATAAATTCATTTAGCAATTTGCTACTAATAATCAAAAACACTTGCATAGAACCAATGTCTCTAGGTATTAGACACCATTTCAGAAGTATACTGGAAGGAAATAAGAAACAGTTTGTATAAATACCCCACTATTTCAGTCTCTGTGTACAGATCACCAAAAGGTCTAAAATTTGGTAATATGAGGTGAGTACTGATATAATTTTATTGTGGGATCAAGGCATGCAGCTACATGTTTGGGATACTTAGTACAGAGAAAGAGTGATGTCCCCTTGTTATAGGTTACATCATTAAGGCAGAGTGATGTCCCCTTGCTATAGGTTACATCATTAAGGCAGAGTGATGTCCCCTTGCTATAGGTTAAATTATTAAGGCAGAGTGATGTCCCCTGATTATCTAGGTAAGGCAAGGTGATGTTCCTTGTAAAGACATGAAGCAAGTCATATGATACCTAAAAAGCTTCATTGATTTGTTTCTACAGTTAATAAGTACAAAGCAAACAAATACTTTAGGTGAGTATTTATTAGTAGTGGCATGTAAATGATTGGTTCAGAGACAGTGGTTCAGAGACAGTGGTTCAGAGACCGCGGTTTACTCCTGTATGTCACCAGGTGTAAAAATACACAGTAAATGAAATGTGCAGAGTACCTTCAGAATACAATATGGGTGGTTAAAAATCCTATGATAAACTTCTATCTGTTACACAACACCTCATACTTGTCAGTTTTTTTTCTATTTTTAGCTAACCATCTGATGATGGTAGGCTATTCAGATTGCACTGCGTCTGTAGTTCGTCCTGCCGTTGTCAGTTTGACCATCCGTCCCCTGTCCGTCCGTAAACCATTTCTGTTATCACTCTTTCTTGAGAAGTCCGGGATGGATCTTTCTCAAATTTCATTTGTAGGTTCCCTTTGGTCCCTCATTGTATTCGTTTGATTTTGGGTCTGATAAATAAGTAACATGACTGACCATCTTGGATTTTGACTTCGAAAGATTGTTATTACTATTTCTTGAGAAGTACATAATGGATCTCTCTCAAATTTTATATGTAGGTTCCCCATGGCCTCTAGTTGAGCCCAGGTAATTTTGGGACTGATCAGAAAAACAAAATGGAGGAAAAGGCAGCCATTTTAAATTTTGACTTTGAAAGTTTGTTTTCGCTATTTCTTCAGAAGCACTGGATGGATCTCTCTCAAATTGCCTATGTATGTTCCCCATGGCCTCTAGTTGAGCCCATGTAATTCTGGGACTGATCAGAAAACCAAAATGGAGGAAAAGGCAGCCATCTTCAATTTTTCCTTTGAAAGTTTATTATCGCTATTTCTTAGAAGCACTGGATGGATCTCTCTTAAATTGCATATGTTGGTTCCCCTTGGTCCCTTGTTGTGCATGTTTTATTTGGGGTTTTGGGTATTTTGGATCAAAAAATTAAAATGGTTGACAGGTGACATACACAATGAACAGTTAATTGAACACAACTGATGCATGGACATACACAATGAATGATTAATTGAACACAACTGATGCATATACATACACAATAAACAATTAATTGAACACAACTGATGCATATACATACACAATAAACAATTAATTGAACACAACTGATGCATGTACATACACAATGAACGATTAATTGAACACAACTGATGCATGTACATACACAATAAACAATTAATTGAACACAACTGATGCATGAACATACACAATAAACAATTAATTGAACACAACTGATGCATGAACATACACAATAAACAATTAATTGAACACATTTGATGTATGCACATACACAATGAACAATTAATTGAACACATTTGATGCATGCACATACACAAAGAACAATTAGTTGAACACATTTGACGCATGTACGTACACAATGAACAATAAATTGAACACAACTGATGCATGTACGTACACAATGAACAATTAATTGAACACAACTTATGCATGCACATACACAATGAACAAATAATTGAACACATTTGATGCATGTACATACACAATGAACGATTAATTGAACACAACTGATGCATGTACGTACACAATGAACAATTAATTGAACACAACTGATGCATGTACGTACACAATGAACAATAAATTGAACACAACTGATGTATGTAAGTACACAATGAACAATAAATTGAACACAACTGATACATGTACAACATAGTACTGGAAATACTACCCATTGTTTATCGCTGGGATGAACATTTTATATTCATAAAGCCACTCTGATATTTAATCTGAAAACCTGCTACACTGACAGTAAAATAATAGACTCAGTTTTTTTTTCTTCTATCCCACCATTATCAATTTTATTGAAAAGTACTCGCAAAATAAAAACTCACTGATGTTTAAAGAACATACCAAACTAAATGAGTTGATGATTTTAGGGACATAAACATTGGTAGATATAAAATACGATGAAATCAATGAAAATGAAATGTCAACTTGAAGGAAAAATTGTTTTTTGTTCCTCAAAGAACCTCCCCCCACCCCCCACTCCTCCCTTTAAGTTGAATTTTACTATTTAAGTTTTGGAAGTGCTGATTTGTGAACAACTTTTAGCTTACTATTCTTAAGTTGATGAAAGACCTGTGGAAGGGGACTTATTTGTGAACAGTAGCTTATCTGCGGATAGAGGACTTCTTTGTTAGCAGGGGCTTATCTGCGATAGGGGACTTAGTTGTGAGCTTGAACTTATCTGTGATTGGGGACTTGATGCTGAGCAGGGGCTTACCTGTGGAGAGATACCATGTTAATGATTTTACTGTAGTTTTAGCATAAGAAAAAAAATTAAAAAAAAAAAAAAAGGAAATTTTTCTGTGTATTAAAATTAAGACTGCCATATATATAGAGACTTGAAACTTTGTTTTTTTTTTTGTCTTACACATTTTCTTTTTTTCTTGTTATTTTCAGGAAAAATCCAAAACAGCAGCGTGATGATTTCTGAGTCGGATTTTACAAGTGAGGAAGAAACTTTATTTGTGAACCATAAAAAGACAAATGGTTTTCTTCAGAAACCACTCAATGGTATTTCCAAACAACATTTAAAAACAAAATTAAAAACATGAACTATGGCAGTGAGTAATGCTTCATTAGAATCATTCCTTAAATCCGTTGTGACTCAAGACTTTGTTAGACCAACAAACTCTCATTGTCTTCAAAGTGATGAAATTCTCACATCTACATGATGTATTATAAGTCCTTTCTACAAAACTGTTTCCTTAGAGGGAGCTGATGTTCTGTGATGTAAAATGTCAAGGCTGACATTCAGACTCAAACTTCTGCACTAAGTGAAACCTCATTTACAACAGCTCTGAGCTGGGAATCTTGGCCAATTGATCTCATTTTAGACTATAAAAATTCCCGAGGTTCCAAGTATTGCATCAAGTTGTTGTCAAATCTGAACTTTAGGTCTTTTGTTGGGAGTGGCAGGCTGATGTTTTACTTAGGGGGGGATTTGCATGTTTTCTGATCATCTTCATACACCATGTTACTCATACCTAATCCAGCCATCTCTATCATCTGTCATCACATAGGTCAGAGGTCATTCTCCACCGAGAGGGATATAAAAGGTCAAAGTTCATCACATCAAATCACTTATGGTGATAGTAGGTGAATTTTCATTTTGATGGGTGGGATGTATGTATTATGTTTATGTATTATACATGTATATATAACTGATATCCATGGCAACAGAGTACAAATTCACTGATTTGACAACTCTATAATCTAGGTTTGTGTTAAAATTGTTATCAAGGGGTTGTTTTTACTGTTAGTACTATATGTGCTTATGAAAATACCTCCAAAGTTTAAGGTACTTTGAAGAAATTTAGTGTAGATTAATTGCAGTAAAAAACCAGAATTTATCAGACTAAATGCGGTATGACATGGCATCACGCTATATTTGTTCTTTATCAATTGTAGGAGAGATATAGAGATATTAAATACAAATTGTTGATTCATATCAAGCTAATTGTGATCCTATTTAGTATATGCATTGATAGGCCTCATTTTCAATCAAAATTGCTTCGCCAAGAAATCCTGCTTCGTGATTTTACAGATGTACTGACCTGTTTACCCACACCATTATATTACCGTATTTTTCCTATTGTAAGTGCCAACAAAACATAACATCTGACTCCAGTCAGCAGGGGGTGGGCTTATTACAGCACAAGGATAAAGTATGTGTTGGCATTTTTGAAAATGCAATAGATTTTGTTAGGCTTATCACTAGACATGGGCAAACTGTAGGATAGATCTGGTACAAACATATGAGGGATTCTCACACCTAGAGATCACATTGTTTTATTCTGTCAATCATTCCATTCGTTACACTGGCACTGTTTATACTATTGTCCATTCACTTGTACATACAGATAGAAATCTATTTATTTTGTGAAAAATGATGTAAACATGCATTCCATGGTGGAAATCCATAATTGTTGTTCTGTCAATATAAAATATACACAGTCCTTTTCTATGTATCAGTAAAAATCGAGACAAAATAGTTCTCATCTTTTTTCCTCTTTTCCCAAATTGTAGAAATTCTGAATTGACAAAATTTCTTAGCAGTAAGAAGGAACATTATGTCACACCAAATGTTATAAAAATCTTGAAAATTGCTCTGAATGAGACCATGTATGCCTGTATACTATCAGCTTTCTATATAGCTAGTAATTTGACCATGTGCACCTATAAACCAGTAAATTTCTGCATGGCTACAAATTGGACTGGGTAAACTAATCAATCATTATTTTTCTGTATGGCTACAAATTTTGCTGGGTACATGGTAGCCTATGAAACATTATTTTTGTGATTGGCTCTGAATCTGATTGGATACATCGTAGCCTATGAACAATTACTTTTCTGGATGGCTACGAATTTTACCATCTTTGTCTATAACTAGTATGATGTGGTTGTCTTTATGCTATTTGATAGCAATGTGCAATGATTCTGGCTTTTACATGTGAATGTGAAATATGTCCACAGTATTATCTGAATAACTTCAGCCTGTAATAGTGTAAACTGTACTGCCATGTTATCTGTTTCTGTAGCTTGTAATAACATGTATTTAAGACGGCCATCCTATTGTGTTTTATCGTTGGTAGAAACTGTATTGTTTAACCACTGCAGTGTCTAATGTGTATGTCTCGTTTAGAGAACAGTAGTGTGCCACCACATCATAACTCAAAGTTCAGTCGATTCTGTGGCACATGACCATGATTTAACGAGGCTTTTTGACAGTACTAGTAAATATCAAATCTTTTTTATCATAATACCCAGGTAACACAGAAACCTACTTGATAAATATTATTTAAGATACCTTGAAAAATAAAATCAGTGTATTTATGGTATATTGGTAAATTTTTCATCACAACATCAGTTGTAACGTAAGACTTAATTTGGTTTTTTGATTCTTGGTGCCCGATGGTAGTGACATTAAAATGTAGGAAAATATTTTATATAAAGTGGAATCCTAAAAGAAAGATTTTTTGTAATAAACATATCATTGGGTTGAAATGTACAGCCAAAGACTTTTTTTAATACTTCTGTACCCACGTTCATTCATTAATCACCATGGAAATACTTTTTGCTTCTTTTAAAAATATTTAAGGTTTTCATTGAATATTGGGTTGTGAATATTGGGTTGCTTACAAAAAGCTTTGCTTTAAGTTTATTAAGATACTTTGCAGAATGTTACAATGTATTATATATATGTTCACATGAACAATATACAGGCTACATTATACAATCCATTTTAATAAATAACAAATATTTGAGGGTGCATTTCATATATTTAAAGGTGTTGACATTGAACACATTAACATTGAAATTTAACAGTACATTGTGAAGTTATTTCATGTATCTTGAAAGTCATACACAGCAATGATTTTTTTTATCATAGGATTTTCTCAGTTTCTGTTAGATCACCAAAACCAATAAAATACACACTGACCATCTCTGTTGAAACTCGGAGTCTGTAGATGAGAGGTCTCCAGTTCTAGGCTGTCCATCCGAAAAGCCTTGACACATCATAGGGACTTGTTTCCATATAGCTGCTAAATGCGGGATGGGCATATTTTAAAATTATTCTCAAAAGCATAAAAAATACTGAATTTGTGAGGTTATATTACAATGAAAGTGACCACTCAAAAAATGGGGTTTTTTTTAGTGAAAATTTGTATTTGTACTTGCAGTAATGTCACATCTGAAAATGTTTTGTCTTCATTATCTAGATGCACACTTGATGGACTAGAAATATGTTAGGACAGAAACTATTGGATGAAAAATATCTGTTTTACTGAAATGTGCAATGATTTCCAGAGTAAGTATATTTATGGAAGGCAGTGTCTGGTTTCAACAGTAGCAGTCCATTGTATCACTTCCTAACGTTTGTAAACAAAAGTGTGGTGTCTATCTGACATCATTTGACATGGTGTTTTATTTATGCAAGACTGAAGTAGGAGTTGTCTCTTTCAGCAGGTACTCTCTTCCTGTTGTCACAGAGAGTGTGTAGATCACTTACAGTTAACTGGACATCAAATGGTGCCTTCACAGAATAGGATTTGAAATCTTGATTGAAATAATCTCTGCTTGAAGATTTAATTCTTATTACCATTTTCTTGTACCAGCATAAAGATTTACAGTTCTCGATATTGCAAAATGGTCAATAACCAACTCCATGACTGGTCAGTGTTGAGTTAAATCCTTTGATTGGTTGGTATAAAAAATATCTGATTAGTTGACAAGTTTAGATTGTTTGACTGATGCACCGAATTTATCATTATTTTTATTTTATTAACGGGATTATGCCCATTTGATTGGTTTGCATGGTATGGATCTGACTGTCTGATTGAATGACAAGTTCAAACCCAAACCATGTGGTTGGCTGGTGAGTGTTTCTCTGTAAGTTGGTATTTTATATGCTGGATGTAACGATAGGATTGATGTTCATTGAATTCAAATTGTTTTTTTTAAAAAAAAGATCACTTTCAGTGGTTACTGTTTTTATCAGTTTGTTATTTGAAGCTGACAGTTAATTTCTAATTATGAAAACTGAAACATGCATTTACAGATTAACGGTCTGTATGATCGCCAAACATTCTCATTTAATTTGTTGATTAATAACAGGAGTTATTTCCCTTGTTTTTGTTAAGTGACATCACCTGTATATACTTGTACATGATTGTATACAATGCAATCCACATTGAACTTGATCACTGCAATAGAACTGTGGAATTTTGCCCAGAGTTGTTTCCTGAAAAAATCCTAGCTATCCGTGTCAGACTCACTAAACTTATTATCATATGCTTGTCATGGTGAAAAATCAAATTTGTCTTCAAACCCAAACACATGAAACATTTAAAATGTCAAAACTAATGTAACTGGCTTCACTAATAAGACTGAGATTAAAAGAAGCAAATTGTTGAAGGGAAGCGTGGTAGCCAGTAAACTCCGGCACTGCATAATAACCATTCATTTATCCATTATATATAAGTCGAGAAATTATCATTTGCAATGAATTTTGGTACAGAAATTGTGTTTTTCATCATTACATTACAGGGTATATGTATCAGTGTGTATGTGGTGTAAACTAAGATAGCTGTAACAGGTAAATATCAGATTTACTCCACGACAATTGACATTGTACGTGTTGAAAATGAAAGATCGGCATAATGATGAATTTCCATTTTGAAATTGTTCAATGTGTTTTTATATTAACAATTCTAAGCACTCCCATGAAATACACCCTACTGGAAGTACTTCTGGTTTATAAGTGACTCAACATGTCAAGGATTAAACTGCTTAACAACTTTTTAAAGAACTAAAACTTTGTTTAATGTCTGTATTTTCAAGAATTGTAAATTCCATGCTGGGAATTAGTAATTATCCACCTATTGTGAGGACATAACAGATTACATAAAATGTGATAAATAAATAACTTATAGTGTAGAAACAAGTTAGAAACTATTCTCTCATGTTGCTGTGTAAATCTACAAATGATTATTGTTAAGTATATGTAAAGTGAAATAGAACTTAGCGTTATGTATGTGTACACTGTTAAGTATATGTAAAGTGAAAATAGAACTTAGCGTTATGTATGTGTACACTGTTAAGTATATGTACAGTGAAAATAGAACTATTTATATAGTATGCTCAAGAATTACTACATATATATCCATGTATGAATGTGTTGGTATATTGTGTGAGAATGTCTGATAACATGTTGCCGGGGTGAACTCCCCTCCCATCAGTAAAGGACAACTCTGATATGTGCAATGTTCTTTATCAAATCCTGATGTACAAGACTATTAATACTTTGACAAACTATTTATCTTTTTTTCTCTTAGTTTTGAAGTCCTTTCTGTAATGAATTTAAACTGTATATAACCTGTGATATTTCAGGACTTAAATTCAGTATTATTTCTGAATTTAATACAAGGTAGATAACTCTCATCTGTAAAAGTGGAAGGGCTTGCCAATAGATCTCCTGGCTGCTAAAGTGTATATTCTGGTATATCAGATAGATTTACAACAGTGGCAGATTTTAGGCTGACATTTCAATGACTACACTATCATCGTGATTAGACAAATGACCAGTGTGAAGTGTACTACTATGTACAGCACTGACATATGTAATGGGACTTTTTGGCTTTGTTTTAATCTTATGTAAACTAAGATAGCATGAAAAGATGGGAAAAATTGTGGAAAAAAAATACACAAGATGATAACATTATATCGTTGTTGATTCAGCTATGCTTCATTTTTAACACTGGGTCACGCTGGTTATCTGTCTGATAAGGGTACCAGTGTAGTTAATTGAAACATCACACTTAAATCCTTTACTGGTTGTGTTATAAGAACTTCTTTTCATATCACCAAAGCGAAGAGAAAACTTTCAATGATCTGATATATCAGAGTACCCTTCCTTAGTTGACAGCTGAGGAGTAGGAACAATGTTCTCTACCTTTTTGGTCCATTCCAATGACATGTAAGGCTCACTGTGATTATCAAATGCTTTTTATCTCATGCTGCTGTTCAGGAAAGCAAATGTTTACCTGACGTGTAGCTTTGATCTATTCCAATTTCTGTATAAAGTGAATTTAAGTTTTATGCAAGGAACAGGTGAAAACTGGTATCAGTCAAATACAGACAGTCATTGATGTAGTGTGATAACAAGGCAATTCCATCCCATAGTTTTGGGATTTTTTTTTTTTTAATTCTGTGAGAGAGGTCAATTTGTAAACTGATTTAAATTTTGTTCATAAAAAATCAAACATATGGCTGAACTAATTTCATATTTGTTCATTGTTTTTGTCTTGAAACCTTATACTGCAGAAATCTTGTCTGCCAACTTTTGTTTAATGAAAACATGATGAAAATATTCGTAGTTGATATGTAATTCTTCTGAAATCTATTTCACTCCACTCACAGAGAGAATTAAAATTGTAATACTTAAAAATATAGCAGACTTGTATCTTTTTCCATGAAGTAACTCTTTTATTCAAGAAGTACTGACCTCGTTTTAAGTAAGGCATGCTTAATTCCCCAACTTGTAGCCTATCATGATTTTGGTTCTGAAATATGTATGAGGTGGTAAATGTATGGTTGTCAAATTTGAACAAATCATTGTAAATAAATTTTATATTTACACAGGTTATATAGATTTGAGTTGTTTATGAGCATATTTATCCGTGACACCAAATGATTGTAACAAGTCTGACAAAGGGATCTACCTCTGGTATAAGAGATCAATACTTTAAAAATTTTATGAAATTGTATATGTAGATTTTGGTCCAAAACATTCAAAGTTTCAGAAAAGTGCATTTTATATATATATATAAATACGATGTAAAAATACTGTAGGTTTTCTTTCTAGTGGATACAGTCTTAAGACAAATGGACAGACGGACAGCTTACAGTCTAGTACAACATAACATGCTGGAGAGCTATGCTATTGGCTTGACAGGACTGACCGCGCAAATAAATACCAAATGTACCTATCTTATTTCAGGAGTTTATTGACAACAACAGTGCGTGCTATCATAACATTGAGATATGTTGGTTTATGATATTCACAACAGAAAAAAAAACTATGGTTTAATGCCTTAGTGCGATCAGTAAAGTGACACAAAAAGGATTGATTCTAAAACTAGTGTCGGGTGTAAAACTAGACATGCCATATACAATCAGTGCATGTTTCACAAAATTAGTGTTTGCTACGAAAATACTGCACAAAATTACTGTAGGGCATGAAATGGAAAGTTAATTTGTGTTTTATCAATCCTGTTATCTGCTACCTATCCACTTCGTGCCTCATGGCACATAAGGCTTTCACAGAACGCTTCCATCTCTGCCGGTCTGTTGCCACTGTCTGCACCTCGTTCCAGGATTTCCAGCCTGCTTCTTCTCTCTCTCTTCCCACTGTTCTTCTCCACATCATCTTCGGTCTTCCTCTTTTCTGCTTCCCTTCCGTGGCCCAGGTTAAGGCAACGTTGCAGTCGTTGTTTCTGTCCTGTCTCAATCCTAACCCGTATAAATTCATTGTTTTGTGATAATGGTGACTAAAGAGTAAACAAATATGTATGATTTATAAGCAGTGGGTCTTTGAAAAAAGACGAGATATTCTCGTACACTTGTATACACGGAACATAAATACTAATTTGTAAACATAATTTATTTGAAATTCTAAATATGTGCTAAAGAATGATTTCAATGGAGATCATTGAAAATAGTACAAGAATATGATCAGGTGTTCAGGGAAGGCAAGCAACTTCTGCTTCAATGACACTTGCCATGTAAATCCTAATGATGTATTCTCGTGTGAAAATACAAAGAATGGAACTACCATGTGCTAACAAGCATCAACACATCCAACTTTACATCACATAAAGTGTGTAATTTGTCAAGTTGATGGGGGTTTTTAACTGAGAACTAAACAGCGAAAACTTTACCGTAATCAGAGATTGCTGGCCCAATATCTAGGCATTGGAAAAGAATATGAGAGTTTGTGATCAGACAATAAAGAGTGTTGATCTCCAGGCAGCTGTCATTTCAACTTTTCTCTATAAATTGCTACTACTCATAAACAACTGAGCAGATTTTGACAAGAGTAAGAAAGTACTCTGACCAAATTTGGTCAAGAGCATCCCATAATGAAGAGGATTTAATTTTGTATAAATGATGCATCTGAGGCCCCAGAGGGGTGGGACCCAATAGGTGAAAAAGAGATTTGAAAAAAAAATTTCATCATGGGAAGAAAAATTAAAACAAAAATTTGTTTAGATTATCCAATTGTAATAGGGACTCAATTTTATGTGAACAGTGGGTCAGATTCCCTACTGGGTAGTGGGGCGAGACACACAAGGGATAATAGAGGTAAATCTTTACCATCCTTCTGTAGGACACACTAGGGATAATAGAGGTAAATCTTTACCATCCTTCTGTAGGACACACTAGGGATAACAGAGGTAAATCTTTACCATCCTTCTGTAGGACACACGAGGGATACATCCTTCTGTAGGATACACTAGGGATAGAGGAGATAAATCTTTACCATCCTTCTGTAGGACACACGAGGGATAATAGAGGTAAATCTTTACCATCCTTCTGTAGGACACACTAGGGATAACAGAGGTAAATCTTTACCATCCTTCTGTAGGACACACTAGGGATAACAGAGGTAAATCTTTACCATCCTTCTGTAGGACACACTAGGGATAACAGAGGTAAATCTTTACCATCCTTCTGTAGGACACACTAGGGATAATAGAGGTAAATCTTTACCATCCTTCTGTAGGACACACTAGGGATAGAGGAGATAAATCTTTACCATCCTTCTGTAGGACACACGAGGGATAACAGAGGTAAATCTTTACCATCCTTCTGTAGGACACACTAGGGATAACAGAGGTAAATCTTTACCATCCTTCTGTAGGACACACTAGGGATAATAGACATAAATCTTTACCATCCTTCTGTAGGACACACTAGGGATAACAGAGGTAAATCTTTACCATCCTTCTGTAGGACACACTAGGGATAACAGAGATAAATCTTTACCATCCTTCTGTAGGACACACTAGGGATAGAGGAGATAAATCTTTACCATCCTTCTGTAGGACACACGAGGGATAACAGAGGTAAATCTTTACCATCCTTCTGTAGGACACACTAGGGATAACAGAGGTAACTCTTTACCATCCTTCTGTAGGATACACTAGGGATAATAGTGATAATAAATGTTACACAGTGAAGTCATTAAAAGAAAGCCAAGACAGAAGTTGGATCTGTTAAAGATTTATTTCTTGTTTGTGGTTGTATATCAAAATACAAATCTCTTTCATTCTTATTTCTCCGTCCCTCTGTCTCTCTTTCTCTCTCTCTCTCTCATCTCTCACTCCCTCATCTTCCCCTCTCTTTCTGTCGCTCTGTTTCTCTCTCCCTCTGTCTTTCTGACAATAAGATAAGAATGAAGTTGTGCAAGATAGGTTTTTCATTGAGAATCAAAGAAAGTAAATTTTCAATGGAATATTGTTGATGACTCTGATTTCAAAATAACTACATGAAACCTATCACAGATCACAAATCTAAAAGACAATCCTCTCCCTACTAATACAGGGCAACAATTACAATGAGGGTTTTTTACCACTTCTTTATAAATGTGAGAAATTTCGCCTCATTGTTAGGACTCTACACAGATACAGCAGGTTAAAAATTTGTCTAAGAATAAAAGACCTACAAATATATTTTTGTCTCTGAATAATATTTATTTGTTTCGGAACTAAACTACCCCTATTTCTCCATTCTAAGCTATTATAGGGTTGTCTGACTGAAATGTTGTAAAGACCAATAATATTTTTAAGAATGAAAATCTAATGTTTTGTTGAATGGTATTTGAGTTATCTTTTCATTGTTTCTCTCAATACCTGGATTAATTTTTTCCCTTGTTCTCCGCTCAAGACTACGCTGTTGTTAACGGATCTTGTTAAGCAGAAGTAGAGCTTGCCACATTAACAGTGAGGTAAACAGAAATAAAATATAATAGAAGTCTATAAATAGACTTTATGACAACCAATGATTGACACTTAAAACAACTGATCGCCAGATCATGAATTGCGTATAAGTAGGAACCAATTACTGATCAGGAAGACTACGGATGATTTACAAATAAAGTGACAGTAAAAATCCTTTACAAATCTCTATTACCGCAAATAAGCCCACCCCACCCCAGATCAGTACCATGGTAGTAAAATCTGTTAGTAAAAGTATGATTTTGCACCAAATCCATAAATGAATACATGAAGAGTGATTTAAAATGAAGGAAATGATTCTAAATAATTGTTATTTACAACATATATCAGAAAAATATATTTGTGTTTATTTACAAGGAAAGATCATAGCATCTTCAAAATCAAAATATACAATACATCTATATACAGGTGTATTCAGCAATATGTATTATATACATATTTCTGTGTTATAGAAAACTGCTGGAACCCATCAAAGACAAGAAAGAAAATAAATTCAAATTCGGCTCTTTTTTGTACGCGATTGCTATTATGGTACAATTTTCTCTTATCAACTGTTCCTGAATCTGATAGACATCAATTTACCAATACATTCACAGAAATGTATCAAACATGTACCTAATTAACTGAAATTGACAGTGTGAAAATTTTTACTAATTTCTAGCACGCAAACTAATTACATACCCTGAATATTCAAATTTTTAAAAATTTTCGCGACAATATTTTAAGCAAAGTAGCAATGAATCTATGACATATGTACAATTATAAATTGTATAAAACATTTTTGGTCTCAAATTTGAAATATTGCATTCTTTATTGTTATGGAGACTACATGGCACAATAAATTTAATTATCATTTACATCACACTCTATGTTTATCATGTTAAAAATCCTGTACATCATGTGTTAATGCTGCCATGTAAAATCTGTATATTTACATCTTAGTCTGATTTCAAATGGATGGGCAACACAACCTAAATATACTGTTATATATATAAAAAAAACTGTGGTACAATTTTGCTTATTTGAGCGTTATTTCAGTACACACACAGAACTATGTTTTCAGAATTAAGCAAATTTCAACAACTGAGAATGAAAACATTACAGAAATGTACATTTATATCAATACGGTAAATCATATTTTATTTTCATGGGGCTCAAAATTTATGGTTTCCCAAAAGTATACATTTTTGCTGGCACCTGATATTGTAAATAAACATTAATACAATTTACTTAAGTCCATGTCAACTTCCATCTGTTAAACATTTTGTAGACATTTAAATTAAAATTATTCTTGAAATTTAAATTCTCCTCAAAAATCAATTATTTTACAGTACTATGAAAATAGATTTTGACAAAATATGATAAAAAAAACACAGAGTCGGAACAGATTCTAATTTTCATCCAATTAATCAATTAATCTGCCAAACAGAATAAAAAATTAACTACTCTTGAAAATTAATACATTATCTTCCCCATTGTTGATAAAATGAAAACATCACAGATTACCTTGAGAAGTTCTAGAATTTTTTATATAAGTATGACATCCATCCATGCAGTCTTATTTAGTGAATGATGTTGAAGAAATGGTGTCAGAATTTGCCTGAATTACAGAAGTCGATGTATTTATCATGTGTTGTTAGTGATGAAGTTTCCTTTCCTAAATAAAAGGAATTTGTAGAAAACTTACATGGAAGGGTAATTTAAATAGTCATGTTTTTTTGTAGAAATGGATGAATATATAGACAACTTCTTATTGATTTGTTTACAAACACACACAGGGTCACCACAAATATTAGTCACTATGGAATGTTTTGTAAAACAAGGAATTCTTTTCTAGGTATAGTACATACATAATGAGATTAATTAACATTTTCAGAAAAAAAACTTTTGGTTAGAGTTATTCCAGTAAAATATCTAGTCTCTAACGTCAAACAGGAGACATCACCAAGTGATAATCAGCTGTGTATTCTCCAACTCTCAACATGCAAACATTTTTTTTAAGATAAAATAACCCTGGGAATCGAAATACAGAAATATTAAGTCAGGTGATTTCTCTAACACTCAGTAGTCTTTTGGTCGTCTACGGTACAACACGATACACATGGCCAGTAAGATGATAACGAGAAGGCCACATGCGGCTGTCAGTGACCAAGTCGCTGTTTGGAACTCTGCCTTGGCTGCTTCCTGTGGTATCGATGTTGTTATATCTGTCAACATTACAAAGCATCATGGGATACTGCCTTCACACAAGTTTTCAAAGTTAAAATAGTGAGACTGTTCATTGTTTAAAATCAAAGAAATGTGCAGTTATAGATATTTTGACTATCTGATACTTTTAGATGAACTATACAATATATACACATGCTCCTCGGACAATGCTTTACACCTACTGACTGATACCTTAAAACAACATAAATTCACAATTAGTTTGTCTTTCCAGTTGACTCTCTGAAATCTTTAAGGTAATAATAAAGAATTCTTAAATGCCTTTCGTAAGAATCAAAGTTAAGGAGTCTACACCTTGTTTTTGACAAAGATTTTAACGGAGCGCAGAAATGATAATGTAAAACACAATATCCAATATCATTCAAATCAAAATAAGAATGTATAAGATTTTTGTGTCATTTGTTTCGTTGTTGTTATGGAACCAACAAACACATTTTCAGATTTCAGTTCACCAATGTTTTACTATGATGTAATTATACGCCACAGTACATTATCCTAACATTTCCAAGGTTTTACAGGTTCAGGCCTTCGGACAAACTCCCACAATTAAAACCCAGGGGTATTAATGACAAATTTTAAGAGCTTGAAATAAATAAAACCTCAGAGAAAGCTTGGAATTATGGGATATCCACAAAAGTTTGTATTAGAAAATGATCCAAAATGCTTTGCTTCAAGAAGTAAACAAAAACAAAATGAATAGTCAATGGGAAACAGTACAAATAAAACTGAAGCTTTAAAAGTTATTCTTCAAACAAGACAACAAGTCAACAAAACAGCAGATACTTACAGTAAGGACGAATCGCAATTTGAGGAAAGTATTTCCGCCAGAAACCATAATCAGACTGCCGATAATTCGTAAGATTTTTTGAGAAATTTCCAATACTGAAGTAGCTGTGGTTGTAAAAATTATACTCGCCCCACGTGACTCCGCGAAAAAATTTCATATCAAATGTCCTCGGAGTTGGATCCCTGTTAAACATAATTGCATCACTATACTGTAAATTTGATCCATCAGTTATTTCATACATTTTTGTAGTCTATATGAAAATAAAGTTCACAAAATAGAAGATGTTATAGTACGCTCCACACTGGTCATTTGTATGATGAATGTGACCATGTTGTCATCAAAACGTCACACTCTAATCTTTGACTGGTTGTGTTTTATTCTATTGACATTACAAAACTGAAGAAACTTTTCAAAAATGGCAATAAAAGTTCAATTTAACAGAAATCAACTTGGTGCAACTACTACAAAACAATTTTTTTGATAAACAGGAAAAATATCACAGAAATTGTGAGTTCAAAACAAATTTTGTATGTTATGCCAAGTTTTCTTTTATCTTACAAATCAGTATGCAAAAAGTGTTAACAATGACTGTTTCTCAAACAGCATTATGTCCAGTCAATTATATAAAAATCGTATTTGTCATGAAAATGCAGATGATAACATACCCACTTGAGGAGAAGTTTGTCCAAAGACTGATCATATACTCGCTGACATTCCTGTTACAAAAATATCTAGTTTTGTAGATGTCTCATGATGACATGTAATTTATAGATGTGTAGGGCAGATGACACAGTTTACAAAGAGTAAAGATGTGTAGGGGATGATGACAGTCTAGTTGTAGTAGATGTGTAGGGGATGATGACAGTCTAGTTTTGGTAGATGTGTAGGGGATGATGACAGTCTAGTTTTGGTAGATGTGTAGAGGATGATGACAGTCTAGTTTTGGTAGATGTGTAGGGGATGATGACAGTCTAGTTTTGGTAGATGTGTAGGGGATGATGACAGTCTAGTTTTGGTAGATGTGTAGGGGATGATGACAGTCTAGTTTTGGTAGATGTGTAGGGGATGATGACAGTCTAGGTTTGGTAGATGTGTAGGGGATGATGACAGTCTAGTTTTGGTAGATGTGTAGGGGATGATGACAGTCTAGTTTTGGTAGATGTGTAGGGGATGATGACAGTCTAGTTTTGGTAGATGTGTAGGGGATGATGACAGTCTAGTTGTAGTAGATGTAAAGGGGATGATGACAGTCTAGGTTTGGTAGATGTGTAGGGGATGATGACAGTCTAGTTTTGGTAGATGTGTAGGGGATGATGACAGTCTAGTTTTGGTAGATGTGTAGGGGATGATGACAGTCTAGTTTTGGTAGATGTGTAGGTAGTGATGACAGTCTAGTTTTGGTAGATGTGTAGGGGATGATGACAGTCTAGGTTTGGTAGATGTGTAGGGGATGATGACAGTCTAGTTTTGGTAGATGTGTAGGGGATGATGACAGTCTAGTTTTGGTAGATGTGTAGGGGATGTGTAGGGGATGATGACAGTCTAGTTTTGGTAGATGTGTAGGTAGTGATGACAGTCTAGTTTTGGTAGATGTGTAGGGGATGATGACAGTCTAGTTTTGGTAGATGTGTAGGTAGTGATGACAGTCTAGTTTTGGTAGATGTGTAGGGGATGATGACAGTCTAGTTTTGGTAGATGTGTAGGGGATGATGACAGTCTAGTTTTGGTAGATGTGTAGGGGATGATGACAGTCTAGTTTTGGTAGATGTGTAGGGGATGATGACAGTCTAGTTTTGGTAGATGTGTAGGGGATGATGACAGTCTAGTTTTGGTGTAGGGGATGATGAGATGTGTAGGGGATGATGACAGTCTAGTTTTGGTAGATGTGTAGGGGATGATGACAGTCTAGTTTTGGTAGATGTGTAGGGGATGATGACAGTCTAGTTTTGGTAGATGTGTAGGGGATGATGACAGTCTAGTTTTGGTAGATGTGTAGAGGATGATGACAGTCTAGTTTTGGTATGACTGTCTAGTTTTGGTAGATGTGTAGGTAGTGATGACAGTCTAGTTTTGGTAGATGTGTAGGGGATGATGACAGTCTAGTTTTGGTAGATGTGTAGGGGATGATGACAGTCTAGTTTTGGTAGATGTGTAGGGGATGATGACAGTCTAGTTTTGGTAGATGTGTAGGGGATGATGACAGTCTAGTTTTGGTAGATGTGTAGGGGATGATGACAGTCTAGTTTTGGTAGATGTGTAGGGGATGATGATTATTTTTAGTAGATGTGTAGGGGATGATGACAGTCTAGTTTTGGTAGATGTGTAGGGGATGATGACAGTCTAGTTTTGGTAGATGTGTAGGGGATGATGACAGTCTAGTTTTGGTAGATGTTTGGTAGATGTGTAGGGGATGATGACAGTCTAGTTTTGGTAGATGTGTAGGGGATGATGACAGTCTAGTTTTGGTAGATGTGTAGGGGATGATGACAGTCTAGTAGATGTGTAGGGGATGATGACAGTCTAGTTTTGGTAGATGTGTAGGGGATGATGACAGTCTAGTTTTGGTAGATGTGTAGGGGATGATGACAGTCTAGTTTTGGTAGATGTGTAGGGGATGATGATTAGTTTTGGTAGATGTGTAGGGGATGATGACAGTCTAGTTTTGGTAGATGTGTAGGGGATGATGACAGTCTAGTTTTGGTAGATGTGTAGGGGATGATGACAGTCTAGTTTTGGTAGATGTGTAGGGGATGATGACAGTGTCTAGTTTTAGGTAGATGTGTAGGGGATGATGACAGTCTAGTTTTGGTAGATGTGTAGGGGATGATGACAGTCTACAGGGTGATGACAGTAGTTTTGGTAGATGTGTAGGGGATGATGACAGTCTAGTTTTGGTAGATGTGTAGGGGATGATGACAGTCTAGTTTTGGTAGATGTGTAGGGGATGATGACAGTCTAGTTTTGGTAGATGTGTAGGGGATGATGACAGTCTAGTTGTAGTAGATGTGTAGGGGATGATGACAGTCTAGGTTTGGTAGATGTGTAGGGGATGATGACAGTCTAGTTGTAGTAGATGTGTAGGGGATGATGACAGTCTAGTTTTGGTAGATGTGTAGGGGATGATGACAGTCTAGTTTTGGTAGATGTGTAGGGGATGATGACAGTCTAGTTGTAGTAGATGTGTAGGGGATGATGACAGTCTAGTTTTGGTAGATGTGTAGGGGATGATGACAGTCTAGTTTTGGTAGATGTGTAGGGGATGATGACAGTCTAGTTTTGGTAGATGTGTAGGGGATGATGACAGTCTAGTTTTGGTAGATGTGTAGGTAGTGATGACAGTCTAGTTTTGGTAGATGTGTAGGGGATGATGACAGTCTAGTTTTGGTAGATGTGTAGGGGATGATGACAGTCTAGTTTTGGTAGATGTGTAGGGGATGATGACAGTCTAGTTTTGGTAGATGTGTAGGGGATGATGACAGTCTAGTTTTGGTAGATGTGTAGGGGATGATGACAGTCTAGTTTTGGTAGATGTGTAGGGGATGATGACAGTCTAGGTTTGGTAGATGTGTAGGGGATGATGACAGTCTAGTTTTGGTAGATGTGTAGGGGATGATGACAGTCTAGTTTTGGTAGATGTGTAGGGGATGATGACAGTCTAGTTTTGGTAGATGTGTAGGGGATGATGACAGTCTAGTTTTGGTAGATGTGTAGGGGATGATGACAGTCTAGTTTTGGTAGATGTGTTGGGGTTGATGACAGTCTAGTTTTGGTAGATGTGTAGGGGATGATGACAGTCTAGTTTTGGTAGATGTGTAGGGGATGATGACAGTCTAGTTTTGGTAGATGTGTAGGGGATGATGACAGTCTAGTTTTGGTAGATGTGTAGGGGATGATGACAGTCTAGTTTTGGTAGATGTGTAGGGGATGATGACAGTCTAGTTTTAGGTAGATGTGACAGTCTAGTAGATGTGTAGGGGAGGATGATGATCTAGTTTTGGTAGATGTGTAGGGGATGATGACAGTCTAGTTTTGGTAGATGTGTAGGGGATGATGACAGTCTAGTTTTGGTAGATGTGTAGAGGATGATGACAGTCTAGGTTTGGTAGATGTGTAGAGGATGATGACAGTCTAGTTTTGGTAGATGTGTAGGGGATGATGACAGTCTAGTTTTGGTAGATGTAGAGCGACTGGACTTTGACAACCTGGTCCAATCCCGTCCCGAACATGTAGTCTGACATCATCTGTAATGACATGTTATAAACGTGTTTACTGACACAAGTCTGAAATTAAAATGTGCTGCACTAAAGTGAACAAAATATAATTACTTCAGCACCTTACAAAGATAGTATTGGTCCATCTAAAGCATGTGGGATAGGATTTGTAAAATATTCAAATTTTTTAACCAAAGTCATGTCACATTTCAAACTGAAGCAGGTGATTGATAGACACTATCTAAACAAATTATTGTTGCTCCAAGCCTCAGTTTCCAGGTTAGGACTTAAGAAAACCAAAATCAACATTTTCCTCCCACATGACCCCTCATTGTGTTGTAATAAACCTGTTTGTATATATTCCTTGTCAACATTTGCTGAGTGAGACACAAAGGAAATGTCAGAATGTTTGTCCTCAACGCCTACAAACTTTTACACTTACGTCTGAAATCCTACTCCTAATCATTGATTCGTTCTGTGGATCCGGCCAGTAGGTATATTGAAACTTGATTGCCTCACCGGTTCCTGTCAAATCTTCCACGTTCCTTTTCACCAAAAACTCATTCACAATGTTCCCAAACTCTGTTGAAGATACTCCATTCTCTAGTGTCTTTAGGTTAGCTAGATAAACAAGAAAAAAAATGTGGTAATTGAATACAATATTTTCATACAAGCAAACCTTCTGTACTTCAAGACCAGCAACCTTCTGTACTTCAAGACTAACAACCTTCTGTACTTCAAGACCAGCAAACCTTCTGTACTTAAAGACCAGCAAACCTTCTGTACTTCAAGACTAACAACCTTCTGTAATTCAAGACCAGCAAACCTTCTGTACTTCAAAATTAGCAAACCTTCCGTACATCAAGATTAGCAAACATTCTGTACATCAAGACCAGCAACCTTCTGTACATCAAGACCAGCAAACCTTCTGTACTTCAAGACCAGCAAACCTTCTGTACTTCAAGACTATTAAACCTTCTGTACTTCAAGACCAACAAACCTTCTGTACTTTAAGACTAGCAAACCTTCTGTACTTCAAGACTAGCAACCTTCTGTACATCATGACCAGCAAACTTTCTGTACTTCAAGACCAGCAAACCTTCTGTACATCAAGATTAGCAAACCTTCTATACTTCAAGACCAGCAACCTTCTGTACTTCAAGACTATTAAACCTTCTGTACTTCTAGACTAGCAACCTTCTGTACTTCAAGACTAGCAAACCTTCTGTACTTCAAGACTAGCAACCTTCTGTACATCAAGACCAACAACCTTCTGTACTTCAAGACCAGCAAACCTTCTGTACTTCAAAACTAGCAAACCTTCTGTACTTCGAGACTAGCAAACCTTCTGTACATCAAGACCAGCAACCTTCTGTACATCAAGACTAGCAAACCTTCTGTACTTTAAGATTATGTTCAATATCAAAGATATTTCAGGTCTTTTTTGTTTTGTTCCAGATTTCTGAATTTTTTTATTTCAGAAAGACTGAAGGAGCTATAAAGGTGTACCCACTAGTTATAAAATATTGTTTGACCTGGAGACACATGCTAGATATGTCTGTCTGATGAGTTTTAGACAAGAAACACATGTTTGTTATGTATTATCTTTATCAAAGAATAACTTATTTTGTAAGTTTATATCAAACCCAAACTTTACTCCATGCCTGTGATACTACAAATCAGAGATTTTACAAATGACAACATACTATCGTTCTGAGTTCTGCAACTTTTGTATCTTTTTTTTTTTTTTTTTTTTTGTGCACATTTTATTTTGAGGATAATTGAAGGTCAATAAATTGATCTATAATATTTAATCATTATAATGTGTTTGGACTTTTATGTTAAATCAAATCAGATATGAAGTATCTGTTTCAGAAATTATGTCAATTCAATGAAAAGAACTTCAGTCAATACTTACGGACAAATAACGACCCTTCATCTTTGTTCAGACCAGCCATGATTTTGATCTTTTTGAAGTAAGCCTGTTCTCGCATAGATTTGGGACTTCCTGGGAGGAAGGCATAGAAAGCGCCGTTAATTGGGCCATCTACTGTAGGTCCCCAGGGGTTTCCAACGTACCCATTCTGAAACAGTTTAATATATATCTAAGCAAACGTACAATTTAACTTAGGAATATACAACAACATCTGGCTTTTCTTAAAAACATTTAGGTATCTTTACTTTAATAAATATGTCTACAGGATATATCCACACATCTTTTTATTTCTGGAAATTGTGTATTATCTATTCAAATTGTCTTAACTTTAAAAAAATGTCATGATACTTTCTTAATGCTGATTCTGATGGAAGTCATTATCTCATCCAAACGGGATTTCAAGCTGGTGTGACTTTCTGACCTCAGTTGAAAGTAGAGCAGTTGCCATTGGACAAAAAAATCTCTACTTGAGGGCGAGATTCTTAACTATCTAATCCAAATCTTGTGTGTAGGGTTACTTTTTTCTGTTCTACCTTAAAGTTAGGGAATACACCCGCTTCTGCCCCTTAATTATCTGATTGAATTTTACATCTCTCTTCTGCCATTGGCGTTCCATCTATAAACAATTCTTGTTATCACTATCTCCTGAGTAAAACTGATGGACCATTCTCAAACTTCGTTATGAAGGTTCCCCTTTGTCCATAGTGGAGCATGTTTTGGGATTGATAATGATCAGAAAAATGTAATGGTGAACAAGGCAGTGCAAGCTGATATCTTTGATTTGGACAATAACATTCTGTTATCCATCTATTTCTTTAGAAGTATTGGATGAACCTCATAGGTCACATGGTTTCCCCATAGCTCAAAGCTGTGCTCATTGAATTTTGTGACTGATACAAAAAAAGACAAAATGACAATTATGTAATTGCATGGTGGACTGTCAGTGTTGATACTACATGAGAGATATCCGTTGTTTTGATATTGATTTCAACACATGCAAACCAGTAATTACAGGTGAGATGGAGATAAGTTAAATCAATGCTTATACAGACATCACACCTGACCTGTCCTTGGCCTAGGGCACTCCAATATGACAGTCACTTACCAATGTGAATCAAATTTGTTGTGGCCATTAAAACCAGGTGAAATGTTAGGATAGGGGTCAGTGCTAGGGTAGGAGTAGTCACATTAAAACAAGTGTTACTTTATGTACTGAAGTCACTGCTGGTGGCAGGTTATAACTGTTTAAAACATGTATTGTTTATAGGTCCAATACATACATTTTGTTCTATTTCCATCACAGGACACAATACATCTTCTGATTATCCTGGATATGTGGGCAGACCATAAGGTAGAAAAAGCCTATCTTACCCATGTGAGTGTTTTTTACCATAAGATAGAAAAAAAGCTGTCTTACCTGTGTGGGTATTTTTTACGCTAATATAGAAAAAACCTGTCTTACCTGTGTGGATATTTTTGACCATAAGATAGAAAAAACCTGTCTTACCTGTGTGGGTACTTTTGACCATAAGATAGAAAAAACCTGTCTTACCTGTGTGGGTACTTTTGACCATAAGATAGAAAAAAACCTGTCTTACCCGTGTGGGTACTTTTGCTGATGCATTCACAATTTCATCAGCAGTTCTGTACAGCTGTATACATTGAACAAGGCGGAAGTTATCATCATTGGGACAGCCAAGTTCCCAGGCCAGATCTTTGGCATACTCTGCTGCTGTGGCGCCCTCTATATACGACCACTCACTGCGATCTGACCCGCTCTGTAGAATAGCTCGCTGAAATAGTTCTGTAACATACATTGTTAAAATGATTGAAAGAATAACTAATCTGCCATTAAACCTAACCAGTGTATCAGTCAAAGAAAAAATCAACACTATCAATGGAGATACATTGTATAAAGGATCTTCCAGGAGTTTCATTTGATTTGTGAATTCATAAAATTAGTCTTAACAGTTTTTTCTTGTGCCCTCTACTGTCTAATCTTTATTCATTCTTTAAAAAGTTGGGTCTTTTTTCTTATCTGTATTTGCTTATCATTATACAAAATTTGAATATTCCTCTAAAGAAACAGCGATAATAACTTTCTTAACTGCCAAATCCAAGATGGCTGCCAGTCAGCCATTTTAATTTTCTAATCAGTATGAAAATCAAACAGGCACAACTAGGAGGCAAGGAGAAAATAAATATGAAATTTGAGAAAGATCCATTTGTGCATTTCTCCAGAAATAGTGATACCAAAGTTTAATCACTGAAAATTAAGAAAAGCCACCTGTTGGCCATTTTGTCTTTCTGATCAGATCCAAAACTAGAGACAAATAGAAACCTACATATGAAATTTGAGAGGGATCAATCCAGGCCTTCTCAAGAAATAGCAATAACAAATTTTCCTAGTAAAAATCCAAGAGGGTCACTTGTCAGCCATCTTGGTTTTGTTTTATCAATCTTTAAATCAAACAGGCTCAATCAGGTGACAACAACGACCTACATACAAAATTTCTGTGCTTCTCAAAAACTAGTAATAACAAACTTTCATTGTAAAAATTCAAGATGACCATCTGTCAGCCATCTTGTTATTCTGATCTTTCCCAAAATCAAACTGTATATAAGAAATTTGAGAGATCCATCCAGTACTTTTCAAGAAATTGTTTATGGATGGGTAAACAATAAATGTAGGTTAATTTGAATAGCTCACTGTCTGATGATGCTGTAAAACATAACAGCATGTCTCAGCTAACGTTCACTTGTCCAACTTGTAGTATGTACTTGTCTGACAGAGGTTTGTACCGCTCCGACAAGTCATACAAGTGTGAATGCAGAGCCCTATATCTCTATGAGCATATATTTTCATATCTCCTCAGTGACCATAAAATCACATTTTTGCATAAAATGGTTTAGTCAGAGACATTTCTTAATGGAGACCTTTTTAAACACGGTAGCACAATGACTAGCTAAAGTATTTTTCTTTGTCATGAATGCAATGGATTCCAGCAAAATGTGATTTTAATACAACATATAATGTACTTACTGTCAGATCGTGGTGATAACAGGTGCAGACCTACACTTGCAGCTCCAGTGCTCTGACCAAATAAAGTGACAACATTTGGGTTGCCACGGAAACGGTCAATGTTCAACCTGATCCACTCTAGAGCCCGCACTTGATCAAACATCCCATAATTTCCTGCAGAATTCTGATCATTGGTGCTGAGGAACCCTGAAAATTCAGAACAGTGGTTTTAAGAATAATTTATTTGTCACTAAGAGATTACTTCCAAACAATGAACCATCATGTATACTTATGTATATCTATGTACATGTGTGTCTATGTACAGGTGTGTCTATGTACAGGTGTGACTAAGTAAAGGTGTGTCTATAGACAGGTGTGTCTATGTACAGGTGTGTCTATATACAGGTGTGTCTATGTAAAGGTTTGTCTATGTACAGGTGTGCCTATATACAGGTGTTTCTATGTAAAGGTGTGTCTATGTAAAGGTGTGTCTATGTACAGGTGTATCTATGTACATGTGTGTCTATGTACTGGTGTGTCTATATATAGGTGTGTCTATGTATAGGTTTGTCTATATACAGTTGTGCCTATGTACAGGTGTGTCTATGCATAGGTGTGTCTATGTACAGGTGTGTCTATGTACAGGTGTGTCTATGTACATGTGTGTCTATGTACAAGTGTGTCTATGTACAGGTGTGTCTATTTACATGTGTGTCTATGTACAGGTATGTATATGTGCACATGTGCCTTTGTACATGTGTGTCTATGTACAGTTGTGTACAGGTGTGTCTATGTACAGGTGTGACTATATACAGGTGTGTCTATGTACAAGTGTGTCTATGTACACATTTGTCTTTGTACAGGTGTGTCTAAGTACAGGTGTTTATTATAAAGGTGTGATGATTCTGATAAGATCAGTGATGATTGGGACTCAGATATTTAAGAGACATTGAACAGATGTGTAAAAACGAGAACTTACCAAGTGGGCCTAGTCGATAGTTGATTGTTACCACGACAATACCCCTCTCAGCAAGGAAGACCCCTGGGTACTGGTGAGAACTGCCCAGTGTGTAACCTCCTCCATGTATAAACACCATGACAGGGTACAGACTTGGGCTGTTACTGATTGGCTCATCTGTGTTCTGTAATCAAATATGTCACAGAAAACACAATCAGTCTTACTTAATAAACCACACAGCCAGGTTATATTGTAGTTTTCTCCCAAGGTCTGATGCAGTCTTCATTGTGATGATTAATCCTTGGCAAATACTTCTTACCTGAGCATTCCAATGTTAACCATATCAAGTTACAAATGTATTTAATGATTTCAACAGGAGAATTGAGATTCACTGTGCCAGTGAAAACAATGTTATCAGGAGTGTTCATATATTACATACATATAACCAGGTGTCCTTAATAGACAGGCAATGTATATTATTACCAGGTGTCCTTTATAGACAGGCAATATATTTCATAACCAGATGTCCTTTAAAGACAGGCAATATCTTTTATAGCCAGGTGTCCGTAACAGACAGGCAATGTCATTTATTACCAGGTGTCCTTTATAGGCAGGCAATATCTTTTATAACCAGGTGACCTTTACAGACAGGCATTGTCTTTTATAACCTGGTGTCCGTAACAGCCAGGCCATGTCATTTATAACCAGGTGTCCTTTATAGACAGGTAATGTCATTTTAACCAGGTGTCCTTTATAGACAGGCAATATCTTTTATAACCAGGTGTCCATAACAGAAAGGTAATGTCATTTATAACCAGGTGTCTTTTATAGGCAGGCAATGTATTTTATAACCAGGTGTCCTTTACTGCTTTTTAAAACTAGTTACCCTTTACAGACAGCTATTGTATTTAATAACAAGGTGCCCTTTATAGACAGGCAATGTCTTTCACTACAAGGTGCTGTTTTTCATAGGCACAGGTCCAAATTTTATTGACAAAAGTGTTTCTTCAAATACATGTACTATAATTATATGTGAATGTAAAACTTACATTTGGAGCAAATATATTTAGGTATAAACAGTCCTCGCTGACATTATGTTTCTGCAGGGATGGTACAGTTTGGCGGATATACCACATGTGCTGAGGACAGGCAGGGCGATAGTATGTCGCATCCCAAACTCCTTGCCAGTAGGGATGTTCTGGTTTCTGTTAATGACAAATTGAAAAAAGGGAATTATACTTCTGTATATATCTTACCTGGAGTCCTTTCTGATTTTTTTTTTATTGTAACAATTACACGTATACTATGTAAACACATTGAATTATCTTAAACCACAAGGATTTTCCAATGAAATGGCTGTATGTACACATATTGAATTATCTTTAACCACAAGTATTTTCCAAAGAAATGGCTGTGTGTAAATATCTTAAACCACAAATATTTGGATATTTTTTATTTAAGCTGCATATAACTTACCAATTTTTGAAAAAAAGTGTTTCATTACTGAGAATTAAAAACCCCCATGCAGAAATCTTGTTATTTTAGTGATGAAACACATGTTTTGCAGACCAATGACATGCACACCAATGACATGCACACGAGAGTTTGGCACTTTGTAAAAATAAACCTAAAGTTAATATAGTAACACAAAATATACCAAAGGCAATGTATCATTTATGTGATCATTTCAAGTTGTCTAAGATCTTTGTATAACCAATACATTAAGTGATTCATTCATCCGACAAGGATCTTAAGAGTATTGAAATGCTTGTCTAATTTAATTAGATAAGAATTAACAACAGAGTTCGCTACTAACTTTCCCGTCATTGAAGTAAACTGTGACCATTTTTACAGTGTGTATCTGTGATTTTCAGTTCTAGATCTAGTGTTGACAGAGATTCCGGAAACACCTGTTGATTAGTGATCAGTACAGACTGACAGGTAAGTTAATTATTTACAACAAATATGAACCTCGTTACAGTTTCTGAGTACGTACACACCATTACGTCGTACTTACACGGAATCTGAACTCCCGCCTCCAATCATCGTATTGTTCCAGTCTTTTGGCGTAGGGTATCCCCAAAAATACATTGATTCTTTTTCTGTCATAAGCTGAGTAATGCGAAGGTATGGAAAAACCATTCACGTAACCGTTGGCACTCAGAACCTGTACGTTTTCGCGATCGGCTCCACCAGGTGTAACTAACACCATTAATACAATCAAAGTTACAGTGACCGTGAATTCCAGCTCCATAGTGATACAGATAACTTTATATTACCTAGGGAAACACCTGTCCATTTTGAAGTTTTTGTCACACCGGAAGTTGATATCACGTGACTACAGGTAAAAATTGTATAAAGAAAGATAACTCTCTTTCGGATCGTCACTTGACATGAATGTCAACAATGACTAATATATACCTACATGTACGTGATCTAGAACCCAGGTGATTTTGATCGTTGTAACATGTGACGCTCCCCTGAAGAAACAATAACTGTGATTAAATTCATTCCTCATAAATTAGGAGCATTTGTTTCCATGGCAAATTTTTTTTTTTTTTTTTTGAAAACACACATTTGACCTATCAAACATCCTCCCAGATATCATAAAATAGGCCAACAACATCCTGGGATGCCAATGTTTTGTTGTCGTCTGTCATTATGTCACACATCCTTAGATTACCACGGAGGTCCAAACATATGCTTGGTTATTCATACTTATCCACAAGCTACTTAAATATAATACACACGTTTGTTGCTTACCATAGTATATTCTGTTGTACTAGATGTATTTGTACTACGTCAATTTAAATCGCGGATGTAGGGGTTGAGTAAACCGAATCCTGATACATGCAAGATATCAATCTTTCAGCACCGAGTTCGTGTAATGTGGACAACGAATTCTCTCAATTCCTCGATATTTTCATTTTTTAAAAAAAATCCTAGTTGTGTTTACTTCGTGTGCAATATGGCGTGCCGTATTCATTTCTGAATGGTTTGGGGTTATTACCTGCTTTTATCTGTGCTTATTTTCAGTAGTCAAATAAATTGAGTAATCAGAAAAAAATGAAAAAAAAATCTGAGGCCTACTTTGATCTTTTTCTACAACGAAACCAAAGGAACAGCTTGTGTAATGGTTTCAGTTTTTTTACTGTGATTTTTACTTCCTTTATAGATAACAACACGGATTCCTTAACCTATGGTATTAACACGTCGCAAATGATTCTCTCTCCATGGGCGCGGTGGGTGAGAGGTTAAGGCGTCTGGGCCGTCACCGGTTCGAGTCCTGCGGTGGTTTTTCTCCGGGAACCCCGACTTTCCCCCACCACCCAAACCTGGCATATCCTTATATGACTCTGGTGCTTAATAAGACGTAAAAACAACAACGAAAGATTGACCAATAAATCATTGGTATTTAGAACTTGTTACTAATATCCGATTTTCGAGCAAGATGACAGACAAATTAAAACACACAACACAAGTTTTCGAGAGTTGCAGATTGGTTGACCTATTTGCTGTTTTTCTGGTCACCATAATAATATCATTGGGAAGTAGTATATAACTCTGTGCGATATGGACATGGTAGTGTTTAATGCTGGTAAGCCTGATAGTTCCGTGGTTGTCTACATTGTTCTCATTTGAGAACGTGCCAGTGACCAAAATTCACATAACGGGTGTTGGTGGTGGAGCAGAAAACACTCACCCTTTCGGAACATATGGTATTATTCTCCTAGTACATTTTGTACTTTTTCATCAGTCTCCTTGTAAATCTTCATTTTTTGTCCGTGGTTGGCAGAACTTTTATGTTTGAATTAAGGTTATTTGACATGTCAGAATTACCTATATTGTGTTTACTCTGTGTAGAAATGTAACACTTCTCAATGTCGCGACTGATTTATGATTAATCAACTAGTCCCTTTTATAAATACATGACGTTCAGTTGATTTTATTCGACGTTAAATGACGTTTGGGTCAATTTCAAATGTTTCGATTTCGAGGTGGCAACGTCGTTGCATGGAACTTGTAAATCGATGGGTAACTTGAGTACAGATGCTGTTTCATTCATCATAAAGACTTGGACCTGTACTTGGCAGTTTGAGAGCTGCTCTAAAGAGCGTACCAAGTATGCACCACTGGTGACAAATCGGGTGATTTCGATGGCCAATCAAACACCTGCACGTTATTCTGTTGCAGAATAATTGCTGCAAAATGGTGACGCAGCAGATAAGACAACGTGAATATCACGTGACATCACAACAAAATGGATCACGTGTGTATTGGAACGTCGTACTTTCGTTTGTAAGTTTTCAACCTGTCGCTGACTTGGCAGTCACATGACCCCCAAACAATGTACGTTACTCCAGTGTCTTATACGAAGTCATACCTATCGGTCGTTCTGCTAGGTCGGCCGCTTTGGGGAGGATGGGATTTTGACTCAGGTTGGTTTAAACGACTTAACAACTGGTAAATCCTCTGAACATGTACACGCGTACACTGCACCTGAAATGTTGTGTCACTCGACACCAAGACTCTCTAACCTGGGTCATGCCTACAATCCATTTGCTCTGTATTTGTGACAGTCAGAACAAAATGGCAACATTGGTAAATACCAATAAGGAACTGTTGTAGTTTTTATTTTTGTTTAAATCCAAACAAAGATACAAATTAGAAATCCTTATGGAGCTCTCCCGTAAATACAGGCTTTCCGACACCATTTTGGTAACCACCTTGAATTTTGTAACTTAACTATTGTCATTTTCTTATATTGCAAGGACGTTAATTTGTGTTCGCTCGCATTCCTGATAAATTCTCCCAGTTTTTTTAGATGATTTTCTTTAATTTCTATTTGAAGTTGTTGTATTCTGCTTAATTCCTAAAACATACCCCCACATATGACATATTTAGAATTATTACAGCCACGATAGGGAAACGTATAGTGAGCACTTCCGTTGATGATAGAAGGTCCTTACAACAAATTTCTCCTAATACCACGACTTTTTTTCAAGATGTCGACAGCAGCCAAACTTACAAGAGAGTTTGAGGGATGTAGGTCGACGACGAAAAGTTTATGGTCGCATAAAGATATCAAGTTGGAAATAGTCAGACGTTTAGACGTTTCATTATTGTTTACCTTGTTCTCTTTTCGGAACGTGACATTACTTGGACTGGCATGATTTACATTGCGCTTGTCGTCGATGAAGCCAAACATTTATTCTTCGAAACACCATCATTCTCCTTGTACTTCTGAACAGTCACTGTGTAAATCCTTCGTTTGTCTGTACATTGAGTTTAAGTTTGGATAATGGTAATGTTAACATATTGGTATTTTTGTTGTTGTATTTTTACATATATATAAAAAAAACAAGACAAAAGCTTCAGATGCTTTTGAATAAAAGAAAAATTGCCAAAGGGCACAATTATGGCAGACCGATCCGTTTCGCAGCACAATACCACTGACAGTGTTTTTGTTAAAGTTTGTTATTTTCGAAGGGTTGTATTTTTCGTTATTTTTCAAGGATTGATTACATCCGTGAAAAATGTTTACGAATTGTAGATTGAAAATAAAATTCATAAAAACACTGTACAACTGTTGATTTCATTGCGTCCTTTTTTTTTTTATAAAGCTTCTGGTAAAATCGCGAAAAAAAAATCCCGCGAAAAAACAACTGTTACAGCATTAAGGTGGTGGTGCAAAAGTATGTGGATGACTTTTAGAGTGACGTCACGTCGTCACCTTTTTTGGCTGGCCTTTCTTCGCACCTGAAATGAAAATGATACCACGTGAGTATCGGTTCACAAAAGTGTTAACATCTGGTACGTAATAGGATGTGCATTGTAATTTATTAGACTAGTCTTAATTTCTGGGACCTGACAGGCAGAGAAATATTAGCCAAAACAAATATCAATGTTAACTTCTAGGACCCCACAGGACGCAAGATATCAAACAAATGTTAACTTCTAGGACCCCACAGGACGCAAGATATCAAACAAATGTTAACTTCTAGGACCCCACATGATACAAGATATCAAACAAATATCAACTTCTTGGACCCCACAGAACGGAAGATATCAAACAAATGTTAACTTCTAGGACCCCAAAGGACGCAAGATATCAAACAAATGTTAACTTCTAGGACCCCACATGATACAAGATATCAAACAAATATCAACTTCTTGGACCCCACAGAACGGAAGATATCAAACAAATGTTAACTTCTAGGACCTCACATGATACAAGATATCAAACAAATGTTAACTTCTAGGACCCCACAGGACACAAGATATCAAACAAATGTTAACTTCTAGGACCCCACATGATACAAGATATCAAACAAATACAAATATTAACTTCTTTTAACCGCACAAGAAGCAAACACAGGTGTAAATATTTGGGCTCTGTCTTTCTGTTACGTTAATTTGGTCAATTATCGATGTTGTCTTTCTCTTATTTGTTTTTTTTCTTGTCTTTCCTTTGGAAAAACATCGTTGAGCACTGACACCATCCTTTTTTTTAACTGTCATGCAGGAATCTACCGATTTTACTCACCAACATGAATGGCTATCATTGGATCGTCACTACTGTTGCTGATGCTGAAATGTGCGTTTCCGTCGTTCCCAACCTGGATCTCTGTTCCTGAACAGTTAGAACCATCATAATTCCCGGAAATGACATCACAGTAAGTTCCGGCCGGAAGTCCAGTCTGTAAGGTCTGATCTAGTTGGTAACTGTCCATATTCATCACGATGAAGCCCTTGTTGCCCCTACCGAAGGCTATCTGATAGTTACCATTGTCCCACCAATGCTGCAGATTCTGTCCCATAACTATGTTCCTGAAGGCGACCATATTGTACATCTGTCTCCATCGATGTTCGCAAGTCTGGAAAAAACGAAAAGAAGGTAGCGGATATGAAAATGTGTAGACATGTAGAAATCATGAAGACTGGAACTTATGTGTGCTTGTTAATGTGATAACGAGCTCCTTAGTGAACAAAATAACAATTCAGGTATCTAGATCATATTTATGCAAACCAGTGATAAATCTACATGCAAGCTCGAATCTTTGCGAGTCCCGAGTCCTGGCGAGTCTCGAGTCTTGGCGAGTCCCGGGTCCTGTACTTATAGCGTTTTGATGTGACTTTAATAAGTTCTGGAAATATTTCAATATTCCATTGTAAGAAGCATTGGGTTTAACAATAAAGATGAAATGAACTTATGAAAATAAATTGTAGACTGATCACTGTCAAACTATACCATGCTTTTGACAAAGAATACCACATCTTCAATTTGTTTTTTGAAATTTTGAAAAATGGGGTTTCCAGCTTTTTCAACTTACAAAATAACATGTAACATGTATTATATTACGATAATTAAAGTTAAAACTTACAAGTCTAAGGTAGCTACACTTCTCAATGAAACAACGACACATTCAGACCATATTGATAAGGGAACGTAATCACAGTCTGAACCGATGAGCTACACATAACATGCGGAACTCAGTTTTGATGTGCCATCCTTGAGAGCGTTCGGAATACTTTTTTAAAAGTAAATATTTCAATAAATAAATAAAATAAAATAGATAAACAAATGAGATGGAAAGAAGAAGCGAGAACGTATTTTTCTTACCCAACCATTACCACACGTGAGGTCAGCGTTGATGGTCACATCTTTGATATTGTCACCGTTACTAGGTGGACCCTGGTCAGTGTTTGATCTACAAACAAGTATAAAGATTTGAGAGAACCACCGACATGTTTTTTTATCTTGAGTTTTCTTGTAAATGACTGGCATGAGACACTTGAATCCATAATATTTGTTTTACCTTATTTTCTCTAAAAGTTTCTCACCAGAGTCTGATTCTTGACTTTGTGAGCAAAGCGTCTAAAATGAACTAATATGGATTTCGGTGGTGGAAAAGTAGTATATTTGAAAAGTTAAAAACAGTCGTTTCAGATATGTACTTAAATAAACTAGCTGTTCATGCTGGATTCTAGAAATTCTGCTGCTAATAAACTCATTCATAATTCACTTTTATCTCAGCTTCAGAAAATATCAACATTATTTATATTGTATGACCAATCCGGAATCATCAATGGTTTTATTCGAAAAAAACAATGGATGAAGTATATGTATGAAGAAAAGTGCCCAAATAGAAATATCCTATTTATAGCAACACTGACCTTGATATTTTGACAGGAAGAAAAAAGTGTTGTCTCTCTTGATTTATTCTTAAATCATATAATTATGCCTCCCCCCTCTCTCTCTCTCTCTCCCCTCTCTCTCTCCCTCTCTCTCTCCCTCTCTCTCTCCCCTCTCTCTCACTCCCTCTCCCCCCCTCTCTCTCTCTCTCTCTCTCTCTCTCTCTCCCTCTCTCTCTCCCCCTCTCTCTCTCCTTCTCTCTCTCTCTCTCGCTCGCTCGCTACCTTTGGAAGTTGTAGCTGCTCATGAGACGTGTGAAGCCATATGGATGTGCCAACATGAAGGCGGTGGCCAGTTTGTATGGGCGTGGTTCGAAGTGGGTCAAAGGACCACCTAGAATAAAGGAACAACATTACATCATTTCAACAGTTACTTTACCTGACAGTTCCTACTTACTTCCCCTTGATGTAATGTAAAAAAAACATGGTTCCATGGAGTCATGGGAACTTAACTTATTGTAAGTTTTTCATCATTTTTATTTTCCTAACTCGTCTTCTATGTTTTAACATTTTATGCCTTTAGCATCTCTGACGAATCCTAGAAGTACGAAATGGCTGTATGGCGCATTTTAATTAATTTTCGGATATAAATGTAAAGTGTAGCTAAATGTTTCTATTGAAGTCTGATATTCATTTAGAGTGCCATTTTTATACAAATTTTACCAATATATCTCGCTATCAAACATATTGTAATGAGTTTGCATTTGTAAGAATATACACAGACAATGTAATTAAAGTTAGGGTTATTTACACGTGATCAGGTCACGTATGACAACTATTTACATGTGGGTTCGGTTACCGTTCTAGTACTTACCCCCTCCACCATGTCCTCTCTGGTTGTCATGGTTATCAATAAACACGACGACGTCATTAGAGTTTGGCATATTCCAAGCCTCGCCCCAGTTGTGGAGATATTTTGCTTTATTCTCGTTTCGGAAAACCTGTCCGAGTTTCACGCCAAAGATGAAATTAGTTACTCGTCCGATCCCTGTGTATTCCGAAGCAGAAATTCCTTCACCGCCCATATCAATCACTTCCTGAAAGATAAACGGTTTCGTTCCTGAACCGAACACATCTGAGTTTAGATTATGCAGTTTCCCAAATACAACTCTAAGGTCTCCAGGCCACATATGTTTGGCGGCGTCTACACGGAACCCGGCCACACCTAGGCTTATCAAATGGTTCATGTAGGCAGCGATCTGATCGCGGACATAGTCTTTGCTGAGTTTCAGATCAGCGAGACTGACAAGACGACAATTGCGGACCTCTTCGGCATCGTTATAGTTATGTATATTCATGTCACTGCTGTGACATTCGTTTCCGGAGTTGAAGTCCCAGGCAGAGAAAGGAACACCAGGATAGGACAAGTGGTCTCCGTCCCAATGGGAACCCGCAGTTCCCGTCCCGGATCCTCCAACTCCAGTCATATGATTGATGACGGCGTCGGCATATATTCTACAAAAGTAACAAAGTACCATTATAACGATCCAAACCGTTTCTCACTGCCGTTGTTATTGCCTGTTCATATTGAAACGGTCATGTTTTCTCTTAAGCTGTAGAAATACATACATTTATATAAACTTATCAAAAATATTTGGATAGATTTACGACCATTTCACTTTCTATAAAAAATTGAAATAAAATGAACTATGCGTGTATAATATCTTCCAGTCATACAAACTGGCAACACAAGATCGCTAGGAAATACTCAATCATTTGCTGTAGTTTCATCATATAATACTGAATTGTTCACTGAACCCACAGCAATGTGATTTTTATTTAATATGATATTCGATGACCACAACAGAAAAAAAAACATGAAGGAATTATACCCACAAACATATTTTCTCTAGACTGGAAATTCCTTTTTCTTAGGCACGTGTGTGCCTGACATTCGTCTTGTCAATTTCAACATTTGTGTTATGTTGTAACGCTCTTTATTCAAACGGGAAAATGGATGTAACAAATTTCACTCATAAACACTTCTGGAATATTCTATATTCACTAAACAAACACTCCAACAATGTTGTACATGTAATCTAGAAACATTGTACCAACAAACACCTACATGTACCTGACATTAACATTGTACCAACAAACACCTACATGTACCTGACATTAACATTGTACCAACAAACACCTACATGTACCTGACATTGTACCAACAAACACCTACATGTACCTGACATTAACATTGTACCAACAAACACCTACATGTACCTGACATTGTACCAACAAACACCTACGTGTACCTGACATTAACATTGTACCAACAAACACCTACATGTACCTGACATTGTACCAACAAACACCTACATGTACCTGACATTAACATTGTACCAACAAACACCCACATGTACCTGACATTAACATTGTACCAACAAACACCTAACTGACGATGACATTGTACCTACAAACACCTACTTGACGTTGACATTGTACCTACAAACACCTACCTGACGTTGACATTGTACCTCCGAACAACTACCTGACGTTGACATTGTACCTACAAACACCTACCTGACGTTGGCATTATTACACCTGGTAACCATATCTCTAAGTTGTTCTTCGGTGCCACTCCTGGTGACCAGTTTGTAGCTGACGGGTTGATACCTCTCCCACCATGGTCTGTTACTGACCAAGCGGTTCTCACTAGGTGGCGATATCTGATTAAAATGATAGTACATCTTGTACATACATGTACAGCCACGTTATTGAATTACAAGCGCAAACCTCAATCTGGAATACGACATATCAGTCAATAATTTTTAAATTTTTTCTTTCGCCCCCTCGGTTTCGAAATTTAGGCACTTAGCATCTTTGACGAGTACAAGAATGAAGAAACTGTATGATGCAGTTTGATTCAATACTTAATTCTGCTTAATCGAATTCTAAATTTGTATTGAAAGGTGATATTCACATATGTGTCTTTTGTATTCCACGCAGAATAACACAAAGTATAGACTGATTATTAATTCCTATACGACTCGTCAGTGAAACTATCGAAGTAAAAGTGTTGAAACGAAGAAGGCGATTGAGGATAACTCTAAGTCGTCGGAGTAAATATCAAAATGAATATGACTAAGTGCACTTAACCCCATTTTCTTTTTCTGATCAGTCCTAATATCAAAAGGGAACCTATATATGAAATAAATGAAAAAAAAAAATCAAATCTGTTTGGAAAATTGACAAATGATCCATAGCGGATTTCTCCAGAAATTGCCATGACAAACTGTTTACTGTCAAAACCCAAGATGGCTTTTGACCAAATTTTCAGATCAGTCCCAAAATGAGCCATTGTACTGTTGACTTTGTTGCCAAGAGGAACCTACATATGAAATTTTTAAAATGATCTATTGAGTACTTTTCAAAAAGGTCCAAGATGGCCGTAATTAAGCCATTTTGTTTTATGAATCAGTCCCTAAATGAGACGATTAAACAAGAAGAGATCCTCAGAACTGTATGTGTCGCCTGCAGAAATTGAACTGGATGTGCAACGATCAACCATAAAGTTGTAATACCAAATTTCATTTCTATAACTTGAAGCATAAAGGGAAAACTGCGCAAAGCAATATTCCTGAGAAATTTTCTAAGTTGAAAGGGGCATAACTCTGCCAAAAAGGGTCACAGACAGCCGGGAATCGAACTTAATCTATACCCTTGCAACAAAAAGCCTTATGCCAAATTTCATTTTTATAACTCAAAGCATTACCGAAAAAAGTCCGGAAAGCTTTCGTACGGACGACGCCGCCGACGACGACGACGCGTGACGACGGACAAAGTGGTCCCTAAGTGTCCGCCAGCCCTGCAGGCGACACAATAAACTGTTACGAGATGGGGTTTACCATTGACACGAAGCCAATCCGGATTGAAAATTACCGGATTCCGTGGTCTCCTCGAGTTCCTCTACACCGATAGACGCTATTTTGGAAAACTGCATAGTCACGTGTAAACGTTACTGGGAGCAGGTCGAAATGTCGCAAAACATTATCGTTACGCGATCTGTTACAGAAATACAACTGTTCCAAAGAGAGAGGGTGTTTTAGGGTAGTTTGGACACGAAAATTTACGTACATTGGTCTATTTTCAGTCCTATTTTTTTGCAGCATTAATCAAATCCTGTACAGAACAAGCGTTTTTATCGATAGACCGTTCATTTTGCAGTTGATTAACAACTTTTACAGCACCACAATTCTTCAGGCATTTAATAAATGCGACTCGGAGTTTCACTACTGCAGAAATGTCACACTTTTTTGCCTATAATTTATCCACTGGCGGCGTACAACTTGTGCTGCTTCCTTGTTATTTAATCAATTAGATCAATTTGTTTTTTCACATGACGATAAAAATAAATCAACTTTAATATTTAAACAATGTTTATTCTCCATATTTGCATGATTTTGTTTGTTTTTTATTGGATAAACTACATTGACACTAAAATTTCATAAGCGTATCCTTGTCCATCTACCAGATTTACTTTATGGTGAACTTCTCACCTTGGCGTGTAAAACTAGATATACTCCCATCGGGTTTACATAGAACTAAACAGGAAAGTGATGGTAGAACGGAAATATTGCGCAAGAGGGAAACCGAGGGAATTCTTTCATTTTACAAAAATTGTGTAAGGACGGACGGGCTGACGGACGACGGATCAGGATTCAAACAGCCCACCGTTTGGTAATTGCATATTAGTGTGACAAAATAGCGATAAGATCATACTTAGTGCAAGTAGGTCGAACTGGTGGATCCGGTTATGTTTTGTTCGAAACAAATATCAAGCGGTCCTTTGTATGATGAAGTAGTCATACAAACATCATACATTATTTTTTCTAACTGGTCGAGACATACACACTTATATCTAATGTGAAATATATTTTGAAATATTTAGAGGGACAAAAACATTTAATAGCCCACATCCAATGTTTGTGATTGTGAGAAAACATTAATAGAATGGTTGTTAAAATACCGGGATGTTAAAATATAGCAGTCTCGATAAATAATAGTGCGTACTGACCTGTACACCACAGAATCCTTTAGGCCCCAGAAAACGCTCACACTCCTGTGCGATATCCGTCCATTTCCATTCAAAAAGATGAACAATCGTGTTGCGACCAGGAGCACAGGTTGGGTTACTGTACGTACCGGCTAGGGCTAAAACATACACAAACCTCATCACTGAAATACATACCGGCTAGGGACTAAACCATGTACACAAACCTCATCACTGAAATACATACCAGCTAGGGACTACAACATATACACAAACCTCATCAATTAAATACATACCGACTAGAACTGCTATTTGCTGCTGTTTTGCTGTTGTATGCTGCTGTTATGCTGCCGTTTTGCTGTTGTATGCTGCTGTTTGCTGCTGTTTTGCTGTTGTATGTTGCTGTTTTGCTGTTGTATGTGGCTGTTTTGCTGTTGTATGTTGCCGTTTTGCTGTTGTATGCTGCTGTTTATTGCAGTTTTGCTGTTGTATGCTACTGTTTTGCTGTTGTATGCTGCTGTTTTGCTGTTGTATGCCGTTGTTCTGGTGTTGTATGCTTCTGTTCTGCTGTTGTATGCTGCCGTTTTGCTGTTGTATGCTGCTGTTTGCTACTGTTTTGCTGTTGTATGCTGCTGTTTTTGCCGTTGTATGCTGCTGTTTGCTGCTGTTATGCTGCTGTTTGCTGCTGTTATGCTGCTGTTTTGCTGATGTTATGCTGCTGTTTTGCTGCTGTTATGCTGCTGTTTTGCTGCTGTTATGCTGCTGTTTTGCTGTTGTATGCTGCTGTTTGCTGCTGTTATGCTGCTGTTTTGCTGATGTTATGCTGCTGTTTGCTGCTGTTATGCTGCCGTTTTGCTGTTGTATGCTGCTGTTTGCTGCTGTTATGCTGCTGTTTTGCTGATGTTATGCTGCTGTTTTGCTGCTGTTATGCTGCTGTTTTGCTGATGTTTTATGCTGATGTTTTGCTGATGTTATGCTGCTGTTTGCTGCTGTTATGCTGCCGTTTTGCTGTTGTATGCTGCTGTTTGCTGCTGTTATGCTGCTGTTTTGCTGATGTTATGCTGCTGTTTTGCTGCTGTTATGCTGCTGTTTTGCTGATGTTTTATGCTGATGTTTTGCAGCTGTTTTGTTATTGTTTGCTGCTGTTTTATGTTGATGTTACGATTTTACAATATTACTGTTTTACATTTAACACTATCAAAAAAACTTTTTTTTTTAATTTGACATATACACCTCGCATTTCTTTTTGGCGAAGCTTCTCTTCTAAAAACATTTTCGGTCAAAAAATTCGAGCTTTTCCAGTATTCAGTTATATTAAATGATAGTTACGGGTCCCCCGGGTTGTTTACAATTGTCTGAAAATTGTTAAGAACCCGTATTAAACAGGGTGTCATCGATGACCAATCGACTCATTGTTGCCCGCTGAATTATTGACGTCAAATAGAACATTTTTGTTTTGTTTTTGTTTTTTCTTTTTCTTCTTGGATGCACGCCTCCATCATTCGCTTTCGTAGTCAGCAAGCGTCCATAAAAGACTGCAAGAATGTTTTAAAACGTGGAATAGACTTACCAGGCTGTGCTTCACTGAGAGTGGACCTCATCAGTTGTCAACTAATAGTCATACACACATAGTACCATTTGGTGCGTCAACGAAAAGATAGTAGCCAATCAGATTTAGGCAACGAAAGTCTGAAACCAATCGGATTTAGACAACGAAAGTCTACAACCAATCGGATTTCGACAAATCAGAATTCGACAACGAAAATCTACAACCAATCGGATTTCGGCCAATCAGATTTTCGATAACGAAATTCTCCATCCAATCGGATATCGTCACAAAAAGTAACACAGAATAAAGCATTTAAAGAAAAATGAGTGACACTCTGTATAATGCCTCGCGATTCGCAGTGGCAGCAGGTGCATTTAGTAACCACTAACATAGAGAACAGCGACGACTGCCCTAAATCTTATGTCAGTAAGAAGTCATTGAGGTGGTTGGCAACTAACAGGATTAGGGGAACGTGACTTTTTTTATCTCCCCGACTTACAAGTTAACCTACAATATAACTGGGTTTTTTATTAGTCTGCATTGCCGTGGCTTATGTTTTGTTTACAGCGTCACTGTAACGTTTCTGTCTACCAGCCCCAGCGTGAATTCACCTCTTCAGTTTAAATCGACTTGTGAGGAATTACAACAGTTAGTCTAATCAACCGACAATACTGAGCAGTTAGTACAACAAACTGAAAGTAATATCGATGAAACCCAGCAGCCAACCCTATAGTTATTTCCAGACAACAAAGGAGAAATAGTGATATCCGACAGCAGCGAGGATGACACGTCAACTGACATATCAAACAACGTCCAGGAAGAAGAAAAAAAACAGAGAGGACACTACAGATAACGGAGAGGGCAGTACGGATAACGAAGAGGGCACTACTGATAATGGAGAGGGCACTACTAATAACGAAGACGGCACAACGGATAACGAAGAGGGCACTACGGATAACGGAGAGGACAGTACGGATAACGAAGAGGGCACTAATGATAACGGAGAGGGCACTACGGATAACGGAGATGGCACTACGGATATCGGAGAGGGCACTACGGATACAGGAGGGTACTACGGATAACGGAGAGGGCACTACTGATAACGGAGAGGGCACTACTAATAACGAAGACGGCACTACGGATAACGAAGAGGGCACTACTGAAAACACAGAGGGCACTACGGATAACGAAGAGGGCACTACTGATAACGGAGAGGGCACTACGGATAACGAAGAGGGCACTACGGATAATGGAGAGGGCACTACGGATAACGGAGATGGCACTACGGATATCGCGCAGAGGGCATTACGGATAACGGAGAGGGCATTACTGATAACGGAGAGGGTACTACTGATATCGGAGAGGGTACTACGGATAACGGAGATGGCACTACGGATAACGGAGAGGGTACTACAAATATCGCAGAGGCCAATACGGATATCGGAGAGGGCACTACGGATAACAGGAGGACACTACGGATAACGGGGAGGGTACTACGGATAATGGAGAGGGCACTACGGATAACGGAGATGACACTACGGATATCGGAGAGGGCACTACGGATATCGCAGAGGGCATTACGGATAACGGAGAGGGCATTACTGATAACGGAGAGGGTACTACTGATATCGGAGAGGGTACTACGGATAACGGAGATGGCACTACGGATAACGGAGAGGGTACTACAAATATCGCAGAGGCCAATACGGATATCGGAGAGGGCATTACGGATATCGGAAAGGGCACTACGGATAACAGGAGGGCACTACGGATATCGGATATGACATTACTGATATCGGAGAGGGCACTACGGATAACAGGAGGGCACTACGGATAACGGGGAGGGTACTACGGATAACGAAGAGGACATTACTGATATCGGAGGGTGCGTAACTGATATCGCAACTCGAAATTTTGAGTAATTTCGAGTTACTAACTCAAATTTCGAGTTGCTATCTCGAAATTTCGAGATAAAATAAAACACAACGTGGCCGGAATAGCTTCCGTACATTCCGCCTACTGTATAATGTATACAGTCTCTGGGCCCTACCATACGTAAGGCCATTGACAGATTCACATCGGACAAAGACGTTAACTTGTTCTGTCACCTCGGCGACAATATCTACGTATCGGTTCACAATCCTTACGTGTGTTGACAGAAAGATCCACGGGGGTAACTTAAACGACAATGTTGTACCGAGCAAGCACAGTATCTGCATGGCCTTTTGGGAATATGACCAACTGTTTAGTGTTTTAGTGTAGGCGCGTGTGACAAAACCCCACTGAATCGACATGTTGACGATAGGGAACAACGAACTGGATTATTTGAATGTTGTGTTTCACATGTTTCACGATGAAATAATTAACCATTACCGTGTTAAAGTGTTAATGTTATTAAGCAAAGACTTAAGTAACAGATAGAAAGATCCCGTGTAAGTAGACAAATTTCAGAAACTGTTTCCGAACTTCGATTTCAGTGACTGTTAAATTTTCTTTTCGGTCAATATATAATTTCAGTTGGAAAAAGACAAATTTGACAATGTCGTAGAAATCGACAGATCTCATTTGATTTGAATGCCTAAAAAGTGATACTTAAAAACATTTCACCTAATTTAAAGATGTCTGTGCCAGGTAAGATCGCCTCGTGCATTAATGTCGCCATGTTCGTTAGTCTGTAATACCAATCCGGATACGAAACAAGGTCAACACTGGATTGTCGTATACAGACGAAGAAAGAAGTGAAGAGTATTACAATCCGTTTTGATTACCCGTACCCCACTCCTCTCTTTACTTGAAGTGTTCCAAATATTCTTTGATGAACCAGTCCGAATAAGATTGAAAAATGTTACAATTTTCTGTAATAAGTCCACATTGCTGTCACTCACTGTTCGAATTCAGTTTTTATTCTACCAGATGATGAGAAAGTTTGATATATAAAAAAATGATGATAAAAATCGTACATGAACTTTTTTTCAATATCTTAGTGTGTCTTCCTTTACGCACTAGATGAGATTTAAGACTAGCTGAAATATAGTCAATTTTACTGCTTTCAAAATCTTTTGTAAAATAGGATGCGAGACTGGACGATACTCATGAGGTCAGTATCAAAAGATGCTGAATATTACTATGTTTAAAAACAGGACAAGTCAACAGAATATTGGTTCCAACTCAAATAAAACTAGGACAAAATATGACCAAAACAAGTTTTATATGCAGACTCACGAAAAAGTATAGAAAGAAAAAGACCAGGTGTTCCGGAAGAGTAAGCGTTTCTGCTTCATCGGCGACAACCGTCATCTAAACATTTGCCAATCCAAGTACTAAGTAATCTAAACTTGTTCTTGTGACTCCAAGAGAGAAAATATATCTACTCCTAATTTCATCGGTCTATACATGAAACCTTTTGATGACCCCCCCCCCCACCCCGACATCCCCCCCCCCCCGACATCCCCCCCATCCCCCCCCTCCTTAATTATGCCATCAATCTCGTGTCAGTAATTATGTTCGGATAAAAGAATAGTAGGTTTCCACTTACCACCTGTAACTAAACAGACCGCAACGATCAGTGAAAACATTTTGGTGCTCGCGGTGAAACGCAATGGCAAAACTATCTAGATCCTTCCCTTTTATGTGTGCTAGATAAGAAGTCGGATGACCTGGAGAGTTATGTCTTTGTCGCTCTTAGAATAACGCTACAGGTACGTTAATATAGTGACGGAACCTTTAAAGTGCAAGGCGCTGGATCATGATAATAGATATCAAGCGAAATAATCAATTGTTAGGCCTTCTTTAAACATGATCTATTTATTAATGGAGAAAAATGAAATCGAAATATCAACGGATAGAAAGTAATCTATGTGTTAATGGCGGGAAAAGTTAACTAGGTAGTAATAAGAGATTAACGAGAAATAAATTAGGTGTTCATGACGAGATAGGTCAACAAGGAATTAATGGCGGGAAATGTTAACTGGAAATTAATGGCGGGAAATGCTAACGGGAAATTAATGGCCGGAAATTTTAACTGGGATTCATTAAAATTGAGAAAGGTTGTTTAGGTATGCTGTAGCACAGGTTGATAGAAAGGTGAAAATATAGATCAACGTAACCTCGATCATAGCTGTTACATGACCAGTAGTTTACACTGCTGGTCCCTGAGGTTACCATAATCTACAGGTCACGTTTTATCTCTAAGTACTTTAGTACTACACTACAGAATGTACACGTGTACATGACTTCCTTCTAAAATTATATAATTCAATATGAAAAATAATGAAATTAATTTCGGGGAAAGTGCACCTAATTATCTGGTTTTAAATATTTTTTTAAACAATATTGATTTTCCTAGGTCGTCTCCTCGGCTTCAAAATTTAGGCCCAGAGATTTACTGACAAGTCCTAGAAGGATGAAACAGCTGTATGATGTAGCATCACTGACAAGTCCTAGAAGGACGAAACAGCTGTATTATCTAGCATCACTGACGAGTCCTAGAAGGACGAAACAGCTGTATGATGTAGCATCACTGACAGGTCCTAGAAGGACGAAACAGCTGTATGATGTAGCATTACTGACAAGTCCTAGAAGGACGAAACAGCTGTATTATGTAGCATCACTGACGAGTCCTGTATATACAAACATCTGTATGTTGTAGCATCACTGACGAGTCCTAGAAGGACATTAACTGTATGATGTAGCATTACTATCATAAAATGACAAGTCCTAGAAGGACGAAACAGCTGTATTATGTAGCATCACTGACGTTTCCTAGAAGGACGAAACAGCTGTATGATGTAGCATCACTGACGAGTCCTAGAAGGACGAAACAGCTGTATGATGTAGCATCACTGACAGGTCCTAGAAGGACGAAACAGCTGTATGATGTAGCATTACTGACAAGTCCTAGAAGGACGAAACAGCTGTATTATGTAGCATCACTGATGTGTCCTAGAAGGACGAAACAGCTGTATGATGTAGCATCACTGACGAGTCCTAGAAGGACGAAACAGCTGTATGATGTAGCATCACTGACGAATCCTAGAAGGACGAAACAGCTGTATGATGTAGCATCACTGACGAGTCCTAGAAGGACGAAACAGCTGTATTATGTAGCATCACTGACGTGTCCTAGAAGGACGAAACAGCTGTATTATGTAGCATCACTGACGTGTCCTAGAAGGACGAAACAGCTGTATGATGTAGCATCACTGACGAGTCCTAGAAGGACGAAACAGCTGTATGATGTAGCTGAATTCATTATTTTGTCTACTATCATAAAATGACGTTGAAAGATGTTACTCGCGTTTCTGTATAACATCTTTTATTAAGCCTGTTTTTAACTTTAGACGTGAAGAGTAACTAGGGTTACAAAGTGTATACTGTAAACGTTGCTACAGGTAAAAGGGTTCCTATTTTCGCTATTTCCGAGGATGGAGCAAAATCATGAAAATTGCCTTTATCGCGGAATACACGGTATTATGCTGATTTTAATTCACGTTTACATCTCCTAATATGGAATCTCCCTCGCACCATCAAATAAAAATGCATGTTCCATATGTAGTGAAACAATATGATTAATCTCATAGCTATATAAAAGTCAATATAATTTGTTTTAGTTGAAATTAGATCTTGATAATAGATACATTCAGTGTGTATTCAAATCGTCAAGAAGAGACAAGAAAGTGATCTAGTGACACCAACATTGAGGTAAGGTGAAACACTAACATTGAGGTAAGGTGAAACACCAACACTGAGGTAAGGTGAAACACCAACACTGAGGTAAGGTGAAACACCAACACTGAGGTAAGGTGAAATACCAACACTGAGGTAAGGTGAAACAGTAAGGTGAAGCACAAACACTGAGGTAAGTTGTGAAGACATCATGACGGCCCTCGGTATATAACCTAAATGTTCATTTTTGTCTCAATATAGTTTGGAAATGTGATGAATTCTGAAGTCTGTGATCATGTTTTTATGTCTGGCTCGTTATTTTAATAAGTAATGAATTGATTAATACTATATTACTTAACAAACTTGTTCCGTATCCTTAGACCATGTGACAATTGTACTATCACTTATTTATTGTAGAAAATGCTGGTCAAACACCCAGGGGTAAATAAGTGTTAATGCGACCTGGGCCCGATGATGCTTAATACGTTGCTAATTTGGTATCGAAAAATTATGAGACAAGCGAAATAGTGCTCAGGAAGAGGACAAGTGATTTCATATATAACCGGAACAATAAAGGAATAAAAGTAGGATACAAGTAGGACACAAGTAGGATACAAGTAGGACACAAGTAGGACACAAGTAGGATACAAGTAGGATATAAGTAGGACACAAGTAGGATACAAGTAGGACACAAGTAGGATACAAGTAGGATACAAGTAGGATACAAGTAGGATACAAGTAGGATATAAGTAGGACACAAGTAGGATACAAGTAGGACAAAAGTAGGATACAAGTAGGACACAAGTAGGATACAAGTAGGACACAAGTAGGACACAAGTAGGACACAAGTAGGATACAAGTAGGACACAAGTAGGACACAAGTAGGACACAAGTAGGACACAAGTAGGATACAAGTAGGACACAAGTAGGACACAAGTAGGCACAAGTAGGACACAAGTAAGATACAAGTAGGACACAAATAGGATACAAGTAGGACACAAGTAGAATACAAGTAGGACAAAAGTTGGATACAGGTAGGATACAAGTAGGACACAAGTAGGATACAAGTAGGACACATGTAGGACACAAGAAGGACACAAGTAGGATACAAGTAGGACACAAGTAAGCACAAGTAGGACACAAGTAGTACACAAGTAGGACAAAAGTAGGATACAAGTAGGACACAAGTAGGATACAAGTAGGACACAAGTAGGACACAAGTAGGATACAAGTAGGACACAAGTAGGATACAAGTAGGATACAAGTAGGACACAAGTAGAATACAAGTAGGACACAAGTAGGATACAAGTAGGACACAAGGAGGACACAAGTAGGACACAAGTAGGACACAAGAAGGATACAGGTAGGACACAAGTAGAATACAAGTAGGACACAAGTAGAATACAAGTAGGATACAAGTAGGACACAAGTAGAATACAAGTAGGACACAAGTAGGATACAAGTAGGACACAAGGAGGACACAAGTAGGACACAAGTAGGACACAAGAAGGATACAGGTAGGACACAAGTAGAATACAAGTAGGACACAAGTAGAATACAAGTAGGACAAAAGTTCGATACAGGTAGGATACAAGTAGGACACAAGTAGGATACAAGTAGGACACAAGGAGGACACAAGTAGGACACAAGTAGGACACAAGAAGGATACAAGTAGGACGCAAGTAAGCACAAGTAGGACACAAGTAGGATACAAGTAGGACACAAGTAGGATACAAGTAGGACACAAGTAGGACACAAGTAGGATACAAGTAGGATACAAGTAGGATACAAGTCAGACACAAGTAGGACACAAGTAGGATACAAGTAGGATACAAGTAGGACACAAGTAGGATACAAGTAGGACACAAGTAGGATACAAGTAGGATACAAGTAGGACACAAGTAGGACACAAGTAGGACACAAATAGGAGATATCTGTTGATATGTAGATATTATCCTGTAGATATTTATGTTGCTATAAGAACACCACATATATATTCATTTGCAGAAATTATCATATATATCTATTTGATTTCTTTTTTAATAAAACTTGTACTTACATGTTCGTTCTGATGCTTTTCGAAACCTGTTCAGTAAATTATGATACTCCAGTATTAAATCTGGATTAATTTGTTTTTTTCTCTCTCCAGTTGTCTTTCTGGTCGATGGTTTCTGTTCCACTTGTACCTGTTGCTGGGTGGGTACCGCAGATTTTAGCTTCTTCTTTTGCTTTATCGTGTCTTGAAATTCAGGGTCTACATCATAAAGAATAAGAGGCCTCATTCTCAGTCATATTTAGATTTAAACTAAAATTGAATCTTGAATAATTCTGATCACTTATTGTAGTATTTCTTTATTATGGAATTATGGAACAAACAAAATAAACACAATTCAAGCGGAAAACTTATTAATGATATTAGGGCCGTGGCTGTCGCGGGAACGTGAAACAGCAAACAAACACTATAACACTGTGTGTCACAATCAGTACACAAACACTATAACACTGTGTGTCACAATCAATACACAAACACTATAACACTGTGTGTCACAATCAATACACAAACACTATAACACTGTGTGTCACAATCAATACACAAACACTATAACACTGTGTGTCACAATCAGTACACAAACAAACACTATAACACTGTGTGTCACAATCAGTACACAAACACTATAACACTGTGTGTCACAATTAATACACAAACACACAGTATAACACTGTGTGTCACAATCAATACACAAACACACACTATAACACTGTGTGTCACAATCAGTACACAAACACTATAACACTGTGTGTCACAATTAATACACAAACACACAGTATAACACTGTGTGTCACAATCAATACACAAACACAACACTATAACACTGTGTGTCACAATCAGTACACAAACACTATAACACTGTGTGTCACAATCAGTACACAAACACTATAACACTGTGTGTCACAATCAATACACAAACACTATAACACTGTGTGTCACAATCAGTACACAAACACTATAACACTGTGTGTCACAATCAGTACACAAACACTATAACACTGTGTGTCACAATCAGTACACAAACACTATAACACTGTGTGTCACAATCAGTACACAAACACTATAACACTGTGTGTCACAATCAGTACACAAACACTATAACACTGTGTGTCACAATCAATCCACAAACACTATAACACTGTGTGTCACAATCAGTACACAAACACTATAACACTGTGTGTCACAATCAGTACACAAACACTATAACACTGTGTGTCACAATCAGTACACAAACACTATAACACTGTGTGTCACAATCAGTACACAAACACTATAACACTGTGTGTCACAATCAGTACACAAACACTATAACACTGTGTGTCACAATCAGTACACAAACACTATAACACTGTGTGTCACAATCAGTACACAAACACTATAACACTGTGTGTCACAATCAGTACACAAACACTATAACACTGTGTGTCACAATCAGTACACAAACACTATAACACTGTGTGTCACAATCAGTACACAAACAAACACTATAACACTGTGTGTCACAATCAGTACACAAACACTATAACACTGTGTGTCACAATCAATACACAAACACTATAACACTGTGTGTCACAATCAGTACACAAACAAACACTATAACACTGTGTGTCACAATCAGTACACAAACACTATAACACTGTGTGTCACAATCAGTACACAAACACTATAACACTGTGTGTCACAATCAGTACACAAACACTATAACACTGTGTGTCACAATCAATACACAAACACTATAACACTGTGTGTCACAATCAATACACAAACAAACACTATAACACTGTGTGTCACAATCAGTACACAAACACTATAACACTGTGTGTCACAATCAGTACACAAACACTATAACACTGTGTGTCACAATCAGTACACAAACACACAACACTATAACACTGTGTGTCACAATCAGTACACAAACACACAACACTATAACACTGTGTGTCACAATCAGTACACAAACACACAACACTATAACACTGTGTGTCACAATCAGTACACAAACACACAAACACTATAACACTGTGTGTCACAATCAGTACACAAACACTATAACACTGTGTGTCACAATCAATACACAAACACTATAACACTGTGTGTCACAATCAGTACACAAACACTATAACACTGTGTGTCACAATCAGTACACAAACAAACACTATAACACTGTGTGTCACAATCAGTACACAAACAAACACTATAACACTGTGTGTCACAATCAGTACACAAACAAACACTATAACACTGTGTGTCACAATCAGTACACAAACACTATAACACTGTGTGTCACAATCAGTACACAAACAAACACTATAACACTGTGTGTCACAATCAGTACACAAACAAACACTATAACACTGTGTGTCACAATCAGTACACAAACAAACACTATAACACTGTGTGTCACAATCAGTACACAAACACTATAACACTGTGTGTCACAATCAGTACACAAACACTATAACACTGTGTGTCACAATCAATACACAAACACTATAACACTGTGTGTCACAATCAGTACACAAACAAACTATAACACTGTGTGTCACAATCAGTACACAAACACTATAACACTGTGTGTCACAATCAATACACAAACACTATAACACTGTGTGTCACAATCAGTACACAAACAAACACTATAACACTGTGTGTCACAATCAGTACACAAACACTATAACACTGTGTGTCACAATCAATACAATCAGTACACAAACACTATAACACTGTGTGTCACAATCAATACACAAACACTATAACACTGTGTGTCACAATCAGTACACAAACACACAACAGTATAACACTGTGTGTCACAATCAGTACACAAACACTATAACACTGTGTGTCACAATCAATACACAAACACTATAACACTGTGTGTCACAATCAATACACAAACACTATAACACAAATCACACAAACACTATAACACTGTGTGTCACAATCAGTACACAAACACTATAACACTGTGTGTCACAATCATATAACACTGTGTGTCACAATCAACACAAACACTATAACACTGTGTGTCACAATCAGTACACAAACACACTATAACACTGTGTGTCACAATCAGTACACAAACACTATAACACTGTGTGTCACAATCAGTACACAAACACTATAACACTGTGTGTCACAATCAATACACAAACAAACACAATAACACTGTGTGTCACAATCAGTACACACAAACACTGTGTGTCATAACACTGTGTGTCACAATCAGTACACAAACACACTAACACTACAATAACACAAACACTATAACACTGTGTGTCACACATCAACAAACACTATAACACTGTGTGTCACAATCAGTACACAAACACTATAACACTGTGTGTCACAATCAGTACACAAACAAACACTATAACACTGTGTGTCACAATCAGTACACAAACAAAACACTGTGTGTCATAACACAAACACTGTGTGTCACAATCAGTACACAAACAAACACTATAACACTGTGTGTCACAATCAGTACACAAACAAACACTATAACACTGTGTGTCACAATCAGTACACAAACAAACACTATAACACTGTGTGTCACAATCAGTACACAAACAAACACTATAACACTGTGTGTCACAATCAGTACACAAACACTATAACACTGTGTGTGTCACAATCAATACACAAACAAACACTATAACACTGTGTGTCACAATCAGTACACAAACATGTCACAATCAACACAAACACTATAACACTGTGTGTCACAATCAGTACACAAACAATCACTGTGTGTCACAATCACTACACAAACACTATAACACTGTGTGTCACAATCACTACACAAACACTATAACACTGTGTGTCACAATCAGTACACAAACACTATAACACTGTGTGTCACAATCAATACACAAACACACAACAGTATAAACAAACACTATAACACTGTGTGTCACAATCAGTACACAAACACTATAACACTGTGTGTCACAATCAGTACACAAACAAACACTATAACACTGTGTGTCACAATCAGTACACAAACACTATAACACTGTGTGTCACAATCAGTACACAAACACTATAACACTGTGTGTCACAATGTATAACACTGTGTGTCACAATCAGTACACAAACACTATAACACTGTGTGTCACAATCAATACACACAAACACTATAACACTGTGTGTCACAATCAGTACACAAACACTATAACACTGTGTGTCACAATCAGTACACAAACACTATAACACTGTGTGTCACAATCAGTACACAAACACTATAACACTGTGTGTCACAATCAGTACACAAACACTATAACACTGTGTGTCACAATCAGTACACAAACACTATAACACTGTGTGTCACAATCAATACACAAACACTATAACACTGTGTGTCACAATCAATACACAAACACTATAACACTGTGTGTCACAATCAGTACACAAACACTATAACACTGTGTGTCACAATCAATACACAAACACTATAACACTGTGTGTCACAATAACACTGTGTGTCACAATCAATACACAAACACTATAACACTGTGTGTCACAATCAGTACACAAACACTATAACACTGTGTGTCACAATCAGTACACAAACACTATAACACTGTGTGTCACAATCAATACACAAACACTATAACACTGTGTGTCACAATCAGTGTGTGTGTCACAATCAGTACACAAACACTATAACACTGTGTGTCACAATCAGTACACAAACACTATAACACTGTGTGTCACAATCAATACACAAACACTATAACACTGTGTGTCACAATCAGTACACAAACACTATAACACTGTGTGTCACAATCAATACACAAACACTATAACACTGTGTGTCACAATCAGTACACAAACACTATAACACTGTGTGTCACAATCAGTACACAAACACTATAACACTGTGTGTCACAATCAGTACACAAACACTATAACACTGTGTGTCACAATCACAAACACTATAACACTGTGTGTCACAATCACACAAACACTATACACACAATCACACAAACACTATAACACTGTGTGTCACAATCAGTACACAAACACTATAACACTGTGTGTCACAATCAGTACACAAACACTATAACACTGTGTGTCACAATCAATACAACACTATAACACTGTGTGTCACAATCAATACACAAACACTATAACACTGTGTGTCACAATCAAACACAAACACTATAACACTGTGTGTCACAATCAATACACAAACACTATAACACTGTGTGTCACAATACTGTACACAACACAAACACTATAACACTGTGTGTCACAATCAGTACACAAACACTATAACACTGTGTGTCACAATCAGTACACAAACACTATAACACTGTGTGTCACAATCAGTACACAAACACTATAACACTGTGTGTCACAATCAGTACACAAACACTACACTGTGTGTCACAATCAGTACACAAACACTATAACACTGTGTGTCACAATCAGTACACAAACACTATAACACTATAACACTGTGTGTCACAATCAAACATACACACTATAACACTGTGTGTCACACACAACACAAACACTATAACACTGTGTCACCAACACAAACATACCACCATGTAAATACTGTGCATCACCAACACAAACACACTACCATGTAAATACTGTACATCACCAACACAAACATACCACCATGTAAATACTGTACATCACCAACACAAACATACCACCATGTAAATACTGTACATCACCAACACAAACATACCACCATGTAAATACTGTACATCATCACCAACACAAACATACCACCATGTAAATACTGTACATCACTAACACAAACATACCACCATGTAAATACTGTACATCATCACCAACACAAACATACCACCATGTAAATACTGTACATCAAACACAAACATACCACCATGTAAATACTGTACATCACTAACACAAACATACCACCATGTAAATACAGTACATCATCACCAACACAAACATACCACCATGTAAATACTGTACATCACTAACACAAACATACCACCATGTAAATACTGTACATCATCACCAACACAAACATACCACCATGTAAATACTGTACATCATCACCAACACAAACATACCACCATGTAAATACTGTACATCATCACCAACACAACCACCAACACAAACACAAACACCACCATGTAAATACTGTACATCATCACCAACACAAACATACCACCATGTAAATACTGTACATCACCAACACAAACATACCACCATGTAAATACTGTACATCATCACCAACACAAACATACCACCATGTAAATACTGTACATCACCAACACAAACATACCACCATGTAAATACTGTACATCATCACCAACACAAACATACCACCATGTAAATACTGTACATCACCAACACAAACATACCACCATGTAAATACTGTACATCACCAACACAAACATACCACCATGTAAATACTGTACATCACCAACACAAACATACCACCATGTAAATACTGTACATCACCAACACAAACATACCACCATGTAAATACTGTATACACCAACACAAACATACCACCATGTAAATACTGTACATCATCAGCAACACAAACATACCACCATGTAAATACTGTACATCACCAACACAAACAACCAACACAAACATACCACCATGTAAATACTGTATACACCAACACAAACATACCACCATGTAAATACTGTACATCATCACCAACACAAACATACCACCATGTAAATACTGTACATCATCACCAACACAAACATACCACCATGTAAATACTGTACATCATCACCAACACAAACATACCACCATGTAAATACTGTACATCATCACCAACACAAACATACCACCACAAACATGTAAATACTGTACATCATCACCAACACAAACATACCACCATGTAAATACTGTACATCATCACCAACACAAACATACCACCATGTAAATACTGTACATCATCACCAACACAAACATACCACCATGTAAATACTGTACATCACCAACACAAACATACCACCATGTAAATACTGTACATCACCAACACAAACACACTACCATGTAAATACTGTACATCACCAACACAAACATACCACCATGTAAATACTGACACAAACATACCACCATGTAAATACTGTACATCATCACCAACACAAACATACCACCATGTAAATACTGTACATCATCACCAACACAAACATACCACCATGTAAATACTGTACATCATCACCAACACAAACATACCACCATGTAAATACTGACACAAACATACCACCATGTAAATACTGACACAAACATACCACCATGTAAATACTGTACATCATCACCAACACAAACATACCACCATGTAAATACTGTACATCACCAACACAAACATACCACCATGTAAATACTGTACATCATCACCAACACAAACATACCACCATGTAAATACTGTACATCACCACCAACACAAACATACCACCATGTAAATACTGTACATCACCAACACAAACATACCACCATGTAAATACTGTACATCATCACCAACACAAACACACTACCATGTAAATACTGTACATCACCAACACAAACATACCACCATGTAAATACTGTACATCATCACCAACACAAACATACCACCATGTAAATACTGTACATCACCAACACAAACATACCACCATGTAAATACTGTACATCATCACCAACACAAACATACCACCATGTAAATACTGTACATCATCACCAACACAAACATACCACCATGTAAATACTGTACATCACCAACACAAACATACCACCATGTAAATACTGTACACAAACATACCACCATGTAAATACTGTACATCATCACCAACACAAACATACCACCATGTAAATACTGTACATCATCACCAACACAAACATACCACCATGTAAATACTGTACATCACCAACACAAACATACCACCATGTAAATACTGTACATGTAAATACTGTACATCACACAACACAAACATACCACCATGTACTGTACAAACAAACATACCACCATGTAAATACTGTACATCATCACCAACACAAACATACCACCATGTAAATACTGTATACACCAACACAAACATACCACCATGTAAATACTGTACATCATCACCAACACAAACATACCACCATGTAAATACTGTATACACCAACACAAACATACCACCATGTAAATACTGTACATCATCACCAACACAAACATACCACCATGTAAATACTGTACATCACCAACACAAACATACCACCATGTAAATACTGTATACACCAACACAAACATACCACCATGTAAATACTGTACATCATCACCAACACAAAAATACCACCATGTAAATACTGTACATCATCACCAACACAAAAATACCACCATGTAAATACTGTACATCATCACCAACACAAAAATACCACCATGTAAATACTGTACATCATCACCAACACAAAAATACCACCATGTAAATACTGTACATCACCAACACAAAAATACCACCATGTAAATACTGTATACACCAACACAAACATACCACCATGTAAATACTGTATACACCAACACAAACATACCACCATGTAAATACTGTACATCATCACCAACACAAAAATACCACCATGTAAATACTGTATACACCAACACAAACATACCACCATGGAAATACTGTACATCATCACCAACACACATTAGATGTACTACAGTAAGTACAATGGTTTTAAAAGTACAGCTAGATTCACGACAACAGAATGAAATACATCTAGTGCATATATTTACCTTTAGACCATTTTGTAAATATTTTTATCCATCTTGCGAACTCCTTTTCAAAATCCTTGTCTTTACATTTGTTGAGATAATTGTTTACATCCATATTAGACGGATCCATGCGTCCGAGGTACAACCGTTCTTTGTCACATCTGTCCACGATTTATACTGGGCATTATATAGTCAAACCTTGAGCTATCATAGTACAAGTTTCTTTGTAAAACGTTGTATGGTGCGTCGTGCAATCTAAATGTTTGTTCACACTTATTACTATACTTTCCTAGTTTTATAAGTGAAGCATGTTTATTGATTAAGCTGTAACGAAGAACACGTGCGTGTATATATATCCACAATATACGTCATGAAACCAGAGGAAACGACGGAAATATTAACATGCGAATGTATACAACTTACAGTGTTTCTATGTGTTATATACAGTGTATTTATGTGTTATATACAGTGTATGTATGTGTTATCTACAGTGTATGTATGTGCTTTATACAGTGTGTTTATGTGTTATATACATTGTGTTTATGTGTTATAACAGTGTATGTATGTGTTATATACAGTGTATGTATGTGTTATCTACAGTGTATGTATGTGCTTTATACAGTGTGTTTATGTGTTATATACATTGTGTTTATGTGTTATATACAGTGTATGTATGTGTTATAACAGTGTATGTATGTGTTATATACAGTGTATTTATGTGTTATATACAGTGTATGTGTTATATACAGTGTATGTATGTGTTATAACAGTGTATGTATGTGTTATATACAGTGTATGAATGTGTTATAACAGTGTATGTATGTGTTATATACAGTGTATGTATGTGTTATATACAGTGTATGTATGTGTTATATACAGTGTATTTATGTGTTATATATAGTGTATTTATGTGTTATCTACAGTGTATGTATGTGTTATACACAGTGTATTTATGTGTTATATATAGTGTATTTATGTGTTATATACAGTGTATTTATGTGTTATATACAGTGTATTTATGTGTTATAAACAGTCTATGTATGTGTATATACAGTGTATTTATGTGTTATATACAGTGTATTTATGTGTTATATACAGTGTATTTATGTGTATATACAGTGTATGTATGTGTTATAAACAGTGTATGTATGTGTTATATACAGTGTATTTATGTGTTATATATAGTGTATTTATGTGTTATATACAGTGTATTTATGTGTTATATACAGTGTATATGTGTTATATACAGTGTATGTATGTGTTATATACAGTCTATTCATGTGCTATAAACAGTGTATGTATGTGTTATATACAGTCTATGTATGTGTTATATACAGTGTATTTACATAAAGTATGTGTGATATACATTTTATCTGTGTGTATATATTGGAGGAGCGAAGTGCTCTTTCTTTCTGCAAGTCGTATTTGTTATACGTCACTAGGTGTGTTGTCCTTAATATCCAAATTCACGCCAAAGTACATTACTCTCGGCCCCCATCAACTGTCATGTGTATCAGTTTACCATCTGACATAGTGTAACGAAGGGAAGTAACTCCAGGAGATCAGAATGACGTACTTTGATATAACAATGATATATAATAATACAATCAATACAGTTTGCTGTGAGACTGGTGTTTAGTTTGTCATGCGTTTGTCTTTTTATTTAAATGAAACTCGGAGAAGTCTTCTCGTGCCAAATTTTCCTCATCTGATCCGTTTCCCTTAGTGGTTACCAAGAGAATAAAATTCTGAAAATATTTATATATATTTATGTGTCAGTATCGAATGGCTTGAGATGTTTCTTAACAGGCCAAATTTCGAAAAGGAAAGGGAAAGTTAAAACAAATAAACTTGAAATCATACAGTATTATTATTATCATAGCTGATTTTGACATTTGTCATTTGTTGTTTACCGTGTAAGTCTCAGTAGAAAAACAAACAAACAAAGATGTGTTTTTCTATCTCATCCGTCTAAAAAAGATTAGGAACAGGATAAAGGCACACACAAAATCATAGATTACCAAAGATCCCGATATAAGACTATGACAAGACGAGGTTGTCTTGGTTTTTTTCTTTTTTATTTTCTGGGATCTGTATCATAGTCTAGAATCGGACATATACTCACTACTTTTACTATGAAAAAGTACATCCCAATGAAGAGATCGTAAGTGTTCGTGAATTGATCGTAAGCGTTCGTGAAGTGATCGTAAGTGTTCGTGAATTGATCGTAAATGTTCGTGAAGTGATCGTAAGTGTTCGTGAATTGATCGTAAATGTTCGTGAAGTGATCGTAAGTGTTCGTGAAGTGATCGTTTGTGATCGTAAGTGTTCGTGAAGTGATCGTAAGTGTTCGTGAAGTGATCGTTTGTGATCGTAAGTGTTCGTGAAGTGATCGTAAGTGTTCGTGAAGTGATCGTTTGTAATCGTAATCACTGGAAGCTATAATATAACTTACATTTTCTAACCAGAGTGGTGTTGTCTGGTCAGTCTCTCCTAACACACCTGGTAAAACTGCTCCTGTGTTGGGTTTTAAAAGATGCATGTATACTAGCGCAATGTAATGACAGAGATTATGATAACAAAAACTATAAGTACAGAAATAGCTGAACCATGAACAACGAAAAGATATATATATATATACAGAATCAGATGGTAATAGCAAACTGTGTAGGGTGAACATTGCAACGATCTGTTATTGTTGGTCGCCAAAATGTCTCGGAATCTCTCAACAAATAGCACAATTATAAATGGTATATATAATTTACTTATATACGTTGTGTCAGAAGTAGAATGAGAAGAATTATGTTTTTTTTTAAAAGTTGGTATATAAAAACAGATGGTTTCTATGTCTATAAAGTTAGTATAGATATATGTATATCTGTTCAGGCAAAATAACAAACTGCCTATATATGTCCAGGCAGAAAAACAAACCCTTAAACCGCTTAAATATTTCTCTATGAGCAAAATCTCACAGCAAGTCCCGTCTCGATGCCGAATTCAACAGTTCGCTTGACTTTGCGATGGGCTCACAATTATTTATGACCATAACAGCACCATCCAATAGTGTAATACAATTTTCGAGAATTTCTGAGTTTCGCGTGGTGTCGGTCAAATTGTATTCATAAACCAGTGATTTTTTTTACTGAAAACCCATTTTGTGACCGTCTATGTCCGCCATCTTGAAATGACCATTCCTTAACGGGTACAAATATTGACTTATATCGATTCCGATGTCTTCAATGTTGGGACGTCGTTTTCTTGTTGGTCTCTGACGTTAACAAATGGAAGGGCGACAACTCCGATGAAACAAAAGGTGTAGTCTGACCACGGAGGTTTTCCCACTGTGAGTGGGTGTGTTCTACCAAATCAGCGACGCTCTTACGAAGGCGAGGGTATAATGATATCAGCTGTTTGGTTAGTTATTGTCGATATGTACAAAATAGATATTCAGTCAGATTTAAATAAGTCAAGATGGCACCGAGACCATCAAGCACCCTCTACATGTCTCTGTAGACCTAAACGGAATGATTCTTTTATTATATAGAGGAAAGTTACCAACATCATAAAAGGGAACCTCCTTGAAAGTGATCGTAACCCCTGGAGAATCGAGGATGGAAAGGGGTGCAGACTTTTATTCCTATCATTTTAAAATATTATCATTCTCATTTTTTTCAAATTAACCGATCGTTTTTTCATACTTTAACTCTAAATGAAGTATGTTAATGTGTTTATTTCTTGTATAATCCTCATTGTACAAATTCAGTGAATTTAACGTCGCGTAATCACGTGACGTCGATTATCCAATTAACTGAAAGATTTTGAATCGAGGTGGAAAAAAATATACGGTCTGTTACAAATTTATGTGAACATTATTCAAACTCGTATAGTAAAAAAACTGTTGGTGTTGATTTGTCTTTATGTTACTCACGTGACTAGAAGACAAAAATATGATAGTTTTGACGATAACCAAAGAGAATCTCTGAATTACAGCTCGACACAGCTTCAGATTTCTCACTAGTCTGGAACGGAACGGATCATCATGTTACTAAAAAGAGGGTCGCCGAATGTAGAGAATGAAAGCAAAGCTTTTAAGCCTAAAGTAATTAAAGAGGAAAATGAGTTAGGCTATGCCGATTCTAAACTTTTATCTAAATTACTATAAACATGCGCGTCTAATGAGGAGGTAACTGCAGATGGAAAGCAACACTCGTGTAACTTCTAGAATTACAAAATCTGTTGATAACAATGTGACATCTGTATTTTACTCTAATTACCACCACGTAAGGCATACAGTATTTCATTGTCTACGCCCCTTCGTCAAAAGGCACGTGCTTGTACTGATGGGAATACCACAGGTACACATGAACTTGTTATAAATGTATTTGGATCTATGCCAATGAGTTCATAGCATTATTTTGGGATCAAGATCAACATTCGATTAAAATTACATATCCTTAATAATTACATTCTAAATATAGAATATAGAGATGTGTCATACTACGCGAAGTCATGTAGTGCTAGCTTCTGTTAACCTCATTGATCATCATGCTGGAGGCCGGTCACAAACTATCCAGAACATATCTATGGTAAAGAGTCTTGTCTAGGGAAACAATCACAATAACACAGGCCTCAACAGATTTCAACTTGCAGAAAAACAACCTGTCCTGAGTAAGGGTAAAACCTAATACCTTTGAGTGTCTCTATGTGTTGCAACACTTCATAGGATATTTTACTTTTAGTAATCAAAACTAAAAGACATTTCATTGTGTTTTTGTTTAAATGTTCCTCTTCAGAACATAATTTATTTGTCATACCTCAATATTATCACACTAGTGTATATATATATACATACATATATAACTGGCGAGTTATTTTATTGATCGTTACATACATATCACATATACCATCGTAACAACCACACAGGTGAAATTGAAATGATTGAATATCTAAGACGATGTTGGATGATAGATATTAAAACATATGGATATATAATACGGTATTTCTTAAAGGGACATTCTTCGTTAGAACGGCAGTAATAGTTTACGCTACCTTTTTCAATGTTTATATTTAAAAGAAGATCATACGATTACATGTGTTTAACTGCGATGAAATCAACATAGAAATGTACAGAAAATACACATATCATTTATCATCACATTACTGGTGAAATGAAGAAGCTCAGTTTTGTAATTTTTTTTTTTTTTAGTTTTGTAATTTGCGTTATCTGCGACTGTCGTATTAGTGTTAAATTAGTTTTACTTTTCTGACTTAAAATAGTTTCCACGACATAGCGTCACTTTAAAAGATTGAATTATGAAAGTGTTATTGGTAGATGGGGAATTTCAAATAACAAAATGCTACTTTTAAACAGACAGTAATCTCTCTTAGTTTGAGAAACCATATTCCCAAACCTTAAATTGGCTCCAAGTTATATATCGCAGGATATGCTCCAAGATATAGTTATACCTATATCCACGTCCGTGCTCGTGTCAAGGCAATTAGACAAATCTGTTTCAATTAATGAGTGACGTCGCGTATCTTAGTGTATTTACTGGCACACATATATAACACAGATACACCTATGTAGTAAATAAATATATATCACGAGCTTGATACAAGTAGACCGACAGCTGAAATGTACATGCTATTTACATTACTGGTCAATGAAGTAGATGTTTTTGATATTACTCACTAAAAATTAAAAGATATTGTAATTTAATTGTCTTAAGATGCATTCACAAAGTCAGATTCAAAAATAAGATTTAAAGAAATATTTTTCAAAAATATTGTAAATGCAGTTAACAGGAAAATAATTTTGTATTGATCTGAAGATTTAATGAACAGAGTCTTTGAGATTTTTACCCATCATGGAAAAAAAATCCGTTGATCTTGGTCTCAAGTTATCGTCGATCAATCTGGTATATTTGTATACGAGTTATCCCCCTTTGACCTTGTGTTACCGTGCCAAAACAAAAAAAATATTGGTTTGAAAAAGAAACACCTTCGGTCAGGTATAGGAAATACTAGATACTATATATCTTTCTAAACATTATAGCGGAAATATTTCTCAAGTAGGATTCAGTAACGAAGGTTTTTAATTCGTTTATTTAGAACTAGCTGATGTAGTTACTCATTTTTACGTAGATTCTAAGGAATATACACACAACTTCTTCGGCTGTTGCGAAAGAATCCCACAAGTCTTTTTCATGGGAAACAGTTTTACGAGTTGCAAATGTTTTTTAATAAAATAGCTTCCGCTTCTGATCAACACAACAGCGAATTTCCGTTTAGTACATGGAGCTACTTGAAAGATCGACACCGAAAGAAAAATATGTCATTTAGCTAATGTATTAATTCAACCTTACATTTTATCAACTCTGTTCAGGATATTTTTTGTTGTTGTTTTTCTTTAGAATGATCTGGTTTGATTCCAAGGGAAGAAATTAGTATAGTAAACTTAATTACAATGAACTTTCTGAAATGATACTACGAAATTACCGATACAATACATGTTTCTATAACCATTTTGACAAAGATTTGTTCTTCAGAGTTTTAAAGTCAGTAAACGGTTCTATAATTCTATATCTGAAAAAAATCTATTTTAAAAAAAGTATTTCCTGTACCGCACTTTCGGTCGAAAAGGATGAAATAATTAATCTTATCCAGATTCCAGATAAATAAAGCTGCATTAGTGATACTATATCTGATTGTTTTTGTAAGCTTCAGCATTCAACCACATTTATTTATAAACACAATCTGTAATACGCGTGGTTGCTGTAGCATTGGCGGAATAATGCAGCGGAAATGACGTCAATTACGTCGACCGTGACATTCCACTGAGCTCTGCATGGGTTATGTCTCCTTCCTTTTGTTTAGACTTACAACAACAGCAAAATACTTTTGCACATTGTCCAAAGACCATTTTCTTAAACTCAGTGTTCAGAAAGCCGTAAATGATTGGGTTTAAAGCACAGTTGAATAAAAATGATCTGTGAAAAAGTTCACTGGCAACAAGTTGTGCTGGTGTAAAATCGTTCGGATCGTAAGTTATAAATAATGTCGACCAAATCACAAGACACAAGTAAGGCAAAAAGCTCAAAACGAACGCAATGCTAATAGACAATGCAATTATCGTGTATCGCTTTGTGTTGATATTTTGTGACCGCATTTTTTCTTTCTGGTGATCAATGTTTCCTTTTGCGCTTGCGTCACGGGTTTCTATCTCCGTCATGGAGCTAGTAGTGGACGCGAACGACAGTCTGGATGTAGCTGACCCTTCCCGCAAGGGGCTTCCAAATTTGCTGTGTCCTAGTGCCCTTTCCTTGCTGTTTGCCATGGTTGCAGAACTAACTCTGCGATTGTTCTCCGGAATCTTTTCCGTTCCTGATTTTTCCGTGAAACTTTTAGTTTGCCGCACAGAACTAGACATTCCATTCACTATATCCTTCTCGTGGTCAGGATCCATCGACTGTGGTATAATTTTGTGTGGCCCCATTTTTATCGATCGGGCACTGACTGCAATCGAGTTGGCAGATGTGGGTCGACTATTTGAGAATTCGTCTTCGCCAATAGGCGACAGCGCACCGTCGCGAAGGTCATTTCCAAAGCCAGCCAAATCATCCATTTTGCTTCTACCCTCTGAATGGGTCAAATCACTCGCAACCGTCATCGAACTCGTAGGACGCGCAGAAGTTAAGTTTCTCTCGATCCCTGTCGCATAAAACCGGAAGCTGCGCAACTTGTACAGTTGCCTCCCAACAAGTGTATACAAAGCCGTGAGCACAACAAAAACAATGATGAAACATAGAAAGAGAAACGAGTTATATATTGTCACAAATAATTTGTACTCCTCGTCGGGGTTTAAAGTGCAATCCCGGGCAACCACTGATGTGTCCTCTGTTAAATTTTTCTCTATAACCGTATTGAGAAAAATGGCGGGCCAAGAACAAAACAGTGCAAAAACGATTACACCGAAAATAATCCATCTTGCCATTCTTTCTGTTATTTGCGAATCGAAAGGTTTACATATTTTCCGAAATCTGTCAACAGCTATGGCAATAAGGGTCGTACCGGAACCAATGCAGGAAAAATAATTCACAAAACGGAGTGCGCGGCAGGTTGCGGCACTATCAAATGTGTAAAAGTTGATTAAGTCTGAAATCTCCATAGGCATAGATATAATGCATGATACTAGATCGAAGATAGCCAAAGTGACAATGAACATATAGGACGCTGTAGTTTTCATTCGACATCCATAGAAATAAATAACTAGAGGGTTTCCGAATAGGCCTATCACCATCAGGACTCCAATAATGATGATAACCGGAAGTAATATGGAAACATAACTGTCATTTATTTCCTGTAGTCGTACTTCCTGTTCCGGTGTATTCATCTTGGTGTTGTTCTCCGTCTAACCAGTCGAGATTTCATACGGATTTACCATGGCGAACCACCTGTAAAAGAAAAGGTTAACACTTAGTAGATATTTATGAAGTATTCTGCAACACTGTCTGTCTGATCGTCTTATGTCTGGTGTAGGAGCCAGATGAGACTTGAACTGATCAAAAGATAATTTTGAAATTTTAATGAGAAGTATCAGTCAGTGGTAAATGAAAAAAGTCAATGCCGAAACCGAGCCTGAGTTCCTTCATTACAGGTATCTGTGTATCGAAGGGACGCAACTCTTCATGGCTTGAGTCTATCCTGTACAAAGTCGATCGTGTTAATTTATATTTTGTGATTTTGTATTAGGCCAATACTAGCTAGTTCATGTCACTCGTCAATCTGATTTGCTGTGTTGAAGAAAATTGTGTTCAGTGAAACCTCAGTATTAAGGTGCCCTTTTGGAAGCTTGTCTGTACTCGTCATACTCGTTAATCCGACTGACCCGATATTAAGGCCACATCTGTCCAATTTCATATGTAGTATTAATAGTAAGGTTTCACTGAATACAATTTTCTACAAACTCCACAAGCAATAAACTGCAAGCGAGACAGGGAGGGACATACACACTAATTCAATGACTATGAAGATATTTGTCTACATTGTCAAACACGATGGTCAGCTCAACTCGTCATTAAGACAACTTTTGTCCAAATTTTCATTGAATTAATAACAGTTAACAGACTATGATTGGATATGATATGACTATCTGATACCTAAATATAGCTAACTGATCTCTGATAGCTGGCAGAATGCGGAAAGGCCGACCAGCCTTTTTGGTCTGATTAGTAAGGTGAAATTAATTGTGAAAACGGTCTTTGGGACATTTCAAAACTGGTCTTATTTACGAGGTGGTCTTAATAGTGGAGTGGTCTTATTAATGAAGTGGTCATGATAGTGAGGTGGTCGTAGTAGTGAGGTGGTCGAGCTGGTCTTAGTAGTAGGATGGACTTAATAGTGAGGTGGTCTTAATAGTTTGGTGGTCGTTATAGCGAGGTTGTCCTAATAATGTCGTGATCTTTAAGCTGAAGCACAAAGTGATATACACAGGGTTTATAGGGGAATTGAAAAAAGTGGTCATCATTTTAAAGTAGTCTTTAAGCTGGGTCTCACTATATCCATATCACTAGGACTTTTCTTCCAGGTGTGCCACAAAAGCTGTGATCATGTTTTTATCATGGATTTATATCCTTCATTTCCGGTGTGTATATGCAGAAAAATATTATAAAAAAAAGTTCCATAAAGGGCGATACCGCGCGGAAGGTTAAACAGATGTTACGGGTCGTATCCCATCATAACAACACGGCAGGGTAAAATATCATCAAGTGGATTCAGCTACATACAGGTGTATTGTTAGCTTTATTTACTTACTTACTTACTTATTTAGTAGGGATTGCGGTATAGAGAGTTTTGGTTACTGATACTAAGAACCACCCCTCCCCCCGATCCCCGAACCCTTCCCCCCTCCCCCTACCAAAACCTCCTCGCACTTCAAGATCAGCCGTCAGTGGCACTTACACGTCAACAAACTGTATTTTCTTTACGCTTCTAAATATTAAACCATATAATGAACGGCCTTTAAAAAACGAAACGTGTTGAGATTTAAAATTATTATCCGGAAAGAAAAGGCGAACCAGTACTAAAATGGAGGATTGGTGAGCAATGGTTATGATACCGCTGGGTATTGTATAATGACTGGGTGTGAGATAAGGTGCTCCGTCTGGGTCCAGTCTGATATCTGATACATGTGAGTAAAAGTTGTCAATGTTACACAGTCTATTATCTCACCTGTCCTGCTCTGAATAAGAATTACAATGGTGACACTCGTGAATTGACTTTACCAGCAGTTCTCAGCCCCCAAGTGTTAAATTGAAATACGTTCTCGTCTGCGATTGAATTCTGTGCTTATTAAAGTAAAGAAAAAAAAGAGTACTTCTTTCCAAACTTAATGACATACAGACGAACTCTTCCAATTCAAGTATAGAATCTATCTGATTCCGGTAGCACCGTCTCAAATTAAAGAAAAAAAATTTTTATAAGAATGCTTTGCTTTGTGCACAGGTTATGAAGGGTTATCGTCAAAATAAAAAAAATATAGACAATCGGGGTTACATCTAGATTATAATAGTTCATTATTACAATACGTTCATACGGGGTATCACAATAGTTATGATGGTCAGGGTTACCGTCTCGATAAGCCCATAAAAGTTTTGAAGGAGCTCTCAGCACAAAATAAGGTCACGCGTGCTGTCAATAATTGCAATAAGGTCACACGTGCTATCAATCATCACAATAAAATCACGTGTTCTATCAATTAACACAATAAGTTCACGTGTTCTACGAATAATCACAATAGGGTTGCGTGTTCTATCAACCATTGCAATAAGACCACGTGTTCTATTAATTATCACAATAAGGTCACGTGTTCTATCAATCTTCACAATAAGGTCACGCGTTCTATCAATCATCACAATAAGGTCACGTGTTCTATCAATCATCACAATAAGGTCACGTGTTCTATCAATCATCACAATAAGGTCATGTGTTCTATCAATCATCACAATAAGGTCATGTGGTCTATCAATCATCACAATAAGGTCACGTGTACTATCAATCTTCTCAATAAGGTCACGTGTTCCATCAATCATCACAATAAGGTCACGTGTTCATTCAATATTCACAATAAGGTAACGTGTTCTATCAATTATCACAATAAGGTCACGTGTTCTTTCAATCTTCGCAATAAGGTCACGTGATCTATCAATCATCACAATAAGATTAAGTGTTCCAGTAATAACAATTCACAATAAGGTCATACGAGTTCACACACTAATGTTGGATTATCTCCTATTATTTGGCGTTCCCATTCTACTAGTGTACCAGTACTGGTGTTTCCTTGTTAGGTAATTAGCATCATCTGTGTAAGTTAACTTCTCATGACGCCCGAAGGAGGAATTCAAATATTATGGCAAGTAGTGAAAAAAATGAAAAAAGGGGCTCACACATTTATCACAAAGGAAGTTTGACGGGAATTAAAAAGGGTATTTTATAAAAAGGCGGAATGGACATAATGTGGGTCGTTAAACTAACATCTAGCTCTATTAACTTCAGTTTGTGTTTTGTCTCTCAGTCCAACTCACCTCTCCGACCTCATCCCCCCCTCTCTCTCTCTCTGTCTCTGATTTATTCTGTCTTTATCAGTGTTTCTCAGTCGTACGTTTGTATCTATAAGATTCTTCTCTTCTGTCATTCCATATAAAACATACAAACTAACACAGTAGAACGAACATAAGTAAAGACATACTGTTGAAGAAAGGAAAAAAAATAAGAAGATAAGAAAGTAATATGTATATAAATATCAAACTAAAAAATGACAAAGAAAACGAAAACTAGATGGTACATGTACCTGTATAATTATATACGCCAAAAGGAGCAGAAAATAGGGACATGTTTTGTATCATATAAAGATACTTAAAGGCGACCTTGGTACCCGTAAGATCTTGTAAATAAGAAAGCTTGATTAATATTTTTCATGATCATAGACTATAGTATGTATAGAAGTAAATCAAAGTTCCTTATAAGGCAAAACATGAAAGTGTACAGTTGAAATCCATTTCCTTTGTATACATAATATGTGTTTAACGTTTACACGATTTCAGATTACTTTGTCTAGTGTAAGTACCGAGTCCCTAACACATATATGTCCTACCAAGGTTTTTGGTCCAGTTTCATTGTGTGGTAATCTTTTTTTGTAATTTCTGTTTGCTTGTGTACTTATGATTAGTAGCGTGTTAGGAATGGAATTCATAAATCCGATTATATTTTGACAAGGACTAAAAGAACAATTCGACCTCACACCATTACTATCACCATTTAAAACTGTATTATTTTCGCGGCACGGAACGGTCCTTGTTGAGCTGTTTTTAACGAGAATTTTATAACGCGTTTTGTCTTTATTTTGTTTACGTTTGCTCTGTTTGTCTTTAATTTGTTTCACTTTTTCCCTTAAGGTCCGTGATATCTTTTGTATTTAATCTGTTAATTGTGTTAGAGTGGTCTCCCTTGATGAGATGCACTCTTCATTGCATCATAACTTTTAATTTGTGTACTTTACTTACTCTAGCAATAAAAGACACTTAATTCAGACAGTTCCTCCTCAAACATGTACATCCGGCATCTCAAAGAGAGAGGTTTGTTTTATTTATTTGCACATTTGTTCCATGGCAGCGTACTTCATGGACTTTAAAAATTGCATTCATAGAAATATGAGTGCAATAGGGTCAGTGTTATCAGCATTCCTCGTTATGTAGCGTTATGAAAGAAGCAACTGTTAAGATGACCCGAGGGTGATTGGTACCGATACCATTATCAGAAGAAAGTGTTGGTATGAATGTTGAGAAACATTTTTAATGTATACACCAGATTTTAAACGTAGCATCAAGCCAACAGTATACATACATTTTCTATTTTACTGCTGAAATCTTTCGGAAAAGAGGTATGTTAATGTAGCATACCCCCTTAAAATTTCATCAGCTATCAGAAAAAAATATGATCGATTCGAACTTTTTTTCAAATGGTTCATTTCGTTGATTAACTTTTAATTAACTTTCGTTAAATACTTTGTGATTTTTAAATGGACACAAATTGATTCTTAAGTGGAAAATTCAAGATGGCATTGATTGAACAAATTGACGAATTAGTGGAAAACGCCTTCCATAACGTGTCCAGTGGTATTGAGGGAAATATTTATACACTAGAAAATAACAATGTATTGTTTAACTGTACTTTTAGTCACCTAAAATGCATTATAATTAATGAAACACTCCTAATGACACAGATGATAGCAAAGTAGCGTGTGTAGTATGGACGTGTGGTCAGTTTTATTGGCTTAGAAAG